ATTTACTTCGTAGCACTGCTACTTCGTACTACGTACTTCGCAGGTCTCTGCCTGGCGCTGGCAGGATAATCCTCTCTCCTCCCCATCTCCCTGGTTACAGTATGAAATGCCGTACCGGACTTGAAAGAATCCAGGGACCCAAGATGCTCCGAAGGTCTGGAGACTGGGGGTGATGTGATCACTCATCTTTTAATTCCGTTTTTCTTCTTTTTTTTCTTTTCTTGTCTTTTTCTTCTCTTCGCTGGAACATGAATCCATTCACCCCCCCTTTCCTATTCCCTTTTGCTTCACTCTCTCCCTACTACTCAGTATGCGTATACACTACTTCGTAGAGCCACTCTCCCCCATTTGGCTTCCCTTTCCACTTTCGTCTACTCCATAAAAGGATTGGGGGGAGAAGCGAAAAGCGGGAAAGTGAAAGCTACAAAGTTACACTAGAAGTTTACCATCGGCCGTTTTGACGGTGACAAACTGACAAGGGGGGGAGGAGGGAAACAGTCTGATTTTCCACATCTCTGCCCCCCAACTTACCAAGTCTGAAAGTAGTTGATTTAAATCCTTCGTAAAATGAAGAACCCAGGAAAGGAAAAACTTCACTAGTCTTGCTCAACATCGAATGCTCGGTGACCCCCATCGGAAGCCGCCCATCTCTTTTTTTCTTTGGTCCAAAGTAGTGGCACACCTCCCTTTCCCGTTCATCTCCCTCCTTTCGGCGCCCCCGCCATCCCAATCCCTCCCTCCTCCTTGCCCCTCCGCTGACTGGCTTCGTCTTGCTTTATTACCCCATACAGCAGACGGGCGGAGAGAGATGAGGAGAAGACGAGTGTACGGAGTACAGACCTTGTCCTTTCCCTTCCCCATCCTTTCCCAATTCCCAATCGTGGCCCTTGTAAACTAAGGTGTAATTACCACCTACTTATGACCCTGGTAATACACAGACATATGCAGTTTACATTCAACCTTGGAGCTGGGTTCTTGTTGTAAGAAGTATACCTCGTACCTCTCTACCTCTCTGCCTGCAAGTAACTGGCGAGGAAAGAAAGCGGAGAAGAGAGAACTCAACATGTACCTCATAGTACCCGTCCCATAGAAAAGACGAGCAAAAAGACCAGAGCGACCATGGAAGAGACAAGCCGGAAACCTTGCCACTTTCGACAAAGGTCTCGTGTCACATCCTTCGGTCTCTTCCCTTGGCAAAGCAGGTCAGATTCCGTCTTCCTCTCATTCATTCATTAATATGTCCCACTTACAACACACCTTCGTCATGATGCTACTACTTCTAGACCTGACCTGGGCTCTTATGTTCGAAGCGACACAAAACAACAACCGCAGTATACGAGGGTAGCCTAATGAGAAGACAAACGAAGAAAAACAGCCCATGCTTTCTTTGAATACCGAGGTCCCTTCGGAAAATACCTTAATTCTCTTTTCGGTTTCATCTTTTTTTTGCTTTTCTGGAAAACAACGGCTTTCCATTCAGTGTCACTGTCTGATTTCCTATCGGCTCTGGATTCTAGACCTGGTCGGAAGAGCTCACCCAGTCTCTCCCAGCTTGAACTGAACTTTCGAACCTGCGTGCAGCGACGATCTTCACTCGCCGAATAAGTCACTCATTCGAGGATCTTATAATAGAACTCTTCTTTGCAACAAATAGGGGGAAGCCGAGAGAAGCCGATTACAATTTCGCATTTCTAGTGTATAATCGTGACTCGGGGTGGCAGTCTTCGCGCGCCGGGCCTTATCCGATCCCAAGACACTTTAAGAGCCCCGTCTCAAGAAAGCGATCGACGAGGTTCCCCTCGAAAAAGCGTTTCTTGTTTTGCTCCGCCGAGGAGAGACCCTGGGATTGATCAGTCTTCACTTGTTCAGTGTGCCCCATCAGTCCCGGTGCTCCACAGTCCACTTGCTTGCCTGGCTTCCCTTCCCTTCCCGTCCGCAACTGTCTGGGTCTTGTCCTGTCTTGGTTCGATTCCCATTCTCCACTTCCCTTCGTACCGCCAATCCCGCTAAAACCAAGACCCATACCGCCCCAGCGAACAGCAACACCCACTCCGTCCGCTCACTTTGCGCTCAGCGCTCAGCCCATCAGAGCGATCGCATTTCCATTCCCCTTCTCTTCTCGCTTGGGTCTTTTCCCAGCGACTTGGGTCCAGTCCCTCTCTCTCCGTCTTTTGAACCAACAATTGCACACACACCCCCCAGTTCGTCATTTCCCCACCCTCTTCCCAGCTCCGACTGGTTCACTCCCAAGCCAAGACAACACCTTTTTCTTCACTTTCTTCTCATTCCGCGCACAAACACACGCCCCCCCTCCCCAGTCAGCCCAGAAAGGTGAGAGTTGCAGTTGTCCAGACTAAACCCCCTTCGAATTTCGTACTTTGGGCACACGACCACACGACCAACTCTTGCCCCCTTTTAACACACCGATCTCCTCGCCTTCGAACAATAGACTCAACTCTCCTCCCCCCCCCCTTCTTTCACCAGATGATGTCGGTCAAACGAAAATAATTCGAACTAGCATCGTCCCCGAAATAAAACAATTATTCGGACCCTTGCGAGCGAAGACAAAAATCAAACAAGAACGTCGAGACCACCTAGGTTTAATCAAGACGAACCCAACAAAGTAGGCTAAAGCCCTTAGTCCGCCTCGAAACCGTGGATGTCGACCATTCCCCAATAAGGCATGCGGGGGGCGCCGCTGCCCATCATCATCGACAACGATATCCCTCCTTCTCTTAACTCTCTTCCCCCCTCCGCCTTATAACCGTTCCCCACTCCTCCAACAATAAAAAGAGGAACATAGTTCAAATGCCCGTCGAAATTATGGGCGTTGAGCTAAGTCCTCTCAAGCCGCTCCCGACAGAGCCGCTACACCTTTTACGCCACATGCACTCGCGCTTCCTCGACCATCATGGACCTACTTCGACCGATTCGTTCCGTCCCGGACCTGTCCAGCTGGTAGTAGACCCTTCGTGGTCGACGCCGAGGAGCCACAATACCGCTTCGCTCCGTGTCGGTCCCGGCGGTGAGCTTGTTAGTCTCCAGGCCGCCGTTTCGCAATCGAGTGGTGTCGCTATCTACGTCGAGATCGAGGAATCGACCGCTGTTACCACGGTAAAACCTTCGATGCCTCTTCGGAAGGGCGTATGCTCTCCAACACCGTCGACGCCGTCACCGCCACCATGCTCTAAAACCGCTCAGTCGACTCCTACATTTTTCGAGAAAGTCCCGCATGGAGCCAAGGTGCAATCCTCCGACACGAAACGCCGCTTCACATTCGTCACCTCCGATCCTAAAACCGTATCGCAATTCAACTTCCGATATGACAATTCTACTCCTCCACGACCGAATTTGAAGCGTGCGAGATCAGCGGCCGATGTCGATGGACCGAACACCGCCTCCCTAAGCTGCAAGAAGCGGCGATTGAGGCTTCAACTGATCACGAGTCGACTCTCCCAGCCCTTCTCTTTACCGGCCACTCATATCCTAAACCGCGAGGGCCTTGCCAACGGCGATAAGAGGTTTTTGAAGATGGCCACCCACGCCGAGATGGTACGGCGAGGTCTACTTGCGAACCACTCGGCGAGATCGTTTCGACGCTTTGCTACCCTCAACCTGACAAGGGCGCGGCTAAAGGACTGTAGCTGGACTGAGCTCAGCAGCGTATTAACGCGTACCTTTGCCGAGCGACCGAATGCCTGTTCTTTGTCGTCATCGTCGTCACCTCGTTCTCCGCCTTCTTGTAATCGTGCTGGCAGTGTCCAACCGCTCGCTATGCCCAATGCTAGGGTCATGGTCCGGTCACCCCAGCTCCAGCAGAAGTTGCAGGGTCTCCCCGTGCCTCCTCCGCTGGATACCAGTAGTAGCCGTGGTCATCACGGATCAATGTCGCCTCCGACATCGCCGCTCGCTCGGGAAGTAGTCGACGATTCTCTAGAAGAAGAGGAGCCGACTAGTACTATTTCCCGTGACGAGAGGCGGAGTCTCTATGACGAGGACGACGATGGCTGCGAGGCGTTTCCGTCCGCAGACCATGATAGTCTCTACGACTCGTGTGATGACCCCGAGGACGTGTATTCCGATTTCGGTGCCATTTTCGGGCCCGGATCGGGGAGCGCAACGGAGAGCGAGGACGGGCATTCGTTTGAGGAATATCTCGACGAGCTCGATGGTATATCGTGGGCCGTAAGGTCGGTGTGACGATTAAGCCCCTCCTCTCGGAGGGGAAAGAAACGCATTGCTCGGCGATGTTGTTTTGGCGGTATTTATCATCACTCATTGGCGGCAGAGCATGGGAGTTGGTTGACTGTTTTGTTTGTTTCGGCCTATGTGAACATGCATGCATCGTTATTCTTTTCGGGCGGTTCTTTTCTTTTCTTTCCATTGCAAGCGAATTGGGAGGTTATCATGCTGCTTGGCGTCGGAGCCTGCTTCTTTTGTTTTATTTTTTTTTGGTTTTACTTCACCTTGGGTTTGGGAAATTGGGGGAGGCAGACTTGACTTGACTTGAAATATGGAATGGCCAGGGATTTGTCTAGGAACAGGGGACTCATATGGGGGAGGCAATTGTGTCTTTTTGGTAAAATGTTCTTTTTTGTTTTTCCTGGCTGTGTCTGTGTGGATCGAAACTATGGATATGAACGAGAAGGGGAGTGCATGAATCTTTATTTCAAGATATGCGCCGACCTTTTTGTCCTTGTTTCCTTGAGATGATCAGAGAATGAACCGGAACGAAACTTGGGGGAAACCTCGAGCAAGGAGCAGGTATAACTGTGATTCGGGGAAAGGAGGGACTGTGCAAACAAATCCAGGATACCCTTCAACAGCAATGTTCTGTTTCGCATACGTTAGTGAGCCAGAGCTGAATTGAAAGATGTCGTCGTCCCTTTTTTTTTTTTTGTTCAACCGAGTCCTTTGTTGGACTTGAGAAGACCGAAGTCGTATGAGCACGTGCTCAACACCTATTGATGCCAAAAAGCCATCTTTATCGTGGACTCTTTTTAGACACGCTGGAGTTTGGCGGCTCGGTCTCGTGCAATGTCGCACATTGCCTGTGGAACGGTGTAAGTCTGCGGATCTTGGTGAGGGAGAACACTGATGATGATGCACGTCTCCTGCCTACCTGGATGCCCTCTTGTTCTTCAAGAGAGATGTCTCCCCTGGCAATGCGCTCCCTCATATTCTCCATAATGACGGGTCTCGGCCGTCCGTTGACGAACACGACATATCTCAGTCCAGGAAACGTCTTTTCATACTCGGCGTTGAGAGCCGCCAGTTCAGAGCCATCGCCAGATTGCAACTGAGCCTGCTCAGCAGCCGACTGGGCACTCTCAACCTTTTTAGCCCCAAGCCTCGGGTGAGATCCCAAAATAGAGTGGAGTTTGGCCCGGGCATCAGGGTACTCGTCGGAAGAAGTGGGCGAAGAATCGGTTCGGAGGGTCGAAAATACGGCGTGCGCTTCGGTTATGAAATCATCGTAGGAGGCGAATTCACCCTTTTTCCGGAAGAGAGGGAGGAGAAGTTCGTGAATGGAGGGACTGGGCTCGAAGAGCAGGTCAAGAATCTCGGTCTGCTGGGCGAGGGAGAGGCCGGAAAGGGAGGAGATAGCGGGTAGTCGTGCGGGCGCAACGGTGGCCATCCTGGTGCTTTCGGACTGATAAGAGAAGTGAGAGGGAACGTGAGTGGATGGCCGAGGTGGCCGGGGTGGGCTCGCAAAGATAAAGAAAGGAAAAGGAATGTTATAGATATATGATGGCCTCCCGGGTAAGCCTGCTGTTTTCGGTGACCGGAGAGGAAGGGGAAAAAAATAAAAACAAAAATAAAACAAAGCAATGTGCAGTTTTATTGAATCTGGTTTTAGAATTTGCTCAAAAGAGGAAAAAGGGCTCTTCTCGCACTTAGTTGAAAAGGGCTGGCTAAAGATTGGTGTGGAGGGCCTATCTGAGGTTCTACCAGGCCAGTGACGCGATTTGGGGATAAATGAAGCAATGGCTTTGGTGATCGCAGATAAGGAAGTTGCAGCTGTCAGACCCACTTTTAGAGACCGACACCCGTTTGCAGCTGTCTAAAAGAATCAGCTGTTTGCCATCTGACATGATATTTTTGCCAGCTGCCAATGCCAATCCTTGATATTTTTGCGATCTTAGCTTTCTTGACAGCCACATCGAAAATGCGAACTTGTGTTTGAAGAGAGTTGGTAGCCTTGTCGCGTCATCAGTTTTCCATTACTCCCAGCCCTTGCCCACGAACCCAACTTCCAATCTATCGACCTTTAACCCGTATTGCAGAATTGGAAGCTTGATCCAGGAGTGAACAATGTTCTGCGCAAGTAAGACTGAATTCTCCAACCCTCGATTCGTTCTCCCCTTCTGCTCTCTGCTATCGCTGGTTGCATTTACTGACAGCTCGTCTAGTCTCTGGGGAAGCTCCCCAGGAGCCCGTCTTCTCCAAGAAGTCTGGTAAGTAGCTATCTGAAGTCCCGTTGATTCAGCTGCCAGTACATCTAGTACATCTGAAACTCATACCATCCCGTCCAGGCGCCGTCTACGAGAAGCGTCTCATCGAACAATACATCGACCAACACGGCACGGAACCCGAGACGAACGAAGCCATCACCGCCGAAGATCTCATCCCCCTCAAGACCTCCCGCGTCGTCCGCCCCCGACCCCCGACCTTGACCTCCATCCCCGCCCTCCTCGCCACCTTCCAGAACGAATGGGATTCCGTGGCGCTAGGCACCCGCACGTTGATGGAGGAGCTGGCGCGCACGCGGGAGGAGCTCTCGACGGCGCTGTATCAGAACGACGCGGCGAAGCGCGTGATCGCTAGGCTTACCAAGGAGCGGGACGAGGCGCGCGATGCGCTTTCCAAGGTCACCGTCTCTGCGGGCGCAGGTGCCAATGGTGATGTTATGGCGATAGATTCTGTGCAGGGTCTATCAGAGGAGCTTGGTGCTAAGGTGGATGAAATCCAACAAAAGTATGGCTCCCCGGGTGTGAACAAAACTCTCCTCTTTGTCTTTATTATTTGTTTCTCATACTAACTATGGCTTCTTTTTCTTTTCTCTCTAGACTATCAAAGAGTCGAAAGAAGCGACCGATTCCCGACGGGTGGGTGACCGCCGAGGAAGTCGCCGAATTTACGACCGAATCCTCGACATCTCTCCCCTTCTCCCAAGTCTCCGCCCTCACGATACAAGAGGAAGGAAGCTACGCGGCGATTTCCTCCGCCCAGGGCGACACCGCCATCTACTCGATCGACGAGGGCAAGGTAGAGAGGCAGCTGGCCGTCAACGAACCCGTCACGGACGAGATCTGGACGGGAACGAAGCTCATCGTCTCCACGGCCAAGGGATCCGTCAAGGTGTACGACAGCGGCCGCGAGGTTGCTTCTCTCACAGAGCATGCTGGTCCAGCTACGGGGCTTGCGCTCCATCCTTCTGGAGAGTTCGTAGCGTCCGTGGGCGCGGATAAACTTATCGTTTTCTATGATGTTCAATCCTTGACGCCTGTTGGTCGCTGCTACACGGATTCCGGTATGTACTACCTAAATCTTGGGGAAGCTCCCCCCCCTCCCTAGTGATGACTATTTTACTGACACAGAGACAGCCCTCACGACGTGTGCATTCCACCCCGACGGCCACCTCTTCGCCGCCGGTACCACGTCCGGCGACATCAAACTCTTCATGACCAAAACCCTTGAACAAGCCGCCGTCTTCTCCCTCGGCGCCCCCGTGCAAGCCCTCGTCTTCTCCGAGAACGGCTTCTGGTTCGCCGCCACGGCCAAGGGCCAGACCACCGTCACCGTCTTCGACCTGCGCAAGGAAGGCGACGCCGCAAGGGCCAAGGTCCTCGAGATCGGCGGGTCCGTGCAGTCGCTTAGTTGGGATTACACGGGGCAGTTCCTGGCGACGGCGGGCGCTAGCGGCGTGACGGTGCAGCAGTATACGAAGAGCTCGAAGGCGTGGTCGGAGCCGTTGAGGAGCTCTGTTGCGAGCTCGGGGATTCGGTGGGGGGGTGAGGGGAAGAAGTTGGTGGTTGTTAATGTGGATGGGGTTGTTACTGTTCTTGCGGCGAAGGAGTGAGTATAGTTTTGGGGAGGAGGAGGCGTATATGTTAAATACTTGGAATGCTGTTCTTCTTTGCTGTTCTGAGCCGATTTAAAAGGGGTATGGGCAAACAATGGGTGTAAATTAGTTCCTCTGCAAGGACTCAAAAAGTGAAACACGTCAATGAAGCGTCTGCTTCCTCGATGGTGGGAATTGTGTGTCTTTCTCAATCCCTCGGTGGCGTCTTTCTCCCTGTCAATTGATTTGTAGTTTACATGCCAGGCTCCCTAAGTTATTTGAGAGCATTCGATCATTATGTCCAGGCATGGCAGGATGGAGTAAGAATTCCCTATCTCCGTGGTGACAGGCAGGCTGGAAACGGGGAACAAGATCGCCATCGGCTTCTCGTGACCTCGGCCTCTTTAACCAGTTGAGTTGGACCTGGACCAACAGACGATCCAGCAAGGTTATCCAAGAAACCACCAAAGAAACTTCAAGTGACTTCATCACTCACACACAACACGGAGTTGAATTTGAAGTTAACCCCGGAGACTCGGATTAGGTTCGGTAAGGCCAAATCTTCTTGAGTACGGTCATTGTTAGCAGTGTTTCCTCCAAGTACTTGCGTTTCCCAGAATAAGGGCGAAGTTGGTGGACTTCCCATGTACTGGTACAGTGCCAGGACTTTGGGACATCCCAAACGGTTCCGAATGCTTACATAATCTTCGCTCGTTGCCACCACCAAAACACAGCAGGAACATTCCTTGAAGTTGGTGTCATGGGAAGGACCAAAACGACATAAGATTGATCAGACCTTTAATGTCTCCGCTCGCCATTCCCAATTCTCGACTCTCAACACCATTATCTCTCCTGGAATTGGAGCGGTGTCGCCTCGACTGAATAAAACCTGACCCCCTCACCACATCAGGCTTCCACGCGACAAGCCTGCCCCTTTCTCGACGACCGCCGCACTTCTCCACCTCATCTTGTATCCGATCCAGCGTGGTCGTCTAGTTCCCCCCTGCCAGTTTCTTGGAACAACCTCTTCTCGAACCACGAAACTCGGCCTCGGCAGAAACACGAGCGCAACAAGTTGGGCCGCACGAATACACGCATAGTGCTGATCGCATCTGCGAACCCCTCTTCCCCTCTCGCGAAACAATCCGCTCGACTACCGCCACCATGGCGACGGTACATGCCGACGAGCTGGTTGAGGTCGAGGTTGCCTGGCTCGGTGCGAGGCCTAGAGATCCTCGACAGCCAGCCGTGATTGACCTTACCGATCTCCCCGACAGCCCTCCCTCGAACCGCCCACCTCGTCGAGAACCATCTACCGGAAGCCTTAGGAGCCGCCGAACAAACTCACAACGACGAAGCCCACCAACCCTGAACCGCACCGATAGTATTACTATGACGGGGGGAAACATCGTAAATAACAATAACGGACCTGGGGGAAGCCTTGTCATCGACCTCACCAGGGAACAATCACCTGATCTTAACAACCGCTTACCACTGCCCGTGGATCCTGCACCTACCCTTGGAACAAACGGAAACCTGGACCACCTGGCGTTACCCAATCTGGCCCCGACCAGACGTCGGCCACCGACTGCGGATCATAGAAGACCTCTAGGTGCCAACTTCCTACCGAACGCCGCCCTCGACTACATCAACGCATTCGCATTGCTTCATGACGGACCAGGTCGATCGGCTAGAATCCGTAACGCGCCACCCTTCCGATACTTCATGAACGAAGCCCCCTTTGAACCAGCCATTGGTGGTTTGCACTTGAACTACCAACGAGCGGCGTTTACTACACCACCTGCGCCTCCCCCGCCTCCCCCACCTCCCAAGATGACTGTCCCCCCAGCTCGCGAAGGCTTCACGAGGGATACGGGCGAGGATGTGGTCGTCATATGCCCGGCGTGTAGCGGGGAACTTGAATATGACCCGTCAGGAGGAAGAGAGGATGGTTCGACGGGCAAGAAGCGCGCGAAGAGAGAAAAGGGCGAGCATCATTTCTGGGCTGTCAAGGCTTGTGGACATGTGAGTTTCTACCGTTTCCCCCCTGTTTTGCTTTGTCTTCAGAACTGCTCCTTCTCCGTTTGAGCGGTACCCAGGAACAAACCGTTGCTAACCTGGTTTTTAATTGTACAGGTTTATTGCCAAAGCTGCTTCGACAGCCGACGTCCTACGACGAAGAACCAATCCAGATTCCGAGCATCAGACGGATCGTCGAGACTCACGCCCCAGTCCAAGGTGTTTTGTGCTGTCGACGGCTGCAAATCAGATGTCACCAACAAAGGAGCGTGGGTCGGGATCTTTCTCTAGAACCCTGTTTTTACTCCTTTCTGCTTTACAAACTAGCCTGTTTCATGGTACTCTTTTCTTTTTCTTTTTTTTTTCTTTTCTTTTTTTTTTCGATATTATGGAAGCATGGGGTCAAAGGTGTGGACCGGAATACCGCGGCGTCAAGGATGGAGGCTGATCTCTTTTTTGTTTTGTTTTTTTAACGTTTATAATTGCATTAGACAGCGAGTTGGGAGGACCCGGTTTTGGAAGGGAACTTTCTGCATGGATAGGTACTAAGGAGTAGGAAGGTCTTCTCATAGATACCTCTTCAATTTTTTTCGCATTGGTTTTTACATGCTCCGTCTCGGGGATGTTTCTTCCGTTGGCGCATCATTCCTCGTCATTAATTCATGAATCTAGTATCCTGTATCGTTTCTACCATGAGCCAACGCCCGTACCAATTTTTCTCATCCACGAGCCGATATATCGACTAAGGATGCCCAGTCCTTCTCATCTAGGCTATCCCACCACTGCTCGTCATATTCTTCCCCAGCCACAGCGTGGTCTGCCTTCGAATCACTTTCGTTTGGATCAGTCGCCTTGTGATTGGCAGGTGGCGCGCTAGGTCTCCCCTGGTTCTGGGCCCCGCAGGGCGAGTAGCCATGGGCGTTTGTTGGTAGTTGGTTTGCCGGGTGGTTGCTAGGTTGAATCGACTTGTTTTGCGCGGTCTCTGACGCTTGCTCTGCGGTGGCTACCTCGTGAGATAGTTGTAGGGAGCTTAATATGAACCCGTTAAGTTCATCAATAGGATCCTGCTTCGACGAATCGAGTGTCGCCTCGGAAGGCAGAGCCTGATGTGCTTCACACCGATTGTCTGTGTTGCGACAGTCCTCTTCGATCCCTTCACGGCCCAGCTTTGCATTACTGACTGTGCTACCGGGAGACGGCCCCTTTGTAAAGAAACGTGTGATAATTTCCTGGCTCGACCTCGCTTCCGTAGCCGGCAATCCCATCCTTTTCCTCTCCAGTCTTTCTTCTTCCTCTCTCTTGCGCCTCCTATCCCTCGCAGCGGCGGCCCTTGCCTGCACCTGTCTTTTGGCTAACTCTTCTCGGATTCTCTGTTGCTCTTCTCGCTCGATCCTTCGTTGTTCTTCGTAGGAGATCTTGGGCGGTCTTCGTGACTTCAGGTAAGCTCTGTGAACTTGTTTTGTGTTCATTATTAGTTTGTTGTTGGCGATGTTGTTTGGTGGTTGAAAGGAATGTTGATAGAGAGGTCCAGGAATGTGTGGTGTTGGTAGGTTTATTTACGCAGCCCTGGTTTCCTTATCCTATCGCTGTATTTGTCCATTGTTCCTGACGAGCGTGTCTAGAAGCTCCAGTTGAGCTGCTATCGCAACCAAGCCTGCCACTGCTTCAACTGGAGCTTCCCTGACATGCGTGGGACGGGTGTCGAGGTTGCAAGTCGGGCTTCGGATCAGATCGGGCCCCTGTCGTCCGAGACTGGTAGCGTCCAAGAAGGAAGTGAGATCGTCCAGACACCGTGTCGATGCCATATTTTTATTGTAAATTCATAATTCATTGTGTGGGGACCCCAACACCCCTCTATATCATGCTGTAGTATACAAGTTAAAAATATTTACGAGAAAAGATTCCAGGCCGGCATCAAGTCTTCGCCGGTGTGTCCAGGATACCCCAATCATCATCATCCAACCCATTCCAAAACTCATGATCATACAGATCGCTCTTAACCCGAGCCATCTGCGTCCGTTTCCTCGGCGCCACCACAGGTGTGGCGTCTATTTTCTCTTTCCCTGGCCTCAACACGTCGTTCTCTCCGCCTAGGCCGGGTGCCCTGTTCTCCTTCCCCGGCACGGGTTTCTTGGGCTGCGGTTCGCGGGGCTTTGGCTTTGTTGGTCGCCAGGCGTACTTTTCGATTTCCGCTTCCCGACGGCTTCTTAAAATCGCCAGGGATAGTAGCTCGTTCGATCCGCTGGCTGTGAAGAACGGTTGTGGTTCCTCCGCGGGAGGAGAAGAGGAGGGTGGCGGTTTTGGTGGAGAAGCCGTCCGTGGAGTTTCTGGGGGTTCTGGTGCCGGAGTCGCCTGTTTTGTGGGGAAATGTGCTTGGGAATGTTGTATATAGGCACGAGAATTGACGTCGGTTGATCCCGATATGGGGAGGTCGTCGGATAATAGGTCAAGATCCTGGGTGCTAAGGAGTGGTATATCCGTCGCTATGGCGTCCTTTCTGGTCGCTGCTTCGGTATATATAGACACGCCAGGTTGTATCGAAGATGGCTCCGGGTTGACATTCGGGATGGAAGGCGTATTTCTGGCCTCCACTCGAGGGTGGCTACTCACACCGATCTCGAGGAGGTCGTCGGAAGTGATCTCAAGATCCTGTGTAGAGAGAAACCCAAGGTCGAAAGTAGCGCCGATGTCGACATTTGGTTCTGCTATGGGAGAGGGTTTATGCGACGAAGTGGGCTTCGATGATATCCTTTTCTGAGCGGGCTCGTCGACGGCTGCCGGTTCGACGTTTACTTCCGAGATTTCTGGCGCAAATTGAGTTGAGAACAATTCTTCTAGGTCGTGTTCAAGGTCCTGGGTCGAGAGTCCAAGGGTGTTCTGAATATCGTTGTGGGTACCGCAATCATCTGTGGTATTCCGCCGACGCCGCTCCAGGTCTTGATTGTTTGGATCCACAGTCTCCAGTATGCCTTGGGGTCGAACAACAGGGTTATCCTCTTGCCGTGCCTCCGTATTTATATCACTCCGGTTCTGTTCTAGTTTGTCCGATTGCTTCGATAGACTTGTTTGCTCCTCCTCCCCGCCCTCCTCAACGAGCGCCTCCAGACCCCGATTGGCAATTCCCGTCGGCTTCCTCGCAAACCACGAAATGGTATGTTGGCTAGCTCTAGGAGCGACGGCAGGCAATCCTTTGCGCTTTCTCTCTCTTCGGTCTTCCTCTTCTCGCGCTCGCTTTCTATCCCGCGCCGCGGCCGCTCGCGCTCTGGCCTGGATCTGTGCCTGCTCCCCCCGAATTCGCTCTTGTTCTTCTCGTTCTAGGCGTTGTTCTTCGGCCTTGGATAAGCGGGGGACATCGGCTCGTTTCGATCGGAGGTATGCTTGGTGGGCTTGCCGGGAGTTCATCCTTTGCTCGGAGAATTGGAAGTTGGCGTTGCTAATTGATTTCTTAAGGTCGTGTGGGTGGTGGCGCAGATCAAGAGATTGAGGAAGTTAGGAAGGAGATAGGAGGGAATTGCAGAATTTATCAGTTCATTTGGGGCTGGGTATGTAGCACAAGCCATAACATGACTGGAGCAGAGTGCAATGGGAATTTGAAACTGGAGCATGTGCATTGATGCCAGCACAGACAAAGCAGATTGTTGGTTTGTGTGTACTTCGTATCGCGTCAACATCTAAGAATAGTCCCTGCCACCTGCCACCTGCCACGAGAAGGGAGCGCAATCACGTGTGTTTGTTGTCAGGGTCCTGGTTGAACCTATTTTCAGCACTCTGCAAGACATTTGCGACCTGAAAAGTTATGACAGGCACTGAAGATCAGGAACAATGACGTAGGAGGAGAACGAAAAGAGCAAGATGGGTGGAAGGAGAGAAAAAAAAAATAAATAAATAAATAAAAATAAATAAAATAGGATATTCTAAAGTATAAAGTTAAAGATCAAATATTTGGAGTAATCCAGATTGCAGCGGTACTTGCCGAAGCAATTGAAATCGATGGAGATGTTTGTCGCCCTTGCCTCGAAATGACCCAACATTGAAAACAGCGCTCTCCCCCCCCCTCCGCCCCCCCCCAAAAAAAAGATTCCATTCACCGCATCCCCTTCCTGGCGTTTGCGGCGCAGGCGCTATCCCCTAGCCGTGGAGATAGCCCGCCGCTCTCTCTACCACTTCGTGCTTCTTTGAAATCAGCCTTAAAACGTCCTTCCATTGTGCAGGTCTGATAACCCGGGGTTCCCTCCGTCCAGGGACAACATAACCGCCGAATAGCGAGTAGATATCTTGTATCAGCTGCATGCTGGTTGTCATAAGAGCTGCTGGTTCCGGGTCATAGATGGCGATTATCATGCCGTACCAGACGCCGTTCTTGACGACCCACGATCCCGAAACTCCTTGGGCTAAGAAAACCGTTAGACGGCGCTTTAGTAACTCGCAAAGCTAGCACGAAGTAAGTACGGGCAAAGAGAGATTAACTCACCTAATGGCCGGGACAGCATGAGTCTCTGGACATCGAATACCATCTCCGATATGACCAGTTGATGGTCTCCGGGTATGAGCCGGGCTGAGACCGTCTGGCCCGGTCTCAGCAGGATACCAACCTCCTGTATCCGGCGCGGATTTAATCCGAATTCGTCTTTATTAAGACGAAGAGAATCCATTTCGACCGTGAACCCCGCAGAACTCCAGAGTTTGTTGAGATGCTTGTTACCGACCAGAGGAACTCCGAATGCGGCCAAGAGCGACGGCGGCAGCTCGAGGAGGCCGAAGTCGTGTGCTCTTTCGGTCCAGCCGAGGGAGTACGGGAGATACTTTCGTGCATCGCGTGAATTCTCTTCTTCTTGCGGTGGCTCCAGCGTCGTGAGGAAGGAAATCTGGGACGGAAAGACTCCGTCCTTCACCCAGTGCATGCGTTTGATGTCTGTGTACCCCAGACGGTTAGGGTCGCGAGGGAAGTTTGTCGTGTGTTTATGGCGCAGAGTAGTACGGGAGGACACCTCTTCGCTCGGTTTTCGTAATTGGACAAAGTGTTTCAACATGCCGTGCCCGGCGGTCAACGCGAGGATTCGTTCTTCTTCGCTGTCCTCCACGTACAACAGGCCGCCGATTCTAGATATCCACTGCGACAGGAGCCTCTTCTCAAAGTTCGTAACGCTTGCGACACAGAAAAGGCCGTGAGATTCAGCCGGGGATGGCGTCAAAGAGAGAGGGGTGGCAACCAAGCGAGCGAGCCGAGTGAAGCCCTCGATATGGATATGGAGATCGTCCTCGAAGCCGGAGATGCGTATAGGTTCGCCCATGTCCAGGTCCCTGATCTGCATCGGAGCGACCACTTTCGTCCCACCTTCCAGGCCGGATACTAGGATGAGAGTGTAATCCTGGACATCGGGCCTAGACCAACTCAACCGCGCGATTCCATTTTTAACTCTCCGCAAGGACTTCCGGTCGCAGGACAGGAGCACGCACGGAATCAGCGTCACGGTCGGCGATCCCGTGTCTCGGGGTTTCCTAGCTACCATTCGGAGCTGTGTATCTCTGTACTCAACATCCCAATCTTTCAGGTCGGCCAGAAGCATCCTCATTGTGCTCTTAGCCCTGGCCCATCTAGCATTATCGGAAGCATAAGACCAGACCTGGTCCTCCTCCAAGACCGACACGTAATATTGCTTGCTTCCCTCGGCGGTTAGGCACCAGAAATCCTGTTCTCTAAACATTGCCTCCCGTGAGTCACCGCAACGGATTGCGGCCTGTTCCCACTGAACCCAGTCCGGGTCCGGCTCTGGGGTAAGGCCCGGGTCGGGATCTTTGTTGAATCTGTTGAAGATGGAGAGCTTGAGCCATCTGGTCGGAATTCTACTTTTCGTCGCGGATCGGCCTGCTGCGATGTTGGCGTCTCCATTGCTTTGTGAGCTCTGGTCGAAAGGCGCCGCTGGCTTTGGAGAGGCCTGTGCGCCCTGAGGCATTGTTACGAGGAGCTTACGCTCGGATCCGCCCAGGTCCGGGGATGTCGGAGTCGGGTGATATAAGGCAAAGCGAGCGGATCGATTATCTGTTGATGCACAGGTCGCTCTTGATCTAAAGATAGGGTCGATAAATGGCATATGGAGGCGATTGCGCAGGCAAGAAGAGTTAATACATATTTCAGTCTCTTGACAGGATGACGACGCAGGAAGGGTTTTTGGGGGGGGAGGGGATATTCAGCTTCAGCCTCAGCCTGCCCCGGCGTTTGGATAACGCCCCTGTTCGTCACGCTCGCCTTGGAAATGCAGGCCCTAGCCAATGAACTAGCCCTAGTATGTTTCCTGCCTGTAGGGTCGCGAAGATTCAATTATCCTTGCATCCCTCTCTGCGGGAGGGACGGCTTTCCCTCAATTTTGGCCAAGTCAAGACGCCCCGCAACATCTATAACACTGAGAATCCACCCAATCCCGATTACCTACCTCCACGATAACCTCACATGCCTCGTGCAGAGCCCATCCCAGCGAACTTGGTCTCCTTGACAACATTACAAAATGAAATATGGCCTCGACTGCACGACTCGCCGTTCAACGCGGCCCGCAGCGTGCGATACAGGACCTACATGATAAAGCAACTCTCCAGCCTAGAAAAGAACGGGCACAAGGAGCGCTTCGCCCTGACTGACCGCGACGCGGCGCTGCGGATCGTTGAAAAGTTGAGACAAAATCCGAATGCCTCCAAATCGGACCTAGTCAGGCAGCTGCAGGAAGAAATGCGCAACGCGGCCGCCGGGGTGGTGCAGAATGCGGGGGCGGGGACCCGGAATGCCGGGACGCGCACGGGGCCGCCGCCAAGTGTTCCCTCCGCGGAGAAATTTGCCTCATCGCTGGAATTGGCCAGTAGGCTGCTTCTCACAATCGCCATCGACTCGTCACAGCCAGACGTGCATAGCCGCTGCCTACCGTGGCCGAATGACAAGTCACTCAAGGATGCCGTGGCGGCCGAGTTCAAGACGCAGACGGCGTTTCCTACCGAGAGGAGGGATATCCCGCCGGGGATTTCCATGGCCAACATCTGCGATCGCCACGGGTACACTGTGCGGTGGACCGATAACCTAATGGAACATCTGCAGATTGACGTCGAAGCCAAGAGGATCATGTTCTATGAACACCTCTTCTGTCTCAAGCACCATCTCGAGTCCAGAGACCCCGCCGAGGAATTCATCCTCCCGAAAGCCATCATCGAGGAGGCAATTGATAGCTTCGTCCTCCTCTTCCGACCCTCGGATAGGAGGACGCGCGAGTTCCTGGACGGGCAGCGCCCGCCGCGTGACTTTTACGAGCTCGGCACGTGTGGGCGTCAGCGGTGTCTTAACCTCGCCAGTTACCGCCGCTGGGGGCCCAATATCGAGCGCCTCATTGCCGTGATGAATGAGCCGGAGGAGGGTCTTCAGAAGAATTTGCTGGGCAGGAGGTTCGGTGTTGTTGAGAAGTGCGTCGCTTTGTATGTTGCCGTGTTGACTGTCATTGCGACGGGTTTGGCTATATATGCGACGATCTTGGCGAAGAACAGTCTTGACGTTGCGGGGAGGCAGTTTAAGTTTGATGTGGCCAAGGAGTGTCTAGATGCCGATGTTGCGAAGGCGCTGCCCCAGTTCTGCGGAACCCAATAATGGCATTCCCCTTGGCCTCAGGTTGGTGTGGAATCTATTTGGTTTAATCAGTTAGAATTTTAGACGGGAGGCGTGATCTCCCATCCCGTTTCGGTGAGAGAGGACAAGCAACAATTGTTCCTCTAAAGAGAGAGAGAGAGAGACGAGGACAAGCGTGACATATTCCTGGAACTTTTGATTTCTAGACCAATCTGTCGTCTAGTCTATTCTAACAAGCTTTGCAAATGCTCAATGGATTTGAGGCATCTTCGTCTTAGCCATCGATGGGGCTAACAGTAGGATCCCAGCAAACAGGAGAATACTCCGTCGTCTCCAAGCCAGCAACCTCCTCAGGCGTAAGCTGGAAATCGTACAGATCAGCATTCTCCAAGATCCTAGAGTGAGTAACACTCTTAGGAAGCGGGATATAGCCCTTATCCAAGCTCCACCGCAACAAGATCTGCGCCTCCGTCTTGCCATACTTCTTCGCCAGCTCCACAACAGCCTTCTCACCCCACCTCTTCCCCCTCACGAGCGGACTATACGCCTCCACTGCAACATTCCTCTTCTTCGCCCACTCCGTAATGTCATTCCTCGGAAGCCAAGGATGAATCTCCCACTGCCCCACACTCAAAACCCCTCCCTTCCCCTTCCCGCCCCTCTCCTCCTCCAACTCGGCAATATGCCTCTCCAACTCATCGAGGTGATGAACGCCGTAGTTGCTCACGCCGATGGACTTGACCTTCCCTTCCTCGACGGCCTCGACGAGAGCCTTCCAGGCGCCCTTCCGGCCCTCGGAGCCGCCGTAAGGAGCGTGCAGGAGCATCAGGTCGATGTAGTCGAGGCCCGTCTCCTTGAGGGTGCGGTCGACTTGGGCCTTGGCGTCGGCGTAGTTGAGGCCGCGGCCGGGGACTTTGGAGGTGAAGAAGATTTCGGAGCGGGGGATTGTGGCGCTTACGGCGCGGACGGCGGCGCCGGCTCCTGCTTCGTTTCTGTAGACGGCGGCATCATCGATCTGGAGGTATGGGAGGGGGAGTTGTTAGTAATTCGAGGGGAGGAGAAAACAGGAGATTGGGGGAGATTGGATTTAAAGGGGTGGGGGTTCGCTAACATGACGATAGCCGTGGTTAAGGGCGTCGATGGTGACTTCCTGCGCCTTGTCGGCGGGACTATTTACAGACACTCAATGTTAGGAACACTGATCTATTGGTGATTAAATCAAAGGTATGTATGGGCGAGTAACGAAGGTCTTACGTTTCCCAAAGCTACGGCAAAATAATGTTAGCAAGCTCGGATGAGAAGACAAAGAGTATCACGCGGGCAGTGGGGGAAGGGTAAAACTCACGCCGTAGCCGAGGCGGGGGATCTCGTGGCCGCTGTTTAGCTTAAACTTGGATTGGAGAGTGAGGGCGGACATTGTGTTGATTCGCGCTGGGGAAAGTTGAGAGGGGGGTCAATGTTAAAGTTCACACAGAGGGAAACAATCTTTGATCAAATTCTGAAAGAAAGTCGAGGAAACTTCTGGTCTATGCAGAAACGAGTCGAGGGGGCAGAGGGCCAGCTTAATACTTTAGCTGTCGTAGATCGATTTGTAAGAAAGGTCGAAAAGCACGCCGAGTCCGGGATGGGGTGGGGGAAAATCCAGGCTTGCTAAAGGTTGTCGCCATTGCCATTGACATTGCCGTTGCCGGAGTCGAGGCTCCTCCCAACGTAGTTCGATGCTACTCCCGCTCCTTGCGGAACCCGAGACGATGGCCGAATATGGCTAGGACCCCGCGGGCACGTCATCTTAGGAGGCAGCGAGACAATAACGGACATCGACCTTTGTGGTTTCCCAGGGGCGAAGTGAATGTGGCATTACAAAGCATTGATTACATTGAGGATGAGGCATCATGATTGATGGGGGTCCATTCGAGAGGATCAATCCCTTTTGACATGGATGCCGATGATGGCGATTCCGAAACTAGGTGGGTGGGGAGATCTTTCCCTGTTCCTCTTGTTCCTCTTGTTGCCGTCTTAACCCCTAAGTCCGACATGCATCGGGCGTCTTTTTGTTTGCTTCCTGCAAAAAAAAGCCTATAGATGATCGTGAAACTGCCGATAATGCCCGTGGATTTCGAATCAATAGTGCTTAGTCCAAAGGGTAAAAGACTCCTTCGCGTGGAAGATTAAACCATGGAGCTCGTCAGGCAGGACATGGAAGCTTTTCCGTCTCCGAGTGTGATGTCATTGTCAAATGGCAGCACATGGCGATGCAATTGTGGCATGGCATGGCATGGCGGGGTATCAAAAAATAAGTGCGGGGTAGCTCGAGTCAAGCCAACACCCACGAGAGGGGAGCTCTTGAATCATCAACTAGGGGACAAGGTAATAAAAAGGGAAAAAAAAAATATATATATATATATATCTATCTATCATGCACGGGTATCATCTCATCCATTTTAATCGTCGTCATATTATGCTACCCTCCAGCGGCCGCTCAACCTCATTCTCCACCGCCCGCGCCTCATCCTCCTCGTCCTCCTCAAGCTCATAAACGGGATACGTAAGAATCGCCGCGATATCCCCCAGCATCGATAACCTCTGCCCCGACTCGTGCGCGCTGCTGAGAATGCGCGCCTCTCCACCACCGCCCGAAACCTTCTCCACAAGCGCCACGTACTTCTTGCGCGTCTCCGTATCCTGGCTGCGGAAGAGCGAGTCGCTGATGAGCAGCACGCCGCCGACGCCCACGGCGCCCTCGTTGATGACTTTCTCGACGCTCGTGGGGCCGTACCACGCGCGGCTGTCCTCTTTCCGTAGCATGTCGTAGAACTGGTTGATGTACTGCGCCTCTCTCGTGAAGCGCATGTCCTTCATCGTGGCGGTGACCTCGCGGCTCTTGAGCACGTCGTTGAGACTGTGCAGATGTCCGCTGGGAGAATGTAGCGTCGTGGCGTTGTTCATCATCGCGAGGAGTATCTTGTTGGGCCTCTCAGCCTTGACGGCCTGCAAGCCGATGTAGCTCTTAAAATCCGCCGCCACAAACCCGGGGCTCGCGAGGAGTAGAGGCCGCGGCTGCTCGAAATCGATCTCGCGGAGTAGATTCGTAAGAACGAGGTCGAAGAACCCGCGCATGCTTTCGGAGAGATGCTTCGCGTTATCCCTCTTGCTGGGAACCTTGCGCTCCAGCCTCTGTAGCAGAATCGTCCGCGATTCGGTAACGAGGCAAATATTCGCCAAACCCTCCTGCATCACGACGGCCGCCACGGCGCCGTCTTTATCCACACGCAGGGCCTCGTTCAGCATCGTCTTCGACACCGTATCCCATCCGTCGACCCGATCGATCGTGAAGGGTTTCCCCACCTGCAGTCGCAGGGTGTGGTACTGGCCCAGGCTCGCCACCGACGTCTCAGTCACGATGCGGCCTTTTACGTGGAGCTCGGGGACCGTGGGATCCCAGAAGGTGGACTCGACGGTGACGGCGAGGATGCAGGATACGCGCTGGGTTTGGGTGGCGCCGAGGGCCGTGGTGTGCGAGACGTTGCGGGTGGTTTCGGCGCGGACGACGTCCTTGGGGAGGATGATGTTGTAGGCATTCCAGAGATCGTCGGATTCTTCGGCTTGGAGGGTTAGGGCGTGCTCGGAGAGGTCTCCGGCACGCGAGGTGCGTAGTAGTTTCATCGTCAGTGAATTCGATGTTGGGTTCTTTCTTTCTTTGGGGAAGGGGGGGGGTTGCTTTTGGGATCGAGGTGGGTTGAGGTTTCGCGCTTGCTCAAAAACAAGAGTTGAGTGATGCTGATCAGGTCAAATGGTGGGGCGCGGGGCAACCTTGAACAGGTCGGGTTTGAAATGGACGTTAGTTTAATTTAGTCGGAGGCGGTTTTCTCTTGTCTTGGAAAAATATCAATAGTTTAATTTTTTTTTCTGGCTTCCCCTTCCTTATATCGAGAAACTTGAAGAACATCGACAAAAGTCCAAAATTAGCTTTTTTGGTTTAACTTGGCTAATTTTACTGCGGAACTGAAAGGTTGTAACAATATGCGGTGCCGGGAGGATTTGATGACTCGAGTTGGGAATCTCGATGTTGAGGATAACGGTGTCCATCATCCGAAGCCTAACGGTGCTGGTAATTTTTTAGATTGATCAATCCATATCATGAAGCCTGAGAGCTCTTCTGGAATGTCGAACATGATTTGACTTTGCAGAAAAGGAAAAAAAAGAAGAAAATCCAATTCCCACATGCGTTTTCGGGATATTGGTAGTTCATTATTGCCTTCATAAACTAACATTGCCCACCTCTGCTCGCATCTCCTGGCATCCACGAGAACCTATTAGAGGTTTCCAGTCAGTCTGGCCTTGGGAGCCTCCACGTGCATGAACAGTCACATTAAGACTAAATGCAGTTTTTGATCCCTTGACTCGGAGCACCGCCGGAACAGCTCCTGATAGTTCGAAAGGGGACGCTAAACTTAAGATTAGCTCGAAAACGCGAGACACGGAGATTCTTCTTGGTCTGGCTGGATCTGCAGTCGCTCTATCGTAGGATTGTCTCGAGGGTTTGCCATGCATCTGGTTATTTCTGTTGTTTGCCACGGCCCACACGCCACACGATTCGGGTCCCAAAACGGGTTGGGAACCTGCCCCAATGGAGATGGTTTCGTCGGAAAGGGGCATGCTTGTTCTTTATAAACTAGCATCCCACCTATCACCCAGGTATTTGGATAGGGTATTCTGATGGGTGGCGAGGTAATGGTAATAGAGTACTCCGTACTGAGGGGGACCAAGTAATTTACAAAGCAAAATTTACATTCGTCTGAATATCTCCATCCGAATTCAAAGATCATAATCGACGTCATGGTGCCTCCGACAGGCACATTTATAGCTTGTAGAGGCCACAAATCTGGAATAGCCTCCTTGACCACAATGCAGCTGCCGCTTACTACCGCTGGGTACTGATCATGTGGTGGAGTGCACTTCACACCTCCAGTGTTCGGAGTACGGAGTACTTCGTAGAAGGCACTCTTGACTTTTCACATCATGCTGAGGGATTGATATTGATGTGCAAGGGAGCCGAGAGTCGATCCACGGATGGCAGATCATAAGTCCATGGCTGCCTGTCATTATCGCCTTGTGGTTCATGACAGCACGAGAATATTTGATTTCACCGTTGGTGATTGTAAGCGTAATTGAAATTAGCCCAGTGGCTGATTGCTGTTTTTGTGTATCGAACCAACTAAACTATCAACAAAAAGTTGAAGCCAGGGCTTTGAGTGCCGCTGCTTCCGGGTCATCCGGACCAGAACCCTGTCGAGGATACTGGAGGGTAGGTCCTCTAACTTCGAGGGAAAAAGAGGATCAACTGGAAAAAAAAATAATAAATTCCATTTTTGATTGCGACTTTAGCATCAGGATGAGCATGTCCTGCTCTGATAATCTTCACATGATCCTCGTCTCTGAATACCTCATATTCCTTTGTATACATACCGATACAGACCCAAACCCCCAAGACAATTGATCCCTTCAGCAAGGGTTGTTGAGAACCCGAGACCTCAAGACCTTGACCTCCCTTTCTGTCCCACCCCGATCCGACACACTGGTTCAACTTCCCTTCCAGGTTTCAAGGTTGGCCTGGTGTCAAGGTGTTGTTTGGCGGCAGCCTAGAATAAGCGATTATTACCTTCATTATTACACGTACCATCACCACCTGATTGCGGCGTCGAGAGTCGGGTTTGCTCTTTCCTTCAGCGCACCGAGACTGTGGGAAGATCACAATATCACGTCAGCCAAGGCGAGTACCTTTGTACAATTCTTGATTGTACTTTGACTGTTGTTTGTACAGTTGGAAAGTACAGTACTTCGTACAAGTGTGCTTTGTCGAAGGGGAGGGAAGAATCGGTCTGGGTCAAATTGATTTTGACGATTCCGTGTTTGGTGGTTTCCTCTGCTCAAGGTCTTCTAAACCTTCGAGCACAGGACACCTGGTCAGGGAGGCTCTGTCCTATTTGCCAGGCACTAACTAGTGTGGACGGACGACGGTACTGAGGTACGGTACTCTTGTACATTGCTACACTGTACTTCCTGAGGAGAAGCTGAGGCGAAGAGTTTCGTCTGTGCTCCTTCCTGGCATTTAGTTTATTTCCATCGCCTCGTATGGGTCATGGACCCGAGATCCCTGCTCGAGCAATTTGAAGCTTTATCAATTGATCCCTCTGATTACTCCAATGTTCCCTTCATGTTCCATCGTTCACCAGCTCTCGTCGCCACTAACACCCCGAAACGGTTCTAGACCCACCGAATCTTGTCGCAACAATTGAACCATCACTCATCAGCTTCCCCTATATGCCCCTGGTCGATGGCCCATGCTTTTCCTTCCTCGAGAATCGACTGCCATTTCTAATCCCAATCGACACCGACTTGCTTGCACTGGATATGATCATTCCTTTCATCAGTTTTAATCCCATTTTACAGTACATAGACACCGCTCGAGTCTGTCGTTCTTGATCTCGTCCCCGAACTCGATTCCTTTCCAACACCTACGCTGTCAGCTAGCCTCCTCAATTGGCCTAGCCCTTACGTCCCACCTCCCGCCTCACACCGCCGCTGACCAGCTTGCTCAGCCCGCCCGCCCACCTTTGGACCCATCCACTTATCCTCCTGCGTACGCAAGTCTCGTATACGTCGCGAACTCGGATCGCTGCGCCTGCGGCTGTCCGCAGCTTACCCCGGATGCGCTTGCGTCAAACCGAACCCTGAGTAGGCAGGCATCCAACATATCTTCGCTACATTGATCCAAGAGCCGCTAGCCCCGAATCATGGGAGATGTCCGTCTCCAAAGCCTCTCGAGTGCCTGTTGGCGCCGACTTTACCTCCGCGCCCAACCATCCCTCGAGCCCGACCTCTGAGACGAATGTTACCATCAACACCAAGAAGCTCGGCCGAAGCCTCTCACGGTCTAAGAGTCTAAAATCGCGGACTACGACTGACCTTCCTTGTATGTCTCAATATCCCTACTCACCGCTTTCCCGCTACTCATTGTCTTTCGTGACCTGGTGGGGTGCGATCCATCCACATGGGGCCTTTTTGAAGCCTCGGGTTTGCGTCTGCCGCTATATTCCTCCGCCCCTTTCTCTGCATACCTCTTTCCCGGATAGAATCCTGTCGTTTCATCTTGCTAATTCAAGCCCTCCTCCTCTTGCAGCCCCGATTATCTCCCCCACGAACGGGAAGCGCCTCTCAACCAAGTCAACAAAGTCTACGAGCAAGGATGCCAAGGAGGCGAGACCGGTTACGAGATCTTCGACGGCCCCTTTTAATGCGTCCTCGAGTCCTCTAGATCCTCTTTCCCAGGTTCGCCAACCATACTTGGATCTCTCCGCTTCGGCTAGAATACGAGGGAATGGCTTGCTGACTTGGTGACTGGTGATTGTAACAGCATATCCTCCTAAAAACCACCGCCGACTCTGCTAAATCCATTCGCGGCCGTTCGGTTCCACCAGAGAGTCCCGTAAACGATAGTCGAGCCGATCCTGACGCTGCTTTCAAGCAGTCGACCGGCGCCCTCGACGGCCAGAAGAAGTACATCTTACCTTTTCATCCCCTTCTATTTCATACACTAGAAGCTAGGTGGTCATCCTGGATGTGATACTGTGCTAACCACATTCTCTCAATAGGAAGGGGTCGTTTCTTGGCCTGCTCAGTATGCGCGGCGGGAAGAAGAAAGATGACCTCATCGACGATGATGATTCCGACACGAGCGAGAAGAGGACCGACGGTACCAATGCGAGAGTATTCACTTCCTCTGGCGGCGGTTACGTCTACATCCCCCACCATAAAGAACCTCCTCGCTATATCAAGTTCAAGAGACACCACAAGAAGACGCGCGAATTCAACCATGTCTTTCTTGCCCAGAAGCTAGCTGGCACGCTACCGCCAAAATCGGACGAGAAGGATCAAGAAGACAGCCAACCGAATACATCCGTGCCTCTGCCTGGTCACGGAAAGGAGGGTCAGGATACTGGCGGAGCCGTCTGGGCCTTGGCCTTCAGTAACTGTGGTAGATACCTTGCCGCTGGCGGTCGCGACCAGGTCGTCCGGGTATTTGCCGTCCTTGCCACCCACGAAGACCGGAAGCTCCACGAAGAGGAGGAAATTGACGACTCGGGCGCAGAGAAGCTCAGTGCGCCGGTCTTTCGGAGCAAGCCTATTCGTGAATTCAAGGGCCACACGGGAGAGGTCTTAGATCTGAGCTGGAGCAAGAACAGCTTCCTTCTGTCAACCGCCATGGACAGGACCGTGCGTCTGTGGCATATGAGCAGAAATGAGTGCCTGTGTGCCTTTCAGCACAAGGAACCAGTTGCAAGCGTAGCCTTCCACCCTCGCGACGATCGCTTCTTCGTTGCTGGCAGCGTCGACTCTACCCTGAGGCTTTGGAGTATCCCAGACAAGTCCGTCGCCTACTCGGCTCAATTGCCCGAGGTGGTCACGGCCGTTGCCTTCAGTCCGGACGGGACCACCTGCATTGCCGGGACGCTCCACGGACTCTGCCTCTTCTACGAGACCGACGGTCTCAAGTACCACACGCAGATTCATGTGAGGTCCTCCCGCGGCAAGAATGCCAAGGGAAGCAAGATTACGGGTCTGCAGGCGATGCCGATCCCTGTCGAAGGGGGAGAGGGCGACGTTAAAGTCTTGGTGACGTCTACGGATTCCCGTATACGCGTTTACAACCTCAAAGACAAGTGCCTCGTTGCCAAGTTCAAGGGGCACGAGAACCAGTTTACGCAGATGCGCGCTAGCTTCAGCGACAATGGCCAGTACATCATTTGCGGAAGCGAAGACAAAAGGGCGTACATATGGTCCGTGAGCACCGCAGATGCTGAGAGCAAGGACAAGCGGCCCTATGAGTCGTTCGACGCTCACACTGAGATGTTGACGGCGGCCATTTTCGCGCCGACTGCTACGCGGAAACTTCTCGGCCAGTCCGGTGATCCGATCTACGACCTTTGCAACCCGCCCCCGGTTACTCTTCTCAGTAGAGAAGAGACAAACGCGAGCCAAACTGCCTTCTCGGATCTGAGCACCAGCGAAGCGCTGGCCCACTTGCGGAAGCCTGAGGAGTCCCCCGCGTATATTGCTAGATCCACCCACTATGACGGAAACATTATCGTGACGAGCGATCGCACGGGCGTCATCAAGGTCTTCCGTCAAGACTGCGCCTTCCAGAAGCGCCGGAACGAGAATTGGGAGACGGGGTCGACTTTTTCGAAGAAGCTTGCTGGTGGCCTTCTGGCTCGGAGTGGTAGTGTTGTCACCCGGACGAGCGGCAACAGCATTCCTCACTCGAGGCGAACGTCCATGTCCCATCCCGCTGCTACTTCAACCGCTGCCTCAGGAGCAGGAGCGGGGACTGGGGCAGGGCCGGGTGCCTCGTCGGATCGGATATTATCGTGGAGACAGGACGTTGAGCCCAGCCGTACGGGCTCGGCTGGCGGCACGAGCATAACTGCTGTGAACAGCTCACGGTCAAGGCCTTCCTCCCGAGGAGCGCCAAAGGCGCCGCCGATCAACGTAGGATTGGCGAATCTGGCATCCGAGGCGAGACGGCAGCCGTACACTGCTTCGCCTAGTACTCGAAGCGCGTTCGCAACCAGTCCCACGTCCGAGAGGACATCCTCAAGAGATGGACCGCAGGGCCCTCCAGCTCCGGGCTTTACGTTTAAGCCGATTGACGAAAAGGTTGAGGAGCCTAAACCGGAGAGCGGAGGGGGTGGCGGAGGACGGACACATGCCCTATGGAACATTACGTCGCGCTTCAAGGGCAGACGGACAGCTAGCGCAACGCAGACGAACGGCGGTACTGGGACGGGAGCCAAGGAGAAGGGTACCGTCTCTCCCGTGAGCGATGCGGTTTCGAGCGAGGATCTGGTCATCAGCGCGAGACGACGTGCCAGCCGCTCAACTACTACGTCAGGTATTGAGTCGCCGCTCGAGATTCAATCCCAGGGTGCCAACGGCAAAGCCCTAGACGCCCACCCTTACCCGCTCAAGTACAGAAGCGAAGGAGAAGCCTCCTCTCGACGGCGATCGTCACACCACCAGCACCACACCGACCCGGATGACTCGGACTCGCCGTCAGAGTACTTGACGGACGAGGGCGAGGAGACGGCGTGCGTGCAGTGCGGTAACCGGGATTTTAAGGCGAAGAAGATTAACGGGAAGCAGAGATTCCTGTGCGGGAAATGCGGGACGCTCGTGACTGCGCTCGGGAGCTGATGGGGCTTTTGGGCTAAGGCTGGGAAGCGTCTTTGCTTTTGTTTTTGGGGGAGGAGGAGGCTGCTCTGAGGATGGGACGTTTCCGGAGCTGTGTGTATGTATGTATGTATGAGTATGAAGGGATTGGGTAGACTGTACATGTATTAGAAACACGACACGAGAGAGGGAGTCGGAGCCTGGGTCGAGTGTGGAAAGGGAGGGGAGTTTTTTTGATTAGAGGAAGACCAGACATAGACTCGGGAAACTTTTGTGTGTGCATTGGGAGGAATTGTTGCAGATGGGAGCGAAGGCGTTTTTGTGGAGGGTGCATCATACTTTGTTCAATACTACACTACGTTGAAGCCTCTGGAGTTTTTGCGTCCTGATATACTGGGATATGTATGGGTGTTCTTGTCAATTCGTTGCGGTCGAGGGGAAACATAAGCTTTTCTCGTCCGTCGAGTCCGTTCGAGTCGCCAGCTTTCTTTACGAGGGCTGGTCTGGCATCTGACCGAACTTTCCTGACTTGCCTGCACTGGGACAGGGCAAACCGACGGAGTATGATGGCCATGAACTGAAAGAGGACTGTAACTTTTTGTTTGCTCATTATACCTCCAATGCAATCTAAACCTGGTTCCCCATTCTACCCATCCAATCCCTCCTCCAGACACAGCCGTGATCCATGCCCCTTACACGCTAATCGTCCTAAAGACGCTAAACTGCTCACCCGTCGCCACAAGGCTCCCCACAATCTGAGGATGCCAATGCAACTCCCTAACCTCATTATGATAATGCACAAAGAGTAGCTGCGGAGGGATATCCGGCACGCCCGCCGTATCCTTACTCTCCTCATCATCCAACTCGACAGCAAGATCCCACAACGTAACGGTATTATCGCCCGCCGCGACGGCAATAACGCTATCATCCGTGGGGTGCCACTCGACGCTCGTGACCTGCTCCTTGTGATAATCGAAGCTCGCCAACGGACTCGGCTTTCCGCTCCCGCTCTTCCACTGCCTCAGATCCCACACGGCCCAAACGCCATCGTCCGCGCCCGAGGCAAGGAGATGCGTCGTCTGCCTCGACCAGGACATGACGTTTACGTCCGTCCCGCTCACCTGGACCGTAATAGCTGGTTTCCGACTCTTGCTCCGCACGTCCCAGACGCGAATCGTGCCGTCGCTCGACGCAGAGGCGAACACCGACGCCTCGGAGGGACTCCACTGGATCTCCTCTACGCTGCTGTTATGGCCCCTGAAGGGCTTCGCGTCGGTGGCCCAGGAGCCGTTGGTCGAGGAGGTGAGGTAGATGAGGCCGTCGTTGTCGCCCGTCAGGAGGCGCGCGTCGGAGGTGGATTGCGGGGACCAGTCGAGGGCGTAGCCTTCGGATTTGTGGGAGCGGACGGTGTATTGCGGTTGGTTTTGGAGGGGGGAGATGACGAGGCCGGGGTTGTCGAAGGAGGAGAGGTGGGCGGTTACGTCGTGGATGTACACGTCGGAAGATTCCGTCATCACGGCCGTTAACGTCTGTGGCATCGTGCCCGTCGCAGTCGCACCGCTGTTGGGCTGCCACGCGCGGATGCGGTTCGACGTCGAGTTGAGCGGGATAGTCTTGCTCTCGAGGATAGGATCTGAATCCTCATCGTCGTCGTCATCGCCCTCGTCGTCCGAATCTTCGCCTTCGCGCTCCATGCGCCCGAGGCCGCTGAGCTTCATCACCATGAGCTGGTTCTCGCGCGAGCGGGAGGACTCGGCTTGCGTGCCGGCCACGGTGTACATCGTCGCTGGGTAGACCTTGCGGTTGTCGCCGAGGTGGTCGCGGACTATGTCGAAGGAGAGGCAGGGCCAGGGGGTGCTGAGGGAGTGGAGCATTTCGTAGGCGGTTGGGTCGGGGGCGAGGACTTGGCCTGGTTCGAGCTTGTGGCGGCCGATGATGAAGGTGCCTTGGTCTACGCTCATGGCGTCTGTAGAGGCAAGGACAAATAATTAGCAATGAGAGAAGGGTAGAAAATAAATACAGGTGGAAAGGAAGTATTCATAAATATATCTATCCTACTTACTTTTCTCTTCGGCTTCGCGCTCGGCGTCAGGACGCCCATCGACACCGGCCTCCATGATCTCGTCCTCGCTCTCAAACTCATCTTCGAACTCGTCGGCGAATTCGCCCATGTCCTTGTTGTCGTCGACGTCCATCTGCTCGGGGCGCTCGCGGTCTTTGAGGGCGCCGCCCGCCGCGGCTTCGTCTTGGCCCGGCCGCTTCGACATGGTGGGGTAGGCTTGGTGGGGTTGTCTTGCCTGGATTCAAAGGTTTTTGAGTAGGAGGTGGTCTTTTTCGGGGGGAAAGAGGGCCGATGTCGAAAGACGAGACCGAGTTTGAGGTCGAGGCTCAGGAAATGAGCCGTTGCTGTTTTAGCGACCGTCGGATCGCAACGAGATCAAAGGTGTGCCTTGAGATGGATAAAATCGAAGATAAAAAAAAAAAAAAAGTGGGTTGCGACTGCCCCTCATCGCTGTGGCTTTGTGGCTGAAATGGTGAAATGTGGAGGGGTAAAAGTATGTACCCAGTGCGTGCTTTTGTAACTCGCACCTTCATGATTCTTGGTTTCTCATTGAAAAGAGGGAATGGCCCAGATAACAAGGCGGATATGATGAAGTTCAAAGTGTTCATGTCACTTCTATTTCCTAGTATCCTCTAGATTATATTGCAAAAATTTATTAGGAAATCACTAGACTTTAATCGTAGTATTTAAAGATATCGTATAACCCCACCTGTAAATGTAGCTATTTGCGAACCTCGTCGTGAACGTCCCTCATGCCTGTCTATAATGCCCAAAACCTTTCAACTCCAAACTCATCCTGAACAAAACATATCATCAAGCTTCTTTTTCTCGGCTAGCGGGTGGCGCTAGATCTTTGGGCCTGGCCGAATTTCATATCGTTGGATATTGTGAACCTCGAGGGCCACGTTACAGATCGACCCTTTCCAGAGGCTTCACTAGCCGAGATTCTGTCGTACACGGTTGGCAACCCCGTGGCGCCGTACTTCCGCCGAAGCGCCTCATACGACCCCTTGTCGTACAACTTCCAAAACTGCTCGCTTGTGTAGTATGTAGGAGTGCAGAGTGTCTTCCGCCCGCCGAGCTCGGTCACCCAATTTTCGAGATCCTTGTTGACCTGCACAATCCCTTTCGAGCCTTGGTCTTTACTCGAAGTGGTTTTTGGTTTTCCCCAGATGCCGATGTTGAGCATTGGAATCGCCAGGCCAACAGCATCAGTTGCATGTGGGTGGAACGTCGGCGCCGGTGTGTCTCGCACAGGACAGATCCACATGGGCCAAATGTCCAAAGTCTTGGTAGCTTTGCTGATAAAGTCCGCTGCCGTATCGAACGGTAGCGATACGTCCTGGATAATAACGGTGGAGGCAGATGTCGCTTCCTGCGCCTCTTTGAGCCCCTTGCGCCCGCTTGAGAGGCGATGGAGGAACCACCGCGTGAATCGATTTGACGGATTAGCTCCGAAACGCTTGAAGACCTCGCTGCCGAGCCAGAAGCCGCCGCGGTCGTACCGGAAGAGATATTCGGTGAGGGGGATGTAGTCGATGGGGCTTAGGCCCACCATGGACCTCTCAGTCCTTTGTTGAACCTGGAGATAAAACCACGGATCCCACGATCCGCTGAAATTCTGAGGCTCGAACGACCGCGGGATTTCATCAACGAGCTCCCCTGTAATCGCGACGCAGTGTGTCTCCGAGAAGACGATGCCATCGATGAACTCGTACTCGGTGTCTTCCATGAAACGACGTACGGCATCTATCATCTCACCTGGACTTCTAAAGTTGTTGTACGTCGCCTTGACAAACTTGCAAGCTGGGACCAGTGTCATCTCCAATTTTGTCACAACCCCCAGCGTATTCATCGACCCTGCTGCTCCCTTGAGCAGATCTCCGTTCTCGAATAGTGATGCGTTCACGATACGTCCATCAGCTAGGACCATCTCGATCGAGCTCACGGAATCGGAAAAGTAGCCGTGTTTAAAAGAGCTGCTCTCGGCTATGCTCCCGGAGAACGCCCTCCCTATCCTCGTCTCCGGGAACTCGATCATAACGGCGGGCCGTAACTCGTGTTCGAGCGTCGCGCGCAAAAGTTCGCCCATGGTCACGTTGGGCTCCACGGTGACCATCTTTGCAGCGGGGTCTATGGATAGAATATTGTTGAGCTTGCTGACGTCGACGCCGCCGCCGCCGCCGCTAGAGCCGCTGTTATTAGAAGAACCGACACCGGTCTCGCTTGCACTGTCGACGATGTAGAAGGGTTCATTGCGGGCGTGAAGAGATTTGACAGCAGCTGAGATGTCAGCTACCGCTTTGTCGTGTTGGGCGTTGAGATCCATGATGGATGCAGAATTGAGGGGATATGATATCCTGAGCTCTGGATCACCGCAAGTTGCCTGGTTTAGTGCGCAAGCCGACTGAGTCAGCTTAGTGATGCCATACGATATTAATATCAATGCTTCTTTCCAGGACAGATAGATAGATTTGCGTAATTTCACCCCGGTCAAGCACACAGTCGCCGAGTAAAGGGGACAGCGATGGGTCTCTTGGCTTGATGTAATCCAGAAAAATTTCCCAATGGTCCTACGAGTTATCGGAGGTACGGGCCGCATCCTTGCCTGATGCTCAGCCACAATTTGGGTGCCAAAGTTGCTCCTGACCTGCAATTTTTACCTGAGACGATTGCTCATCTGACTCGACTCAGGATTGTTCCAGTTCCACGTTCTTCCGTGTCATCTCAGCAGTGGGTGAAATTTTTCTTGCAAGATCTTGGTTGAATCAATAATCAATGCCAAGTGGAAAAACATCAGAATGTCCGAATGTAACACAAAGGCGTGGCCTTTTTACGGCTGCATCTGGAAAATTGACGAGTCAATTTTTCATCGTCCAAGAGCTGAGAACAACGTACTCGGCGGCTCTTCGGGCCGGTTACGGGCACTCTAACACAGCCCAAGTCTGACGATGGATTCAAAGTGAAGTGCCTACTTCGCCTCCCTGTTGCCCGTCACCTTCCCATCTGAGCCATGAAACCATTTCCGGTGAAGGTGAAGTCTCAGCTTATCACCGAATGTCCCGGCCCATTTTTCTACTCCCTCGTCGTCCAGCTGCTGCCCATCACCGCTATCTGGGACGAAGACGACGGGGACGTAAAGGCAATTGAAAGAGTATAGAGGAATTAGTTGCCGGAGAAAGGGAACTTTTATTCAATTCTGAACCAAGGGGGGCTGGAGATTATCGAGTAAGACATCTTGGGTTGCGGCTTCTGATTAACCAAGACTATATCTATCATGATTGGACCTCATCTCCCACTTCCTCGTGTGAGGACGCTTGGGCCTATATGTAAATCTTCTCCTATTGAACAGCATTGAAAGGGATGAAGCGTATCTTCAGATCCTCTCCGCCTGGGGCTCTCGCAGACTACTTCACCAGTTACCGGTTACTTCACTGCAAAGAGACTTCGGCAGAAAGTTAAAGCTCTCGCTTCACGGGTTGGTACTCGGTCAGACATGTACAGACCCCCGGCTCGCCTCGTGGCTCACCGCTCCGTCAGTGCTGAACCCGCACGTCGAACCATTTCTAAGCCCTAGCCAGGTAGCTCATGTATGACCGTTAGCCCGGCTGGAAAAGAGGCTAACCGGAAGGCATATTTGCTTACTTGACTGACTAGATTTTCGAACCATCTCGTATCTCGTACGCTCGCCCCTCCTAATTGGCCGATTCTGCCTCCGTACCAACACATGATATGCAGGTGAATCACGGTTACACAGACCGCCTCACTTTGACCAGGCTGAGGCTCCTACCAATGTTTTTACCCCTCTTCACCCGCATAGTCTTACAATTCGAGAGTAACAAACATCTCTTTGGGCGTGTCGTGACCGAGTGTCAAGCCATGGAATCTTTTCGAAGGGCTTCCTTTCTTATTTCCCAGTCCTTGGGTGATTTTCTCGATCATATCTTGCCAACTAACCTTTCTCTTGCAAATTCTTACGAGGTCACGAAAGCTGTAATCACCAGGGTAGTGAGGTCCACTGCTTATATTACCCGCGTCCTGGCACTCGAGGTCTTCAACAAGCTGCACAGAGCCGTGTCCTATTTAAAGAACTGCCGACTAGGCGACCTTCGAAAGCTCAAGAGCTGTCAGCTAGTCGCCACACTTGTAGCCTGCCTATCGCTCGTCTTGGCCGGCGTAGCGTTTTGGGTGTCGTTCGACGCCCTGCGATACGCGAAATGGACGGCACACAAGGAATTTACGCTCCTATGCCACGATGAGGTATGTGACATTTATAGTAGCGGAGAATGGGCTTAGGGGAAGGCATGCTGAGTTGTCCTGTCTAGGCACTGCGAGCACTGAGTCAACAGTGTGGGTTGGGGGGGAATACCTCCTCCATACCAGCTCCTCCTGGGTACCCAACACTGGTAACCGAGCGGGACCTCATGATCAAGCGGGACTTCGTGGGTGATACTCCGGAGTACGGCATCATAGAATCCTCAAATCACACCTGCCCTAACTGGGTCGTATCGCCTGTATTGGGGATAGTTTGCAAGAACGAGACCGCTGTTCCCGATGCTCGCCAGTCACGACTTGATAGCAAGCAGTGCAAAGCGCACACTATACTCTGGGTTACTGTCGTAGCCCTCATACCGGTGTGGCTGTTGCTCCGTCGACCGCGCAACGTACCACCGCCACACTTTGTCGCGATCTATGGTGATAGCGACGAGCCAGCCCATCAGCGAGAGTTGGCTTTCCTAACCCTCAGAGAAGATGCCAGGAAGAAAGGCTCCCTGATCAAAGACGCTCAATTTGTGCAGTTAATTTTCCTTGCACTACATCTATATCTCAATGATATTTGGTGCCAAGTCCACCTCCACGACCGATTTAATACAATTCTGAGCCCCTACATGGAATCGGAAGTCGCTCTCTATTTTGGCTTCCTCTTCTTCGGAGCACACTTTCTCTCGGAAATCTGGAAACTCCTATGTTGTCCCCTTTGGTCATGGTATCGGTTTTATGTTAGGGTCATAGGCAAGCGTTGGCCCTCTCTAGGGACGCCGGAGGCCCTAGGGCTTGCTCTTCGAGAAATCCTGTTCCTGTCCGCTTGTCCCATCTTGGGGTTCCTGGTAACCTGGCCGGACGAGGACGCTCTAATAGCATTGGGCGGTGGCAAATGGTCTCTTAGGCCATTTTTATTCATATTCGCGATATCCTCGATATTATCCTCCAACCAAGGCACGAAATATCTCGATTTTGCTGAGGACGAGGTTGAACTGTTCCATTCGCGCTACAACCCAGAGATAGGGTGTTGCAGCATCTGTGGCAACCTGGACCAGGATTTCAATGGGCGCCAATCCGACTGGATTTCCAGATTCTTAAACAATGGCCCTGAAGCAGGGCTCAGTTCACTGTACCTCCGGAAGTTTTGGTTATGTCGCCAGTGTGAGGGCTCGACGGATCCATCATTGACCGGGAAGCATCCGAGAATGCCATCAACGAGGAGGCGGCGGACAGTGGAGAGGGAGAGTGGTGTAGTTATCAGGACATGAATGATTACGCGGTCATTGCTCCGTTACAGGCGATCCCCAATAAAGAATGCATTATCGGTTCGCCACGGAATAGTCTGAGTAGGGGTTATAATCGCCTTCGCCGAATTGAAAGTTTGAAGTGAAAGAATGCCCTTGCATTCCAACTTTCCTAAGTTGAATCTACTTCTCCCTTCCTCTCATTCATTCTCAGATACGGGCTGGAACGTAGCGAAACTCAACAAGATCCTGGCTGCTGAATCCGACGCTAACCTTGAAAACACGTTCAACAATCCTCCACTGCTGCGCCTCCGTATCCCAATAGCTGATATCCCGGCGTAGCAACTTATACCCCTGGGCCTCCTCGCCCACACCGAGAGCTCTCTTGTCAAACCCGCGAAGTTGCCGTATCGGTGTCCTAGCCGGCGCGCTCTTTGGGAAAGTTAGATATAGTTGAGCCACGGTTGATCCTGCCACGGACAAAGTCGTGATAATCGTGGAAGGGCTTGCCTCCGAAACCTGGAGATCAGACTGCTCGGACGTCGTCGTGATGTTTGCAGTTATCGGGGCAAAGTCGTAGTCGGTCGCGTTATACGCAATAGTGTAAGGGAGCCAGCCCGCCCCGGGATAATGGGCGAAGAGTATAGCAGTGACATTGGGGTTGTCGGCAATGGGCATCATATTGATACCACTGTGTGTGTTACAACGATGGTGTTGTTGCATCCTCGCGCAACGCTTTCAACGATCTCGTCGGCGTTCCAGTCAAGGTCGAGATGCTCTCGGTCATAACCTTCGCTGGCCCAAGACTTGAGGAACACGAGGCAGGCTTCGGGCGGGGTTGCAAAGAATCGCGAGACATCAGAGGCAGCGATGAGGGTATTGCTCAGCCAGTGTTGGGTGTAAGTGCCCTCTTCCGCCGCACGAGCGCGAACCGCGACAAGAGGGCTCACCAGGCTTGTGAAACGGCCACTTCCGGAGCCGCCACCAATTGCGAGGGTGCCAAACTCAAATACTTCCTGGTTTATGGGGCTTCAGCGGCATCACCTGCGTCATTACCAAAGATTCCGATAGATCTGGGTACCTTGGAATCCGAGCTCACCCTTCAGCAAGGCGTTTAGAAGCTTGGGGTTCTGGCAGGCGTAAGACCAGTTGATTCGGTCATAGGAACACATGATCGCCGCCACACCTTTATGTACTCCATTGGCAAAAAGTTAGAGATACGGCTCGTCTACGGAAAGGGTACCGGGTGGTTAGCTTTTCATGCCCTACTGCTGGACGAAACAATGATTTCCTGCTAGTGATTGGGGGCCACCCACGAAGAGTTCGATCATCAACATTCGAAGAGACTGCCTCAGAAGCAAATCCGCCATCCACTAGGGTAGGATTCTGCATAATTTCCTACTTATTTAGGAGGAAATGTTTTGCTGTTGCCTGGACACCGGCGGACTGGAAACCACGGACGGTCTCACCCATAGCAACGCCACTTAGATATGGATCAGGAGAGAATCCCTCCCAATTACGACCCGAGTAGGCTGAGCGACCTAGGGCCCTGCTGCCGGTCTGGCATATCGAGCGAGGTTAGTCTTGATGAGGAGAGGGGGCTATACAGGACAGGGGCCACTTACGCAAGCGCTATCTGAGCTCCTTCCTCTTTGAACTCCCGCCCCATAGCAGCGGCTCTGCCATACATCATCTTTCTATCCCACGACGACGCAATAGTGACTCCCAACGGGAACACGCTTACGAAGTCGGCATCACGGAGGGCAGCTGGCCCGTCCTGGAGACAGAGGCCACTGAAATTGAGGCGGGGAATTGGAAAGATATTTCCGACGCAAGGCCCGGGGTGGCCAGTGACCATGTAGGATTTCTCCTCGAGCGTGAGCTCAGAGACAAAATCGCGGGCTTTTACCAGGGCACTCTCCCACCCGCCAGCCCCCGAGGTTTCAGCTACGAAGAAAGTGAGTAAACTTTTCCTTTCCGCTCCGGTTGATTGTGATCTAGTTTCTATATGACGTACGTGAAGGGTAAACGGGCTCGGAGTGGCCATACTGTCCCAGAATGACCGTATCAGCCGGCTGGGTCCAGACGAAGGAGCCGTCCGGGCGGTAAGGCAGCCCGAAGTTCTGGGCAAGGGAAATGGAAGCCAGGCACAAAGGTAGAATATATCGTGACATTTTGGCGAGATGGAAAACCTCAAAAATCTCTGGAATCAAGAAGCAAATCGTTCAACGGACGAAAAGAGAGTCTCTAGCTTATATACACCACCTCCCAACGCTACACTGCGTATCCGGATGATGTTGATCATTCTTTTCCCGAACGAGGTTTCATTACCGTCCGCCATATGTTTTCTCACCCCGCTCATAAACCACACTAAGTGAAAGTTCCTCGGCCCATATTGCACGTAGTCGGGCCTATGAAGAATTTTAGGGGAGGGTTGATGCAAGTAGAAAGCGATCTTTCCGCGCCCGCCACCCCCGGTGTCCGTAAAATTTCGGCTAATCCCTACCACGGTCTCCAGGTTTCGTGAAGCGAGTGAAGCCATTCAAGCTGATCAGCTTTCTTGATATGATATACAGGCGGCCTTTTGTCTTCGAAAGTTAGCATCACCGCCAAGGACCGAAAAACCGCCGTGGGTACGAGGCCCACGTAATATTTTGTCATCCGATAAAGTATCAGCCGATGGTTGACGAGTAGTTGAGCCATGGCGAGCCAATGTTATACGCGTATTTCAGACGGCAGTCCCCCACGATGTGACGCCCAGAGCAGGGCAACGACGACGGTAGGACTGTCTCGTCCCGAGCTTTAACCATCCCCGCGCCACCCCGCATCGCAATGTACGGAACTGCAGATCGAGCGGATCTTCCTGTAACCTCACCAGTCTCTGACAACCAATGAGCTCTGGCTCCTTCTGCTTCCCGCAGACCAATCGGCCGGGTCCCAACACGGCAGTCTTCACCGGGATGACGGGATTGCCTGGGGTGATGGTCCTTCACAATAGTTGTGCTGGTAGAGGGAACAATTTGAAACTCCGAATCTCAGCTATGCGGTAGCCGAGCAGACATTCAAAGAAAGAAAGGATGAGGGTCGAAGCCAGAACCAACTCGGGCTCAAAGTGATTTACGAGGGAGAGTTTTTGCAAAAAAGATTACGGCGACGCACCAAAAACCTTCCTTTTTATAGTCGATAGTTGATGTGCTTATCTTTAGCACTCTTGGGAACTATCACAACAGAGCCGTCCTCTGACTTCCTCTGGCCAACCAGATAACTCTCCAACCCCCTTGAACTCCGTTGAACTCCGTTGGACTCCCATTTAGTCACACCAAATCTCCAGAACGATTTTGGGACGACAGCTCCTAACGCCCCATCACAAAATCGAGACAACCCACTCCCAATTAACTAAGAGCATGGTGACCTTTAGGTGATATGGCGCACTTTTCTGCAGAACCAAGGAGCTGCCACGCCCCACAGCAATTCAATTTAGTGAGCGCCCTGGACTCTAACCTGCTATCTGCCATTGCCATTTCCACTGCCGCTGTCACTGCCAACACCTGCTCCAACACGTCCTCCCACTCCTCCATTCATTGTGTAGCCTATTTACTAAGTCTTCTCAGTCTTCTCAGTCTTCTCAGTCTTCTCAGTCTTCTCAGTCTTCTTCCTCTTCTTCGCCTATTCAGTTTGCTCAGTTTCCTCAGTTTTCTCAGTCTGCCCAGTCTGTCCCGTCTGCTCGGTCTGCTCGGTCTGTTCAGCCTTAGCTTTCACACCACAATTCCCACTTCTCGTCCATGACTCCGCAATCTCTGCCTTCGCGTAATAAAACCCAAGAAGACCCTCCTTAAAGAGCTCCACACTATCCGTATGAGCCTGGAGGATAATAAAATCGAACGCAGAACCCTGCCCGATCTTGTGGCGATCGCTGAGGAAAGATGCAACGGCCTCCTTCATCTCGCCACGGACAGCATACTCCATGGCACGATCGTAACACCACCGCTCACGTTCATCTAGCGCGGCGAGGATCCTATCCTGAGCTTTAGCAGCTAACAAAATAAATTAGTTTCGACTCTATACGAAATCAGATAAAGCTATTCTCCTCAATCGTAGACTTACACAACCCCATTGTAAACTCGTTTTTGACTTCAAGTCGAACAGTCGTCCAATTGCTCTACTATCCAGGTACTAAAAGAATCGCCGAAAACTATGAGTAAATTTAAATTAGAGGTCAACTGGCATACCAAGAATATCATCATGCCTCTAGGTGCGACACAGCTTGCAGAGCATACCTACCTGTACAATCGTAAAGTGAGACTTCCGCGAGGTAGACTAACCGCTCTCGTTGGAAACAGGAAAAATGAAAAGGCTATCGCGTCCATTGATCCCAAGAAGACTAAAAGTAGCTTCGTTGTGGAAAGAAGAAGGGAAGGCAGCCTACAACTGCGAGAGACCATCTGTTTATATACCCCAAGGCAACAAACGAGTTTCAGAAAACCAAACGAAAAGGGGCACCACTTTCCTCCTCGAAGGGAATCTATCGTAAAGTTACAACAATGGTAGGGGGATTAACAAGGGAGCTCTCAATGAACCGCGAATAGCAAAGAAGGGGAGGTAAAGATAAAATGTATCGCCTCAATATCCCTCCATTCAGTTTTAACTACCCATTCCTTCTAGTTCTCTTTTAGTACCTTGTTACCATTCAGACAGCATTTCTTGTCCCTTGTAGATCTATCCATTCAGTACCAACCGTCCATTCCTTCCTATGCTCTTTTAGGCTCCATTCTTCATCCCCTCGACACTCTTTACTTAGTGCCAAGGGTTCAAAATAGAAACAAGGAAGAGAACAGGAAGATGAAGGTAGAACACACAGACTGGGGATGAATGAACGGAAATGCGGCTAGGAAATAGAGGGCCGCAGTTGTTAGCCTAAATTAGAACCTACAAGTCTTCTTCAAAGTCCAATCAGTAGGATCTCGCAAGGTCCTTCTTATCCAGAACGTTTTTTTTTTTTTTTTTTTTTTTTTTTTTTTTTGGGACCTGATGGAATCGTCCACCTCCACGCAGTGGTGGCCTGGAGCTTCTGGCAGACGTGGGCCATTAACTCTCCTGCCCGTGTATCGTCTTACCTGGGGTTTCAATCAGCGCCGCCTGCCCTTCGTCATCGTGGTGATGGAGGAAAATCCCTGTATGAAGAGCCTCAGCAGAGAAGCATTGGCCGTTGTTGTAACTTTCGCCGAGTATATTTTCGATATTGCAAGCGCCAGTGGCGTGGAGAAGCGACTCGCGATGTTGATTGAAGAGCGAGGGCAAGAGCCTTTTATACGCTGAGGCACGAGAACCCAGGCACTCTGCGTGGTGAACCTGTGAGCCCAGGTCACTTAGGTCTTGGTGACTTGCAAATCAGCCTCCGGGTGGATGGAGAGCATGGAAAGAGGAGTACCATACTGAAATATCGAACTTGAGTTGAGAACAGGGTCTACTGATGCGTTAATGGGTTGAAAATTCTTGACCGATGTATTCGATGTCTAACTGCCGTGAACAAACTATATTTCTTTCTACATTTGAATAAATCCGTCGAGATCTGAGAAGAAGCCGCCCAAGCTGAAGGTACAGCCTCCCGCAACAACTCAAGCTTATCGAGATCGCCGATGTACAGTACAGGCTTGGCAGCCAGTTAGCGCATCTTCTAGAGACTCTTGTAAAGTGAAGAAAGAACATAATACCCATCAACATTCGCAAAACCAGCCGTCATAGGACTGAACTCAACACTCAACACTACTAAACTAATTGCAACGGTTATCTATCATGAGCGGTTGGACCGTCAACACCAAAACACTCACCTCTAACTTTGTTAAACAACGCACCAGACTCGTAAAGAGAAATCAAATTAGTCGGCCACGACTCCCTGCAAACCCCAACTACGTCAGTTCGGTACAACTCTTCCGAGCAGACTCAAGCATGGTAGCGTACCCCTCAACAAAAGTCACTCAAATTATCAGCCCGTGCTCCGTAATTTCGACTCCATGAAACACAACAGAGTAAACGTCACCGATAGTCGCGTAGCTCCATCAGCCACGCCAAAACCTCCCTAGAGGCTAGACTCCTCTCGTCACCCCATTGGTTAAACCAAGTCTCAGGCCCCCCAACACCCCCAGGCAAACTCGAAGCATCTCTATCACGACCTATAAAGAGCACCGTGACCTTGGGGCTATGGGACGCGCTTTTCTATGAACAAAGTTAAGGAGGAGAAAAGAGCTTCCCATCGCGGCCAAGGTTAGAAGATAGCCCTAGAAACATAATCTATTTGTAGTCTACTCAACCTGCCACTCGCCCCCAACAGCAACACCTGTTCGATCTGACACTACATCACCACACAAGTCGATGCCTCTTCCTTTAATCCGTCCTCCTCAGCCCTGCAAAGCCAAACTGGCTGTGATAGTAATCCAGCCAACAACTTTACCTCGGGCTTCTCACAGCCATAACTCGAAGAAGTGCCATCAAGGCCTCTCTGAAAAGCCTGCTCGAACGGCCACAGCAGCAAAGTCTCCAACTCTAAATCCTTCAGCCTCACAACAAGAGCCGAAACATGAAATGAGCCTCCAGCAACATGCGAACGAGCATGATAACAAGGAAACTCCGCGCTAAGCGTTCGTCTAGAAAGGGCAGGTCTCGACGAACAAAGCTCGCGCTTCAGACCGTGAAAAAACAACGTCCAAATCTCCCACTGACGGAAAACACCTCTTGCCCGTAGCTCCAGAAAGATAGCCAACGCGGGAAACAGGTCCTCAGTCCGGAACGGTCCGAACACATGGAGGCAAAATGACGAACCCTTTGCCTAAACTGCCTTGTAATGGGTGTATGACGCCGCTAGGCCACTTCCGACGGGCAACCAACATAATTCCAAGAATTTCGTCCAAAACTTCAGCCTGCTTATGCTCCTCATCAAAAACAAAACAAAGCCGTATCCAACTTACATCATCGGGTAACAGAGATCGGCCCTCGACAACACCGCCATCGGGATCGTGACATAAAAGAAGAGAATTTCTCCGAAGTTTTCGTGTTTTCTCCAAAAGTCGAGAGGCATACGGCTTCTCCCACCTAGATGACCAATCCTCGGGGTCTTCCACATCAGCCTCGGTGGGAAAGCACTCAACAACATCCTAATCCTGGCATTGACCGCTGCTAGCGGCCTGGACGGAAAGCTTCGTAGCCCTACTGGCTTCCGGACTCGCCTCGAGATCGATACCATCGACGAAAACGAAAACAATAGCGGCTCCACCATCGCCTAGCCACGACTCGACACCATCGTCTTTCGACAAAATGGGCACTTGGTCATCTGGAAAAGGCATTGTGTAAAAAGCAATCGTAGCCGTTCCTTAACTGTAAAATGAGAACAACCAATCCTGATTGTTAACGACAATGCTGTACAATTGTTCTTGATGGTGGATAGAGACAACTAACCCTGGCTGATGCACCTCCATAGGGCTTTCATTCGTTTTCCAACTTTGTTGGTCAAGGGAACTAAATCCTAAAATTAAATGTGTTGCAGGACAACCAGCTTTGGTTTGGTAGAGAGTAGTGTTCATCCTGCAATCTGGAGAAGACATCTGTAGTTATACCCCTGGGAAACAGGTAAATTTCGGAAAACCAAACGCAAAGAAGTTCTGCATACCATTTTCAGAGGAATCCATCGTAAAACGCAAAGACAAAGACAGAGTCCACTGCCTCTAGATCCCTCCATTCAGTTTAAACCGACCCTTGTTTCCAGTTCTCTCTTAACATCTTCTTACCTTTTAGACTTCATTCTTCGTCCCTTTGACACTCTTTACCTAGAATCAAAAGCTCAAGACAGAAGCAACGAAGAGCATCAAGATCAAGGCAAAACATACGAACTACGGAGGGACAAAAACGGAAAAGTCGTCAAGAAATAGAGTTATTTGATTGGCTGCCCGCAATTACTAGCAGTTACTAGGGTCTCCAAATTTCCCTAGAGGCTCCAACGCAACGAGTCCGGAAAACTTGAGACCTACCACGATTCCACAAGTCCCTCTCCTGTACAAGTATTAAGATCTACTCATGTCACTTTGCGGGCGTATCGGCCGCTCTTAAATGCATCGTTACGCGTTGTTGGGTGGGCTTTTACACAGGTGCAGACGAGGGGGCGAATGAGCCGGAGAACCACGAAACTTTCCCCGAAGCTGATTGTCCTAGAACTTGTTGTGTTTACTTCGGTAGTCTCGGATGTAAAGATCAATCATTGATGTACCCATTAGCCATTTCCCAAGCTCCTAGTTTCGATATATAATCATCCTTGTTCACCCTGTTCGCCCTGTTCAAAATCGCCGTAATGGCGAGAAAGCCACTCATCCTCCATCTTCCGACCTCTCCTAACTGCAGCTTGGAAATCTTCCCAGCTATTGTAGTTGATCCCATCCATGATACGCCTCCTCGTCCGCCTAATATCCTCATCTGGCGAAATTTCTTTCCTCTCCCACGGATCCCGGTAGATCCCCGTCGTCAAGACGGGCTCCTCGGCATCGACTCTCTTGCGGTTCTCCTGACCGCCGAGGATCGGTAGAGGACAGTCCGTTTCATCAGCGTTCTGACGGAGCAGGAATTCGAGAAGCTTGCTCTTTTGCTCATCGAGGAGGCAGTAGATGCGGTAAGTGACGTTAAGTCTGTCGGAATGAAAATAAATATCACTGGGCTTTTTGATGTTAGTCGCTCGGCTTTGTTTTTAAAGGCTAGGAGTGGAGGGGGGGGCGCGAGAACAAAGAGGACCATCTCGTACATTGGCATCAGGGATCTTCGCCGGATCACGCCGATCAAATAACACAACACCACCCATGATACGTGCTTCTGCCCAATAACCAACGCCATCATGAACCCCATCGGGGTAGCCATCGTAGTTCGTGTACCAACGGTGAACGAAGAGCGTCTTCAGGGGCATCATACTCTGGTAGTTTTCCAAGAGGATCGCACCCAGTCGATCGTCTCCGTGCCCGTCCGTCTTGGACGGCATCCACGTAGTGAAGTCATCGTCCTTGTGAAAACCGGGTTCTGACTTGCTGAGGTTGACGGCGATCTGGTGTATTGCCCGGGCGACGAGCTCGACTAGCCTTGTGTTGAACTCTCTCGATCCAGGCGCCGCTGTCATGAATGCGTGCATGGGCTTTTCAAGATGTTAACGTTGCTACGTTATTCCATTATCAACTTGTTGGGAAGGGAAGCAAAAGCATTACCTCGGCGGCAAGTTTGAGGCTATCGAGTTTAAATTGCGCGCTCAGCTCCAGCAGTCGGTCCATTGCACCTGGGCAGAGATTTTGGTGTCGTTCATAAAGTGGATGGAGATAATGAAGGTTCGAGCCGCCGTATTGATCCCGTTCTACACTTGCTATTGGTGCTCCGTCTACAATTTGGGCCAATGTTGCCTTGGCGATATCTGTGGAGAGAACATTCATAACTGCATTGACAAGGTGGGCCTTATGGTTCGGGCCCAGCGATTCAACAGACGCCATCAACGGTCGAGGACGGGAGCCCTCATTGGAAATAGTCGGAAGCTCTGTCATCTTGCGGACAGTGAAAATGGTCCTGGGCCAGTTGCGGATGGGGTTGGGGCAGATATGAACTCGACATAAAACTTGGATGAAGCTGATTGATTGCTCTTGATGAGGGGACAAATGGCTGTCAGGTGACCGATGACCAGTCACAGGTCTGACTTGTGCACCCGCCACGAACGGCTTCTTTTACAAATCTTGACCAACACAGATGGATTGTGCCTCAATATGATAATCTATCTTAGTGGTCCACTGGATGGAAGTATTAATATGCAGAAGGAGGAACATCTCCTGTGCCAAGAAGTTTCGAATCAACTGCCTGTGGTGCCAATGGCACGACATATTCTGACCGAACGAAGTTAACCGCTCAGCTGGCTCTGTCTGGGCCAGTCACCGGGCTACAAGTACGATTGAAGTAAAACAGTCTGATGTAAAGCAATGTTTCGAACGGTACCAGTCACAACTGCACCTATAAATAGTATACGCTGGAAAGATAGAAAGACTGCAACAAATAGAAATCTCTGGAAAGAGCAAAATGAAAACATGCATTTCCAACCATCAGGATTCTTAGGTTGTCGCCGATCCAGCGCCATAATTTGTTGCTTCACTGGAAGGAATGGGCCGGAATGGGATAATATCGCACGACCATCACTCAAGTGGCGGCTACGACGGCGGCCAGGGCATGCGTGAAACGTGATGCAGGGGGCGGCTGGCGCCCAGATTAAAATAGCACCCAATCTTTTCCGTGGCTCCCGGCGCAGGCCTGTTGTGATTGCCTCAAATGATACTTGGCGATGGCATTCGGCGCTTAATCAAACGAGAAATTGCTTGGACCGAATTCCCGACTGGACCTGGCAAACAATCGACCTGTGGGAAGGAAGGCCAAAATTAGAACACCAAAGCGGCGGGTCTCTACACTAAGACACTCGATACTGTTCCCGTCTGATATAAAGGATGCGATGGAGTCCGTCCACTTCCCGAATCCTCTTCTGCAACGACCATTCATTCAATAGAAGGATACCTCCCTTTTACCTCAGACACTTCCATTTTCCTTAAGCCACTCGATATTCTTACTTCACTTTGTTTCAATTTATTTCACCATACCCTCTTCGATATCACTCAGCACCATGTCCGCCCGAGTTACGTTCCAAAATGTGAATGTATTCTCTGACGAAGCCGGGAGCCTGGAGCTCCTGCGTCCACAATCCAATAGGAGAAAGAAGGTAACCGATATCCTCGACCGTGCTTTCAACCTCATCCAGTCACCATCCGGAAAAGCAGCCATGGTCAGTGCCGCCAAAGAACTTATCCACCAACGGCGTCGGGAGAATGACATGTGTCTGTTCGATCCCAAGAGTCGAAACCCCGATTACAGCCGTCTTCCTGCTACTGTAGCCCTCTTCCTGGAAAAAATGAAACTCAACTTTCCCGATGTGATCTTGGGCTGGGTGGATGATGGAGAAGCAGCTACGAATCGAACTCAGCAACAGTGGGCTACGGCAGAGGAAGAGAGCGAGTTGCAGAATTTCACTCCACCCGATGCTGGCACGATGCTTCTTCACCGAAATGTGAGCTTTCTTTGCTGATAACAATAACCATTTCACGCCTTGACTAACCATGACTCAGATAATCGGGTCTATGTGCAATACAAACAGTGATTGGGAATATCAGAAGTTCCTATTTCAGATGACGATTTCTGTGGCACACGAAATCATGCACTTTTTTACGTCGTTCCTCACAGGCGACGGTCGGCCTGTAACTCCTCGGCAAGTTGGGGTTGTGGGATATCCAGGCGAGATTGGCCATCTCTGGGAACGAATAGCTATAGGGGGCCACATAGAGTTCTACTCTAACCCGCAGCCTGCTATCACTTCCCCCAGGGCCGGCACCCCCTTCATCTTCACTAATATGTCAATGGCCGCATACGGTAAAGAAGTACCCGAGCGGTTTGTCCGAAGATTCGTGGAAGGACGTGAGTAGACTTACCTACCATCGTTTTGCGATTTACGAACCTCTGCGTTGAAGATAATAATAACTTGGTATTTCTAGACTTTGATATTCCATTCTTCCCTCCTCCTCGACGAGGAGACCCGACGAGAGCCAGTATCCGCAGCCAGTTAGTGGGCATGTATGTACTTCGTGAACAAGCTAGGGATACCGGGTCATGGCAGACGGTGGGTACGTCTAGGGCCCGGAGTTGGAGATACCGAGTCATTGCTCAATCCGATGTTGAGTGAGATCCCAGGGGAAGAGCCACCCTCACGGCTAGCACGTTAGGGTAACTGCTTCTGTTTATGTGGAAACGGGCTTTGGGAAGAGGCAGTGGAAGAACAACTACTATCGATCATTCTCTGAAAATCTGGACTTGGCGTTTTCCTTTTGTCTCTTTTGTCTTGTGTGTTTCTCTCTCTCTCTCCCCCCCCATCCTTTCCTGTCTCTTTTTATTTATTTTTTATCCGGGGTCGTTTTTAGTTTCTTCTAGTCTTTTTTAGTCATTTTCCCTTTGTTCCTATTGCCCTTGCTGTAGTTTTCTCTTTGATGGTTCGGAGCGGTCAATCAGCTAAGGCAATATTTCGTATGTTGTACAAAGGTGACTGGCTAAAATTTCTCTTCCTCCCCTGTTATTAGTCTCTACAAGATATCGTTAGTATCTTTCCTATCATCATCTTCGACCTGGAGAACTTTGGTCCCACTCGAGTCTACACGCAAGGGAGGTAGGCTAACATTTGTAGAAGGCCACCAGCAGAAGACATAACTACATCTCGGTATTTATCAACCGATACCAGTTTACAACACCCTCAGACAAAGGGGTGTTCCTGGACGGATAACAACACCTCCCTCATCGAATACTTGATAGTCTAGTACACTGTACCATCTAACAACTTCATAGAGTCAGAGTCTCGGAATGACCGTCAACTCTCTCACATCTTGCCGTAGAAGACGAGAACTCGCCACGGAGAAGCAGTGTCGATTTGAGGAGTAGGCTACCGGGCTGTCGACTTAGGCCAGAGAACATTGAGGAAACCTCTTCTGAACGCGAAGCTGAACTAGCTCAATTTCTTCGACACATTCATAAATAATAGTTCTGAATAGAAAAGAAATCGCTATTATAATGCTATCGCTTAAAAGTACAAAAGGACATCTAAAAACAATTAATGCAACAAGCGCCCCGTCCCCTACGGTTCTATGTATCCCGTTTTCGTCTTGCCCATGTTCCACACACCGTCAACTATCCAACTACCATTCTCTTCACTCCAGAAATGCTGGGGTATCCTGTCAACTCTTGGCCTCAGCGGCCCGTCCACGCCCATCCAGTTCCAAAAATCGTGCCAGAGCATTAAATTGCTCGGCCTCCCCTCCGGTCCTTCAGACATCTTCTTGAGCCCGCTCTCATCAAAACACTCGGCCACCTTGAACCACAACGCCTTATCTTTGAGCTGGTGGACGGCAATCACATCCTCCCCAGACAGCGCATGCAGGCTCCCCTGAGAATGTGTGGCCTTCCTCGCCCACGCCGTCCCATCCTGGCGTGAGTCGCCGTCGGCGTAGTCGAATTTCTCCGTGCCCCTGAAGTTGACAAAGTTGACTGTCTGCTGCCCCTTGAGCATGAGCAGCCCGACAGCCATATCCTCGGGCACCACGACGTTGAACTGGTTCTGGAGCTCGACCAGGAGCTCCACGATATCCCATGTCACCGTGTATATTGATCCGTGTGGAAATGTGAGACCTTTGTTGCTGTAATAGAGCTGCCCGATTATCGTCCTCTCCACTGCACTAGTAACGCGACCTTCCTCGTTGATAGATAGCCTCGGAACGAGAAACCTGTCCCAAAATCCACGGGCGTTAAGCCAAAGGTCCGTATCGATCTTGGAAACGAATTCGTAGGTACGATTTTGGCCGAGAAGCCATTTATAGAGCTCGAGCGTTTTGACAGTATTCGCGGTGATGTGGTCCTCCTGCAGGTGATCTAGAACAATCATGTCCCCAAACGTGCGATTCTCCATGGCCACAATCTCGGTCCAGTTCGGGCCTGGGTTCGAAACGACAAAGCGTCTGTCGAAAGGAAGGTCTCGGTATAAGTGCATCCATGTTGACCGGATTAGCATGCGTCGTTCCACATCGCACGCGGCGCTGACGACCGCGGTCAGCCAAGGTTTCGGCGTCGTGTCATTCTCGTCCTCCAGCGGTTTCTGGATCGGCGTGTGGGGAAAGGGGTGGAGCGGGTATAGGGTCGGGACTTGGTGGATATTCTGTCCATTGATGGTCAGGTCGAGGTTCGGCGGCTCGAAGGGCGGGCGGTTGGGTGGTTGTCGTGTGGAAAGGTAAATGACGAAAATGATGCAGACGAGGCAGACAACGAGGAGGCGGACGAAGGGTTTCGGGAGGCACTTCGTCGAGGACCATATCCGGCGGGAGCTGGGTGAGAAGGACCGGGCCAAGGCCATTATTGAGTGGAGGGAGAGGGTTCGTGAGCCGGAAAAGGGGTGCCGGCCAAGAGTCCGAGAGGGAAAAGAGGAATTGCGGATTAGCGGAGATCAAGATTTGGTGGACGTGTCAAAGCCATGGAAGGCAAAGAGAACGAAAACCCGATCCTATTTCTCTTGGTAATTATCGTGTGTGTTTTCGTGGACAGCATCGGATTACAATACTGGGGATAAATCCTCCAAAAAGCCTGGAGTGTTGGCCGAATGAGGAAAACACAATGGATCAACAATCAAAGTTTGGGATGCGGTCTGGGCTGCACCCGCGTTTTGACAAAGGACCAAAAAAAAAAAAAAAACCAAAAACGCCCAGAAATGAAGCGGCATAAGCGATTGGATTATGGTTCCACAGGGCTCAATATAAACTAGTTATGAACTAATCTTAACTTTCCGGATACTACCAGAATGATCATCAACGATTCTTGGTCTGAGTGTCTCCCATTCTTGATTCTGCCTGGCCTAGATTGGAGCCCCTGTCGTGGCGGTGCTGGCCCCTGAGTCAGGAGCGTTTTCTTCATCCCTTACAGGTGGAGGTTGGAAGCATAATTGGGCAGCTCAGCGACTAGCGAGCCCCTGTAATTCACAGCCACCCACGCCGCCACAGAGTGCCTTGGAGATGGATGTTCCCCTGAAATGCACGAAACGCACCTCGGCAGTGGAGTCGGGATTAAATTGGGGACATCGATCGAGCGAAGTACTTCGATGTTTGACTTCGTATGACTTCGTGGTCCAAAACGGTCAAGTTGCACGTGCACGCTGCATCAATCACATCAGGCAAGGAGCATGTGCGAGTCTGCCCTGCCCATCATGTGTATCGACATGAGGCCACCTCGTCTGTTCCAGCCTCGACATAATTAGGTGGCTGAATTCGCTGTTGTCATCCTTTCCACCGACCAGATCACGGACGCACTAGTCTAAACAAGACGGTCGGCTCACGTTTCATTGTTGAATCCTGACTAGAAAGGATCAACGCTTTTGTGAGAAAATACGAAGTACGAAGGAACAAGCTGTTCCTGAGTCTCTTCTCAAGCATGTTTCCTTGATCACGTGCCCCTGAGTTCTGCCGAGTTTATTTTTAGAACATAATATTGCTCCGTCTCCCGCCCCCGGTCCCACTGGGCCAGGGCTTTTCCGGCACGCACCGGCAGCAACCGCCAACGTCTGCCGGTGGCTGCTTATCGCCGTATCCCCGACGGTCCATATCAATGCCGTCTCCCCGGTCTTTATCTTCCGGGGAGGGGTGTCTCCTAACAGGGGACAGTTTGTAGAACACCTTGGTTGTGCAGGATGCCTGTCTGGGCTTTTGTAGGCCTTGTTCTAAAATGACAGGTGGTGAGGCTCGTTCGCTCCTTGTCGGTTCCTTGTTGGTTGGAGGAAGGTCTAATCGGTGCTCAGTTTATTACCTTCGTCTGGAGGTGCTAGTTTGGTTTTGATTGACGGCGAAATCCTAACACGTGGGGAAGCGGGCCAAAGACCTCAATTGCTTTCTAGTGTCAAAGAATTCGAGCCTTGACTGGACTTGGTCGCTGTTAAATCGATGCTAGGACCGCTAGGTTGCGTATCAGAGCCTCTATTAAGCTCAACAAACTCGACAGTATCTTAGGGCAGATCTCTGCGGTCAGCTTTGAAACGCTGTATGTTTGGCTTGTGCATGGGGAGGAAGGAGTGGACAGAGGACATGGAGAGAGATCAAGGACTGGGTTTGGATCGCTCAAACATGTCGTCGACCAAGTAGCGACCATCACCGTACATTTTCTTTGGCTCAATATTAATACCCTGCCGCGCCTTCCACACCTAGACCTCACCCTCAAACTACATTAAGAGGGGACAATTGGAGCCTCCTTCCTCTTTCTCTCTCAACATTGAATCGCTCAATGGCTTATCTAATAAACTTCGTGATTTGATGCTCGGTCGCTGAAATTGGCTTCCCTCAATTGTGCTGGCCTTTTTCCTCCTAAGTCCTATTTCACAACAAAAACACTACTATCTTGTAATGTTCGAATTTTGCAACTTGTTTCCCTTTCACCTTCTTCCAAAGTCCAGTCCGATACCAACCCACATTCAGCATGGTTTGCCTTTGTCCGTGCATGCGAATTCCAAGCCATATGAAGAGCAGACAGCTCCACCAAGAAGGCGACGAGTTTCTCACGGCCAATGAAACTACACTCTCCGAGCAAGGTATCCGGTTCCATCAAGCAAAGCCAGTTTTCAACCAGCCGGCCGAAATCGATCAAGGCCTGAACCTATTGCCTGATTTGGAGGAGCGACTGCATCTTGCTAGGAGAGCCCAAATATCAATCCGTAGCCAACATACAAAGGAGTACGATGTCAAAGACTACGCCTTTAATCTGGTCCAGCTATCCTCGTTCGTATTTAGCGACCTGGGCTTTCTCAGACTGATATCCAGAACTGAGGGGTACTTCCAGTACCGTCGTCTAACGTCCACTGAAGCTTTATTGGCAATATGTACGTATAATATACCTGAGGCTGTCTCCTGTTCTCTTGATGTTAACTGTACTAATAAGCTGCCCTCTAGTTCTTCAACGAGATTCCAAAATGCGAGCTTCCACAACTCCTTCATCGAAGCGCCCAACACCAACCTCACACCTAAGTGACCCAACCACATCGCGAAAACATAAAGTCGCCAAGACTCTAGCATCGGCCAAGGGGACGGAACGGGGTGAGTCTGAGAAAGTATATCAACCTAATCGAAATGATGATGAGGTTCCACGAAATGAAGAAGAATCACAACTTGTAGGTCACTGGAGGTTGGCTCCTCTCTTCTTCCAAGCAACAAATGCTAAGATATGTCTTAGGCCCTAGAAAGAGACAGAGCCGTGTGCGTTATCACAGGATCCAGCCACCCCGAAACCTGCCACATCTGGCCATTCTCCGCGAATAACAACGTGGACAACTTCACGAATACCCAAGAGGTTCTTAGCAGGTCGCTAGGATTGCTAAGCCCTAGCCTTTTTTCTGGGCTAACGCAATTGCTAGCCCCGGATACCGATGAGCTCGGATCTTCCGATAAGGCTTGGAATATGATCGCCCTTAGCCCCGAACTTCAAAGTTACTGGTCAAAAGCCTACTTTGGACTGAAGTGGATCGGAGCCGATAACCCGACTTCGAATGACAATGACATTGCCACATTCAAGGTCGAGTGGCATTGGCTTCCACGAGATGCTGTCGGTGCACTAGAGCGAAGGCTTGGAAAGCTAAAGCGGACTAACCACTGTTCTCTTCCCGAGATCGACCTCAAATCTGAGAAGGTGGTAAACTTGGTTTGCAACGCTTTGAAAGAAGCATGGACGCCACCCAGCTCGACCTTTCCGGAACTGGCTAGGACGAAGTATGCCTCCTCCAGTCGGCCAGTTGAGACGGGGCATATAATCTCGCTTAGGGTCAAACGCAGCGACTTGGATAAAACCGAAATTCTAATCAAAACCCAATGGCTTGCTGTCCAAATGGCGGCACTGTCTGGCGCTGGAGAAATCGCGGATGAACTCATTAGGAAGCCTCCTCGGCCAATGGACGGGCCTCCAATTCCCTTGTTCCCTTCACTACGCCCCCGTGAGGCCGCCGACGAAGAGTAACTGCGGCCAGATCCGTGAATACCTCGGGGCAGGAAATAGGAAGCTCAACTCTCTCCGAATAGATATGATGGAGGGCAATGGGTTCGACCCAGGATTTTCAATTTTATTCAAACAAAGGAATAGTCGAAGATAATTTTGTCCTTTCCTCGTTAGCACGCCCGTGTGTGGTGGACTGAGAGTAGTAAAAATGAAAATCAATGAAAAGCAATTCAGTTTACTTGACCCAACTCAAAGGTGACAACTTCCACAATCAGATTTCTACTAGTAATACCCATCGCTCCTGCCTCGTTCCTTTCCATCACGATCCGAGGGTCGTTCCAAGGACGCTCGTACTGGGGGAAGGGACAGTTGGGGAGTATCCTGCCAACACCGGAGAGCATTTCAATAGGCGAAAAGTTTGACTGGAGCATATACATTTGATGTACTTCAACACGCTAGTCATACACCAATATCGCGTTTTCTTGAGGACGATGAAAGCTTTGCCGGGCAAGGGTGGAGTTCACGGAGGAAATTAACTGAATTGGATGTAACGGTTACGACATCAAATCTACTAATGTCTGTTTGTAGCGCCTATAGAGCATCCGTGATGTTATATAACTGCCTCCTCAGAATGCGTTTCCCAGTGACCAAGATATAAGATTTACATCTTACTTCTCTGGGCCTTCTTAAAATTCCTCCATCTCTTCGCAGCACGAGCTGCCTGAACCCTGAAGGCATAAAGGAACAATACAGCCACGATTAGGAATCCGGCAATGCCGCAAGTCAACCAGAAGTATTTCTCGTCGTGTTCGGCCTCAGCGATACCTTTAACGTTCATGCCGAAGTAGGAAGTGAAGAAAGACAGAGGTAGGAAAATGATGGTGACGATGGTGAAGAGCATGACGGCCTTGTTCTGGTGGTCTGCCACGATTGCCAGTTCGTTTTGCTCCACGGTTCCCAACAGAAACAGCTAACAAATACTGTCAGTCTGGCTTGAGCTCCTGCAAATAAGGGGGATGGAAAAGGATGTACCTCGTTGAGGGCTGTCTGGTAATGATCTAGAATCGCGTCGAAGCTCGTCTTCTCCGCTGTGACTTGGACCAGGGCCCAAGTCGCACGATCGACCATCGACTCAGCTTCGGGATCTACGTTGGCATATTCTCCAGCGGCTTCGTACTCTTGTTCCATCCTTTCGCAATCTTTCACGAGCTTCTCCATTAGATCCAACTTGCGCAGTGTCACGGCCTGTATAACCCGGAGTTCGTCGATGCTGCGAAGGTACTTCCGAACCAGCTGGACGGCTTCTCCACGCTCCCACGGCTTCTTTTGCTCGTCTTTCTATTTTGTTTTTTCCGTTGTTTAGTTTTGATTGCCTTTCGCCTTTGGGTACGGAATTTGTTGACTTACCAGGAGGACGGCCAAGTCTTGATACGCATTGAGCAGCTCGGGACAGCCACTGCCGGCTCTCGTACTATTCGGGGTCGTGGCGATTTCTGTCATGAGGAAAACAGCCAGCCACTCGGCGGTCTTTCTATGCCACCGGGACGTCCCGGAATCCAGGAAGGTGTGTGAGAGATACGCGAGAGCTGAGGCGAGTGGATTTTCCATGATCTCGTCCGCGTCACCCAAGTAGTCTGGAAATTCGTTGCTGTTGTAGTTTATTCCGGGCTGAGAAGAGAAGGTGAGGAGAAACCCTGCGATTGGGTGCAAGAGTGAGCATATGGAGACAGGCTTGACTAGTAGGTGACATGTCACTTACCGTCTTCTCGGTGAAACGCCCGCCAATGCGAGATCATCACGAGAGAGTCCTTGAAAGCAGGGTGTTCCGAAACAGCCTGGTTAAGCTTGGAGACGTCGCTCGGCAGCTTACGGTTCCGCAGGTCCAGATCTCCGAGGACCCTATCACGCATGGTGTAAGGAAAGTCCGCCTTGACGAGCTCCCAAAACTCCAAATTCTGCTGAGCTACTTGACCGCGCCATTCTAAGTCATCAGCAACGACCTCGCTGAAACCTTTGAGCATATCTTCTGTGGGACCGTTCTTCAACGACTCGACCTCAGATAGGAACTTCCACGCCTCGACTTGTTCCTCGTACATGTGGCGATTGTAGAACGTCATGACTTGCAGATTGTCAAGATACGGCCAGGCCGGGTGGCCTGCTATCAAGAACGGCTTCCCATGCTTTGCACTTCCACTATAGTTAAAAATGTCCTCTAGTGTCTATGGGAGAAAGGTATTAGTTTGTCAGCCCCCAGTTTCGCAGATTCTTAGCCGTTTCACAGCATCGCCCTTTTGGCCATGGATCAGAATTTTAGTCTTACAGATTGTAGAAGCCCGGCCCCAATGTTAAGATGAACCCAACGAACAGCCACATCGTCAGGCTTTGATTGCACAATGTTGTCTATCTCCGACAACGGACGTGTATACCGCGTCGCCCTCTTCTCATAAAAGTCCACAACCTGAACGGGCAAGGACGCTCTCGCAGGAAAGAAGAAGCGGCAGGCATCGCGGGCGTCCAGCACGGCCTTGTCGTTGAAGCGATTTATCGGCAAGTCTGACGAGGTGGGCGTCCTGCCGAGAAGACGTAGTCGACTCCCAAAGGACGGCTGCTGGACATGTCGGAGAGCTGCGCGGACTTGTTCGCGAGCCTTCTTCCTTTCGGCGCGGGCCTTTTTCTTCGCTTCCGTATCTTTGACAGGTTCGGGTGGTGTAAAATTGATGAGAATTTGTCGCGTGCTTATGGTGACATGCGGGCGGGTGTCGGCTCCATGATGCTCTTGCGCGATGCGGCGGGCGCGACGCGAGGGCAAATTGCTGAGGTTTCTGCAGTGTTGTTTCCTACCGTCGGGTGAGCCAGAGCTGTCCGACTGAACCTTTTCCTCAGTCGAGAGGTCCTGAGAGGGGCTGGAGGATTCGGATGACATCGAAAAATAGAAAAGAAAACGTCGTGGGCGGGCAACTTCGAATACCAATGCGGGCTGTGGGGGAAAAAAGGGTCCAAGTTTGATCACTTGTTTCGGGGAGAGAGTCGGGAGGTTTTTATCTCTGCCGTGTTCAGATGCGAAACCTCCCAAAGAGGCAAAATATCTTACGTGCATACCGTCAGCATGCAAGAGGATCAATATTTGGTCCTCGAGCTCCTCCCAATGCAACCATGGCCAGGCCTTCTTGGGGCTGAATGCTCACGGCGCAGGGGTTTTGCGCAGGGGTCGGGATATCCAGTCGCCATCACGAGATAGACGCCAGGCCCTACACCGCCAGCGCTGCGGCCAATGATGGGCAGGTAATTTGTTCGAGCCCTACAGGGGGATTTGGGTCTTGACGAAATTGGGCGTTGTGTTAACCGCTTTGAGTGAATGCCCAAGAGTTTCCCGATTCCTTCAGGACTCGCATGAGGCGGTGTCCAGGCCGTTGAAGAGAACGTTTGAAAGACTCGTTGGATGAAACAAGGGCGGGAGCACCCGCGGGCCCCGCCCCCAGGACCAAACTCCCAGTGACAGGCGCTGACAGCACCACTTTTGACAACGCTCTTTGGTCGAGCCACCTGTCAAATCAGAAGTGGCAGAAGATGGACTATTTTGGCCCTAGTGATTCTCTGTTTTGACACCACAACACCACCGCGCGCTCTGTTTATCACCCGACCCCCCAGGAAATATTGATTTCTATAAATATCGCTTTTGGCACTGCCTCCGAGTTCCTTCCAGGAGTGTTGGATCATAAACTATGACGAACCGAATTGACAGCCTTGGCAGTGTCCCATTTCAGTCCGATTTCGCAGAATGCCGCAAGTTGAAGGTATTCCAGCTCCTTACACAGGTATTCCCCAGTTTAATCGTTGCGCCAACCTCGGAAAGAAATCTGAGGCAACAGTCATAATCTTAAGATTACATCCTAGCGAATCGCCACCAGCTTCACCACCGCAGGCTAACTCTAAATCATCCTTGTAAGACGTAATGTCACCCGCTGCACGCCTCTTTTATATTATATCTCCGACAGTTATGGATAAGTTACTCATTTGTCCTACCCGCGAGCTTGCATCTCGGCGACATTCTTTGATAACGTTGTCTCTTTTTAACGCCTTGAGAAACCCATTTCTAGGCTAGCATGAACGTGGTCTCTCAAGTGTTTACCAGGTGTTAGTTTAGTTTTGAATACACGGGAGAGAAATAGGATCTAACGGACTAAATAATATAAAATTACATCAAGCTTCGTCGAAGTCGAGTCCAATTTGGTACGTTGGGACGACACTGGGGGGGAGAAAATACACGTATAAAACTTGACATCCATATACTGCACGAATATAACCATCCACTTTGGATTTACAGTTTGCCCTTGCTGTTAACCGGGCGGAAGCCATCTCCCAAGAAAATGCGTCGGTCAACCTCCAGCTCCGTCTTCCAGTCCGGCTTCTCCTTCTTGTTGTAGTCACTGTTAGGCAGTGTCGTAGAACGAACATAACGCCTGGCAATGTGCGTCGCAATCTCATCACCGTCGATAATGGCGTCGAAGAGAAGAAGGGTAGCGGCGGTAACAACCTCGAGGTGACGGAGGATATCCCTTCCGCGGTACTCGAGCTCGGCATGATCAATTGAAGTGACTAGGTCAATGAGAGCTTGCAAACGCTCCTGGACGGCAGCGCATTCACCACCGAGCTCCCAGCTCACCTGGCTCAGGACGCTGTTCACCCACTGAGCGTAGACGGTCGGGATCACATTTCCGCCGCCGACTCTCTTGTCCTTGAGAACACGGCCGATATCCTCGGCCATGACACTAACGGTTCCTTCCCAGATGACTTGAACGACGGTGTCTCGGAAGAGCCTACTGATGTTCAGGACACCGTGATCTTCATGATTTTCACAGTATCCAACGCCTCCAAGACACTCCATAGAAGCTCTCACGCCTTCTATGGCCGCAAGACTCACCTGGCTCTTCATCACCGGGGTCAAAAGTCGCAAAAGCGCAGCCTGAGCAGCGGGATCCCGAGGAATCAGTAGCGAGGCAGCCGTGCCGTCAACGGCCTCGTTCCAACCTTGCTCGACGCATCCCTGCAAGGCAACGCCAAAGAAGGCAAATTGCGTGGCCGCCCAGTACTTGACCGTCTCGCCAGCCATCCAAAACAGGTGCTGGGGGTGCTGCCAGAGAAACTTGCCACGGGCCGTCCGTGCCTTGGAGTAAGCACGGCAGATCGCGAGACCCCTCGACCAATTTGTGGCGCTGCCGACCGAAGTGTAGATTCGAGTAATGTTGAACAGGGCGGCGATCTCCCTAACACCCCTGCCCTCCTCTCCCAGGAGCCAACCGCGGCCTCCCTTGATTTCAAGCTCGGCCGTAGGGACAGCCCTGGTGCCCAGCTTGTTTTTGAGGCGCTGAATGCGGATACCGTTGAGCTCCGTTGGGATCTCGCCTTCATTGGCGTACGCACGGCCGTTGCCGGCCCTACGGCGAATTGGAACCATGAAAGCACTCAGACCCTTAGAAGTCTGAGCAAGGAGAACTGTCAGGTCTGAATCCGTGGCGCTACTGAACCACTTGAAGCCATCGATGCGCCAGGGGCCAAGGGGCTGCCCGATGATATCCTGAGAAATCCCATTCTGGGCATCTTGGGCGATCTCCTGGGCGCTTAATCTGCGAGCAAGGGTCTCCGTGCCGCGAACGTCACTTCCACCAGTTCTCTCCGTCATCCACTGACCGCTGGTCCATGACTCAGAGGGATCCTTCGAAATCAGCCTTCGGTACGACTCTCGAATGACCGCCTGCCTCCCCGGCTGGTCACCGTCAGGGTCGTTGAGATGGCGAGAAAGCATGGTCGCCGCGCCATCTGTCATGGACAACGGGCACATAGTCAGTGCCGCCGAGTGAGACCAAACATGATGAAGCGCGAACTGCTCGACACGGCGATTATGCGAAGTAACAGACTTGTCGTACGCGGCATGGACGACGCGCTCCTCGACGGCAATCTTCTTCAGCGCCCTCCACCCTTCCGAAGTAACAAGAGGGTCTTCGCGATTCTCCTCTCCGAAGGTAGTCAACGGGCGCAGGAAGGGGAGGTTCGTCTCCGCGTCGACGACGTGATCGAGGACGGCGGGCTGCAGCACGCGGCGGGAGAACCGATGGAGCTCGGCACCCACGGTTGCTTGGGCCTTGGCGGGGAGGTAGAGGCGCACGATTCGCGCGAGGACTGGGTCGTCGGACGCGGTTTGGACAGACTGGGATCCCGGCGTAGTAAGGGTGGGGGAGGTGTACTGGGGTTCGATGCGGGGAAGGACTTGGAAGAAGCCGTCGGTGGAGGACGAAGGACCCTTGGTAGGAGCCATGTTGTAGGAGGCAATTTTCCTTTCTCTTTTTCGTCGGCTGGCTTGGAGATGGGTGAATTGAATTGCGTTGGCTATTAGATGATTTCAACACAATGGTCTCGATGATTGTGTGAGGTTATGGAGTCATGAATACTGATATATCCCGAGTTCGTTCAGTACACCGAGTATCACGAGGCGAATAGGATCCGGACATATGGCGCAAACCGAGGCATGTCTCCTCCTTTCATCCACACCACATCGTCCAAATGGTGATGGAGAGACGCCTGGAGCTGGTTCAGGGAGCCGGAAGCCGAGTCATGTGACCGGCTCTCATCGGCTCCGTCTGGGCCCATGGAAGCGGGGAGGCGGGGTCACCTTTCGTGAGCTAATCCCGAAACGAAAAAGTCTCCACGTCTTTATGGGTGGGAATTTTGTTCTTTGAGGGAGATTCACAAAGACGCAGAGTAGATTAGAATAGGAAACAACGCGAATACAATGGCAATTGAGACCACCCAAAGTGGAGGAATGGCTCGAACGAGGAGACACCTTATGGCCTGATATTGGACGGACGGACTCGAGCAATTAAATGACGGAACTTCGTTTTCAAGTGGTACTTCATCAGGTAAGAGCTTGATCAGAGGCTGAGCTCCTAGGAGGAGCCGGGTGATCCCAGGATTTCAGGGAGCAATGAGCCGTGTTGGAGCCGATGCATTATTTCGTGTGGACTAGTACTAACTGGGAAGTTCGGCCAAAGCGCTGCGGAGACACTAGGATAACAAAGTGTGGGGATTTTAGCTCAATTCAGTTCATTTGAAGTCTAGCAGCCCGTGGTAACGTCAATCTTAGTGTCGTGCACCGGCTCACTTAAAGGAGCCGGTATCCGTTTGTGGGGTTCGCCAAATCATTTCGCCCTTTCCTCCCCATGAACATCGGCTCCATTCCCTAGGCCCCGTTGACTGGCCAAAAGTGATGGAGACGGAACGCAAGCGTATTCGGCACGCCTGCGCCAGGTGCCGGCGTCAGAAGTTGAAGGTAGGCTAACCCTCCGGCCCAGAGTCCGAGACTGACTCCATATGGCCCCCAACCAGTCCGGAGTCGACTGGTCATATGCAGCGAGCCTATTTCGTTCGGGTGGGCAATGATGTCTAACATATTCCTCGGTGCTTCCGCATCCAGTGTGATAACACGCGCCCTTGTCCTTTATGTGTTCGAGCAAATGAGGCGTGTACCGAGGCGACGGAACGGACTAGGTAAGGCAGGCCTTGATGGAGCCTGAACTGTGGCTGCTGACGATCAATAATTGACAATTTCAAACAGGAGGTCCAACCGTATGCGTCCCAAGAGTGGAGTGTCCTTGCCCGCCCTTCCGGATGCTGCTCCAAGTCATCCTTCACTGAGCATATCTGCCCGCTCGCCTATCTTGGAGGACAACCACCGGCCGCTTCCGTATCGAAGTCAGGTTTCCATACTAGGAGAAGATATACCTTTCTCTAGCGGCTCAATGGCGGATGGAGAACCCCGTGAGAGAGCATCAGCCATCGGATTAGTAGATAAAGTACGGGGGACTTCATCCCTATTGACTCGAGGAGTACCCTAAATGCTAACAAGTAGGCCTTGCAGATCTTCCACAAGTATCGATATACACACTGTAAAAAGAACCAGGTTCACGATGCCATCCCCGATGCCAATCCGTCTGAGGATACACCACGAGAGAAGCGACCTCCCGTTCCCGTTTCTCAAATCATTGGCATGGAGTTGCCATCACCATCGATAACATGGGCGTTGTTCCAATCGTACTCCGACTGCATGCACTGGTACCTCACGGTATTTCACGAGCCTAGCTTTAGTGCCCGAGCCCACCCCATCGTCGTCAGTGGCATGGCTGATCCCCATGACAAGAGCTTCCTTTATCTTATGCTTGTTGTCTGCTTCTTTGGCGCCCGGTTCATGCCGCAGAAAGATAGGGAGGAGAAATGCCAAGGTGTGGACTTTCCCCAATTGGAATTGAAAATCCTGCAAGTTGCCGGGGCTTGGTTTCTGCCGTCTATGCAAGAGTTTACGATAGAGGCGAGGGTTTACAACTACCTTCTAGGCAGCGCGTACTTCATCGTAAGTCAGACGCACGCTGCTTCCGTTACTGTAGAAGCCACCATCAAAGCTGCGATGAGAATGGGTTTGCACCAGGAGCACACTTGGAAATCGGTTGACGATCATGAACGAGAGGTTCGCCGCCGCCTGTGGTGGGTTCTCTTCATCACCTCGGGGTATGTTTGTCCCACCAAACCAAACACCACCACCGCGACCAACCACCTAAAGTTAGCCAACGCTAACTGTCAGGTCCCAGCTTTATGGCAATTTCATATGGTCGCCCGCCTATAGTAGTCATCGACGAATGCCAAGTTGAATTACCGCTGAGCTTTGAGGATAACCCTGGTACTGTCGATGGTGTGAGTGATGGTGGAGTTGTTTCAACAATAAGTACCAATTCCTACAACATGAACAAAGCGAAACTATACACAATTATAGCTTCCATTATGCGCGACCTCTACTTTGGTCGCCGGCGAAAACCCCGCGATCTGATCCAGCAGATCTCCGCATTCCACAGGCAATTGCTCGACTGGGAGCGGAACATTGGACATGAACTCAGACCCGAGACTTATTTGGGCCGCTCCTACGACAGCCCAGGCGCGGATCCGGTTCTGCGGAAACTTGCGCTGCAGGCCATAACGCTACAAATATCTTACGACAACGCCCAAGTTATATTATTCCGCCCGTTAATAACCTTAGATAGGCCTCTCCATATCGACCTCCCTCTACCGGTATCAAACCAAGATAGACAAGCCGAGGCGGAGCTGATGCGTGACTTGAAGCGAAAGGCGAGAAACCAGTGCTGGTCCTCGGCTGTGCGCACCTCGCTCATCGGAGAGCATGCCGAACTGCTTAAACTGCTCCGAGTTAGCCCAGCAGCTGCTCACGCCGGGGTCCATGCTCTCGCGGCGGGCGTCATCCTCAGCATCATCGCGCTTGCTGACCCGCTCTCTGATCAAGGGCAGGAAAGTAAGCGTGGAGTTGCGAGGCTAATCAAAGTAGCCAAAGACACCGGATTTTTGGCGCCGATATGGTCCCAGCTAAGGGAGGTTTTGACAGACTTGATGCATGTCATAGCGGGCGAAGAAACTCAGCATTTGATCAATGCGAGGGGAGACATTGGCTTTGGCCGCAAGAACGACATGGCGATTTCTCCATTTGGAGAGCCAGCAGCAGATGCACTTCCCGCGATGCCCAACGAAGCCTCTCAAAGTGCCTATGGGACGGTGCGAAGCAGTGTGTTGAACATTGCGGAGCTGGTGGGATCCGCGCCGCAAGATCTCGGACAAGGAGGACAGGGCCAACCCTCGTTTGTACCACAGATGGCTCTAAGCGGCGAAATGCAGGAAGGCCAGGCTATCGTCAGAAATGATTCGATGTCGTATGATACGGTAGGCTTAGCAGACTGGAATCTCGGCCTGCCAGCCGCGGACCAGACGTGGATGTGGGATAACGCCCTGACATATCTTTAATTTTTTATCTGTATATTAATGTTGGTATGACAGGAGTGAAGAAATGATGTCTCATGTTTATTACACTTTTACAGATATTATCGCAGACCTCTTCGACCATGCTCTCATGGACCGGATGACCTCAATGAGCGGCAATGGCGCTTTACGGGTTCGAACGTGAGTACGAGCCATTTTAGTATAACTGCCAGAAAAGCAGGCCAAAACAGTGCCTCCTGCACTAAAATTGTTAAAACAGCGCAATTTGGCGACGGCTGCCTGATCCTGGTCGACGACCCGACGTATTATTCCCTCCTCTTGCTATCACACCCTGGCATAGCCACGACTAAGCCACGCTGGGCGTCTTGGACCATGCGTGCGAATTCACATACATTAAGCTCAGCAGCCCACGTGATTGCAGTTGAGAGCTTGAATGCGCGCGCCTCATGTTGGTGAGCGCCCTGAGAACGATTTGACGAATAGCAGCCTGATGTGTGGTCATCGGTCTTATGTCGCCCGCCCCCGCCTCCAAAGCCGTCCTCCGGCATCACTCAATCATGGATATACTTTGAGAATAAATCGACTAGTTGTTTTTGCCAACCTTGCCCCCGATGGAAGCTCTCGGCGTAGCAGCTTCAGTGGCCGGGCTGGTCAGCTTGGCCATCCAAATCCCAAAAGTGATCGACACAGCCGTCAGCATCCGATCGGCGCCCGAAGAGGCCCTACAACTTTCTAAGACAGTAAACGCGCTCGTGGCCACATTGCAGAAACTGGAGGCTTTCCTGAAGACCGATGAAGCCAGAGACATGACATTAGCGGACGACTCCGCGCTCACAGTAGCGATTTCAGCTTGTCAGACACGCGTGTTGGAGCTGTCGAGGAAACTTAGATCTCAGTCGCCTGCTGGTTCGTCTGATAATACTCCAGAAAAATCAGTGTCCGGTAGCATCAAGTCGGCCCTTTCCCGGTTTCGATGGCCGTTTGATAAGAAGCAATGCCAGGAACTCATATCTGAGCTGCATGCCATGCAAAGCACGTTTGAATTTTGCCTAGTGATGAAAAATTGGTAAGACTTTTATCTGAGCCTCCTGCAATCTGTATTGTCACCACTCTAAATGAGTCCTGGCATAGTCAGCAAATGTCAAAGTCACATAAAGAAGTCATCTCTCACTTTAAGATCCAGGGCGACACCCTGTCCCAGATGGCCGCGTCCTTTCCTGAACAGTCCGCGCAACTAGAGTGTATGCTCGAAAAGCTGTGCGTAATTGCATCGTGCATCTCGGACTCCGCCCAGCGTATCGATCGTATTCAGATAGGCTTGACGCAACTGGAGGAGATGAAGAAAGGTCAGTTGGTCATTAATCGTCTTAGATGGTGAGACCCTACCTGACACATCTGATGGCAGAACTTTCGGAGTACCATGCGGATAAACTGCATGGCCAAGCTCTTGAATGGCTATCGCCAATCGACCCTTCTTCAAGACATGAAGAGATCAAGGCAAAGAGGCTTCTCGGGACTTGTGGATGGATCCTTCGTGACACCGGCTTTCAGCAGTGGCTCCAACCTTCCCAGACTGACAATTGCGCGAAAGCCATCTGTTGGGTTGGTGATCCTGGCCAGGGAAAGACCTTTACAATGTGAGAATAATCGAGCATCACAGTTGGCATGCGTTCTGACGACCTTCCAAAGATCTCGCGTTATTGACCACCTCCGTGACGTGAACGCATCCGGAACTGGTGTATACGTAACTTACCTCTATTGTGACTACCAGAGGACCGGAAATTACCCTGTTACTGCTCTTGTGGGAGCGTTACTTCGGCAGCTTCTTGGCCAATTCGACTCACTTCCAGACAAAGTGGTTGAGGTGGTTCGTCTTTCTCATATCAAGCTTCGCAGACCAACTGCCACGATTGAAGAAATGTACCGCGTTCTGGAGCTTCTGGCGCCGTTGGTCAAAAGGCTATTTGTATGCATAGACGCTCTCGACGAGTGTGGGGACGCAGAACATCTGCTTACGCTTTGTCGAGAGTTTCCGTTGCCCACGTCTTTCTTCTTCATAGGACGGCAATCCATTACAAGTATGGTAAAGCGAGTATTTCCGGATGCCGAGGTTCAAACTATACAACCTCAAAATGCCGATATCTACGCCGTCGTGTCTGAACAAGTTGAACATGAAAGAGCCCGCCAACCCGAGCTCTTGCCTCCTGACCTGGCCTACGAGATACAGGAATATATATCAGCACTGGCCAACGGGATGTAAGTAATTCCACCATCGATCGTCCACCTATGGTACGGTTTCAACTAAAATATGAACTTGTTATGTACGAAAGGTTCCTGCTTGCCTCATTGCATACCACTCTGGTTCTGAGTCACAACACGATATACCGCCGCCGAGAGGCTTTGAAGGACTTACCAGGGGCGCTCGACTCCGCATTTGGCCAGACCTTGGCGCGGATTCGGGAACATACTCATGCTGACCAGGCCTTTCGAATACTTGCTTGGATTCATTTCATCGGGCCACTTTCATTAGACGAACTTCGACACATCTTGGCGTTGGACCCCGACCATGTTAGGTTCCAGAAAGACAATCTCCCCAGTCGCACTACGACCCTTGACTGCTGCCTTGGACTGGTTAGGCTAGATGCGCACCCGGCCGGTGTTAGGGACCGGGTGACATTGGCGCACTCGACCATCTCCGTCTATTTTGACACTCATTGGGATGTCTTGGAGGGAGTTGTCCCAGCCATGGCAGGAGGCTGCCTCGCATATCTCTTATTTGACTCGAAACATCGCCCGGTGATAATATCTTCGTTGGTTGAACGTTCATGGATACAGCTCTTACGTCTTTCCAAATCCCTCGACCAATGGCTACAAGACTTAGCAGAGCGTTATTGTGTTGCGCTAAACGCCGAGATAAACGCCAAAGCTGCCTCACCTGGTAGGCGTTCAGCCCCTGTTCCCGCCGGTCTTCCTACACAAGCACAAAAGTTATGGTCCTATAATGTCCCGTTCCAGTTTTTAGCTCAACGATCAAACGGCCAATCGCTAGTCCATACCGCTTGCATGTTGGAACTCGATACGCTTGACCCATTTCTAGAACGCCTTCAGAGGAGAGCGGGTCAGCTTCAGCACCCAGGGGTAAACGACACGGACTGTTTTGGTATGAGTCTATTGGGTTGGGCGCTTCTATCAAGAGACCATTTCGATGGATACTTCACGGGACGCTATCATCCCCCATACTGGACCCCGGAATCTTCACGTTCGAGAGCATCCTCGTTCGAGCATTGCCTTTGGCGTGTAGAGCGTCTGATAACGATGCTCCCAGAATTGAACCCAAATAACAACCTGTGGGATTTGGGCGCCCTAGAGGCAATACTCAGATCGGGCCAAACCTATTCTGAAGACGGCCATCCCATCAAGTACTTTTCGAGCTCGCTTCTCATGCTCCTCCTTGGAAGTAGTTCCTATCTGTCGGAAGGGACGCGTGACTCAATCTTCCATACGTTGCACCATTTAAACATAAATATCTGGTCCACTGTTTATCACGGTGTGGCCTCTTCACCACTGGATAACACGTCGGAGAGCAGGCCAGGAATTGAGTGGGATCTGCTCGTTCTGGACAATCGTCAAGAGCTAATTTCCTTTAGCGTTCGCGAGCAGCTGAATAAACCGGAGTTGTTAGAAATTATGACTCCAGCGGTCTGGAATACTAGCACACCATGGCCGGAAGACCGGGAGTCGTTGATATCGTGGGAGGGACAAGAATTCGCGGCCTTGTTTGAACCCGGTAACCCTGCCCCCTGCGCCGTTTCAACTATGTGGATGCAGGACCGCTTACTTCGATATGCTCAAAGGTGGCGGCATTGTATCGATTTGCGGCTGAGCCACCCCTTTCACGGGACCTCTTGCTGGCACATCCGTATGCCACAAGAGGCTCTACTACACGTCGGAGCCGTGGGTGACAGTAGCATCATTGTATCCTTCGCGCTCAATGACCGCAATGTAGACCCGAATATCCGTGACCCCGAGGGAAATACAGCTTTACAAGTGGCGTTAGCGACTCAGTCTGCGGCCGCTGCAAAAACCTTAATCAATTGGCCCCATACAGATTGTCGCGTCCGAGACTCCAGCGGCACATCATTGTTGCACGTCTATGTCCAGCGCGACCTCACCGCGCATGCCGCAGCTATCTCGCAGCGATGCCCTGACGTCGTCAATTTCTGCGATGGCGCGGGGAAGACTGCCCTCCATTATGCCACAGATAAGAGATCAAGGTCGCTGACCGGCTTGTTCCTCAAGCATGGAGCGGATATCAATATCGAGGATATCGATGGTCGTACGCCTTTACATGTCGCCATCACGAAGGGAGACGTCGCCCTGTGTAGCCTCTTCCTCGAATCACGTGCAATAGAGAGCTGCTCGTTGAGGAATCTCGAACTGGCTTGGCGCCTCGCTGTTGACGCAGGAGCTGGGTTCATCCTGATACTCCTAAAGGGTTCGCGGACGAAATTGTCCTCTCTTCTTGTCGAGAATGTCTCTTCTTCTTCTCCTTCATCAGCAGTGGCTAGAAGTGCCAATATGCTGCAACTTTGTATCGAAGCCGACAAGGACTCAGCCTTTTCGGAACGCGATCTTGATTTTATGCTCAAGTTGAACTCCAATAACTCTACAAGCACAGCCAGCACGTCTCTCGTGCTAAGGCGTGAAAATTCCTCAACAGCCCTTCCCGACGCTACAACAATGGTCCGGGAGGCGATCGCCAAGGGTGCCGGCAACGTTGCAGCGTTTCTCCTGCAGAGAACCCCGGTGGACGTGAACTTTGAGGGACAAGAAGGAGAATCGGTGCTGCACTTGGCGGTGATTTACGATGCACCACACGTCGTCAGCTTTCTCTTAACGCACCAAGCGACCGACATCTCATCCGTGGATAGAATGGGTTATACTGCCGTGCAGCTCGCAATTATTCACAAAAGGCTGCACATACTCCAGCTGCTTCTAGATTCTCCCAGGGTAGAGACTGATGTGGTGACGAAAGGAGGAGAAACGCTTCTACATCTCGCAATCACTCACCGCCTCATCGATGCAATCCCGCTACTTCTCTCCTCCCCACAACTTGCTGTCAACCAACTCGACATGTCGGGACGTGCGGCGGTTCACTGCGCCGCCATGCAGAAAACCACGGCAGTTGCGAAGCTGATCCTAGAATGTCCAAGGGTAGATGTGGCAGCGGTCTCCGGCGATGGTAGGACTGCACTTGCATACGCAGCTCCATGCGCATCGGTGGATATGATCTTGCTCCTTCTAGAGACTGGGAAATTTAATCCCGCTCATAAAGATGGCTACGGCAAAACGGCACTAGGTTGGGCGCTTATGAATCCCCAACCCCAAGTTGCGAAGGCGTTGAGGGACGCAATGCCAACGAACGAGAGCCCTCTTTCTTAGGAATGTTCAATTCTTGTCAGAAACCTTGAAGTGCTGTCTCAATCATCCATTTGAAAGCCTATGCATTGTGCCTATGCGTTCAAAGTGTCAGGGCAATTAGGACCCTTGGAAAACAGAGGGCTGTAATCTTCCGAGAATACAAAAAGATTCTAAGGAGGCAGACCGCTAGTTCTGCGATAAAGTCCGACCTTGAATCCCCAGCAAGGCAAGCCAGGGGATGGACGGACGATAATATTATAGTGCCAAGACCGAGCCACTCTCCGGCCGTTAAGTACCTTCTCACTCTATCATTCTAAAATAGAATACGATAAAAGAGATCTGGGCCAATCCATACAAGGTCCCAGTCCATCATTGCTTCCATTTCGCTTCATAATAAACCACAATAACCAAGTCAAAGACCTCGTCCTCCCCCACCGGCTCTCCGTCGTCCCCCCTCGACAGACCAAATTTGTACATGCCAGGACCCTTATTCCTGGGACTGAACCCTGCAAACATCACCGTTTGTCCCGCCTTGACGTCGGGGAACGGCCCGTTCTGGAGCTCGATAGCGTCATCCCCAAAGGCCAACGTCACCCCCACACCCTCATCTCCACCCAAAGAGTTGGCCACCCGCGCAAACACGACCACGCGCCGGAAAACCACTTTTTCCGCAGCGCTGACTATGAACGGAAACCGTTCTAACGACAAGTTCAGCATGCTCGTACTATTAGACGACCCGTCGCCGCGCCGCAAGCAGCTCCAAGCATCGGGAAACTCGTGGCGGATGCTAAATGCCCTCGCGAGCCCGCTCTGTCCTTGCGCGACAGGAAAGGCGCGAAGTGCCGTCTTCTTGAGACTATCCACAGCCGCAGCCCGCAGTGTGTCTCCACCTGACCGCGCCGTGTACCGCAGCGTCACCACGACATCCGCCAACCACTGCAGGTTGAAGGGCGCTATCTCGGGCGGCGGCAACTGCACGCGCCACGACGACACAGCGCCCGCTCCCTCGAACGGCATATAACGCCCGTCGGCTCCGCTGGGGTCGAACACGCCAGTATCGTTCTGCGCCGACGAGGTCGCGATGGTCGAACCTCCGGCACCACAACCATAGACGTCGCTGAACCGGATGTCGGCAGCGCCTTGCCGCACGTAGGTTTTGCCAGTCGCCGGCGTTATGCGTGTCGTCGAGTTCAGCAGGGTCAGCGATACTGCTACGGTGGTGTAGGCGCCGGCGACGCATGGGGCCGTGACCGACACGGACTTGATGCGCCGGAAGTAGTGGCCTGGGTAGTCGAGATTGAATATGGCCTCGGGGATGGAGAAGGAGCATTCGCCCGTCTCCTTGAGCTGGATCAGCGCCACTGGGTCGAGCTGCGCCAGCGAGACCGACTTTGTCAGCTCGAGTTGGCGGTGATTGCGATCCAGGTAGGCGAGGTCCATGCGCCTGATGTCGGCCGCTAGCTTTTCTCCCGCCAGGAGTCCCTTCTTCAGGCCGTCCCAGTAGCCGAAGCGGATAAAGGGAGTCGAGACGGAGGAAGCGTCTTCGTCACCTAGCTCAAAGTGGAATGCGCGCTCCGCCTTCCTGGCCGTCTCAAAGGCCATCTGATACGTCTGGAAGTATGTGGCCGAGGTCTGGCCGATCATCCAGTCATACAGAGCCGTTGATGTGGTCTTGGACAGGAGGAAGCTGTGGATTCTCTGAGCGTGTTCTGTCTGTCTAGCGTGCACTTCGAGATCCTTCTTGGCTGTTTCCACCCTCTGAATGGCCGCGTCGACATTACGGTCGTGCTGTATCAGCTCCTGCTCCGCCAGTTCCCTCTGCAGCGTCCAATCTTCCCATCTGCGCTCGTATGAGGCCATGGTGGCCACCATGGCGCTCTGGGCCCTCGTTATCGAGATCATGGAGCTAATGACCTTGGCGAGCGTACTCTCCATCATACTAAACGCCTGGCCTCCCAGGTCGGCACCGATGGCTGACAAGAATGTTAGCTCACGTTGGCGGTCCTCAAACGTGGAAAAAACTTACTAGTCGGTGCGCCAATCTTAAACTGTGGCACGAGTGCAATGAGGGCAGCGTATGGGAACAGCATCATCTCGGTGTTTTGTAAGTTCAGCGCCTGGATCTCCAATCCCTGGTGGCTCTGCTCGCTCGCGTTCATGAACTTGAGACCGCGGTAATGCTGCAGACGCGTCTCAATCACCTGCCGCCCCTGCTGCAAGGCAGTGAGCGACGCTACCGCTTCATCAATGGCACCCTGCTTCACGGCGCGCACTGTGTCTAATACCTCTCTCTCGTGGACGGCACGCAGAAGCTCGAGGGCGCCCGCGTCCCTCTTCTCGAGCGCTGCTAAAAGAGCAGCCCCGAACGCCTTCAGGTCGTTGCACAGGTCCATAGCACGGGCCACCATGGTGCTGTAGCGGTAGTATGGCAGCGGCGCGTTGAGATCGCCAAGGATGCTCCCCAGATCCATGGTGCCACCTGATGCGGCGGCTGAGGCGGCGGCTTGGACCAGCAGCATGGGGTTGATCGGGGGCTGGTAGAGCGCGAGCTGGCGTGTGACGCCTTGGATATTCATGCCGTGCCTGATCTTAAAGAGAGCGTCCGAGACGGTGTCCCAATAGCTGAGGAGCTTCTCGTTCCGGGGAACGGAGAAGTAGAGCATGGTGGGCGTCATGGTACTTTGGGGGTTGTTTGCGGTGGACACAATAGATGGCGCCACGGCGGGTGAGACGGGAATGAACTCCTCGATGGTGACAAGAGCGTTGCTGAACGCGTCGAGAGAAGCACGGATGCTGTTGTAGGTCTGGACCGTGGGCACAGCGCGGGCGGGGATCTCGGCTGGGCGTTCGCCCAGGATCTCGGCCGCAAGCATGTAGATCTGTGTAGCCTCGGTGATGGACTCAACCATATCCTGGCTGAAGAGCTGGTTGCCCCACGCGATTAGATTGTCTAGGTATTTCATAACCACAGCCCTCTGGAAGGCCGTGGGCCGTGTGCGAGCAATTAGGAAAGGGTTGAAGGGATTGCGGCGCCACCGGTCGACGTTGATCACGAGATCGTCGTGTATCTTCTTCTTGTCGCTGTCCAGCTGGTCGTAGGCACTCCCGCGGGAAGCTAGGATGCGCAGGAGCATGTCGACGCTCGCGTTCCGGTAAGCTTCGCTTTGCATTTTGAAAAATGGCCGGGTTCTCCAGAAGCGTCCCGGTGCTTCAAAAGACGACGCGTCGAGGGGGTTGAAGATGTAGTGGAACCACTTCTGGGCCTCTTCAAACTGCTGATTCTGGCTCAGCCGCTCGGCGATGAGCAGCGGCGCGTAGAAGAACAGCTCCCAGTTGTAGACGGACATAGGCCCGCTAGTGCTGAAGTCGACGTCCTCGAGGGGATGGCCACCGTCTGTCGCGATGTAGGCATCGTCGGGACCGTAGAGATTCTTTTCAGCGAAAAGGTCTATCTCTTCTCGGTTTTGGTTGTCTCGGTCCAAGAGCCCGTCAAGACCCGTCTTTGACAGTTTGTCCATGAAGTCGTCAATGTATGGGTGGTAGAATGTGCGGAAGCGGAAGCGTGCCTCATCTGGGAAGTCCCGTCTGTAGATGTGGAGCGTGCTGCCGAGCGATGGAATCTTCATGCCGCCGGTGATGCTAATTTTGCGAGGTGTCATTGCTGATCGGCGCACGATCAGGGGGCTCTCAGGGATTCTCCTGAGAAGAGTCGCATCAAGCCCGGAGTTGCTAATGAGGGAGCGGATTCGCAGGGTGGATGGCCGCCCTTGATCGGTGGCTGGGTTCGAGATATCGGGGAAGGGGTTTCTAACTTCCAAGATCTCGGGTCTCTTGTCGCCGGGGATGGGTAACAGCGGGACCTTGGTGACAGGCAACTTGATAGGAGGTATGGAAGGGATGTTGGCGGGGTTGGGGTCGGGGAGGCGCACTTCGAGTTCCCTCTGGACTTTGACCATGTCCGCCTTGACGAAAAAGCTGCGATCTTGGTGCTGGAAAAAGAACGGCTGGCCAACATTGAACTGTAGAGTCTGGTGCGGGTAGATGATGTTGAATAAGCCCGGGGTATCGTCTAGCACCTTGAACTGCTTCGGAATTGGGCTCATCCCCGAATCTGATGCGAAGTTCTCGCCAAACAACACCAGAGAATGGTCCGTTTTATCGTCCGCTTCATCGTCCTCTTCTTCAAAAGCCGCGTCATCATCCTCCTCTCCGAACCCCATGTTCCTCAGCCGTGTCCCCGGGAGAGGTGCGATCCTTTTTCTGGGATCGGCGGCAATAGGGATTCCCAAGGAGAGAATAGGTCTTTCCCTGGACGGGTAGGTAACGAATGGCGATCCTTTTACGCTGTTAAACTGCGATTTTTTTTCTTAGTCAAGGCTTGATGCAATAGAACGTGCTCGATATGATACTCACAGTAAAAGTTCCCAGCTTATAACCAACACTGATATTTTGTGATTGCAGACAATCAATCTGAAGCGACGAGTCGTCCTCCCCGCCGTGCACTCGGAAAGTGATGAGGGACCGCCCTCGTTGGCTTCCCCCAGCGGGCTTGTTAAAGGTCGTGCATCTCGACGTGTTCTTCCATACAGGAATAGACGACTCGCTTTGACACTTTGGCAGCCAGCGGCCGTCTTTTAAGGTGCTCCAGGCGAGTTTGATATCCCACCAGGACTCAGTGTCGCTCATCGAGACTTCCATGTTTGTGGACGAACCACCGGCAAGATTCGGGACAGCAAGTTTGCCAGTTCCGGGTCTATCGGTAAAGATGGCCCAGAACAGCATCAATCTGCCATGCCAAAAGACGGGGATCAGGTGGTCGCCCGTGATGCCAATGTCGACGGGCTGCCAGGCCGTCCACTGGACCTCATCGAGCAGTCTGCGGTAGAAGTACGAGGGCGGGCTCGATCTGGTGCGCGCGAACACGAAGATCGTGTCTTCGGCAACCACTCCGACATCGCCCGACTCTTCTATTGTACCGCCCCGGTGTCGGTACATGCTCAGCACCTCGAGCCGGGCCACAGTTTGCATCTTCTGCAGATAATGGAGGTATGCGTCCTCGGCCAGTTCCTTGGCGATGCCTCCCTGCTGCATCTCTTGTTCAAACTCTTTGAAGAAAGGAGTCTTGTCGTCCCGCAGCGGGGACTCGAGATAGTTTTCGGGCTGCACGAAGACCCGCCTTGCCGCGCCCGCGACGCGGAATGCCTTAATGCTGGACCACTGTTGCCATTCCGGAGCGTCCGCTACTACGTTGGGCTCCAAGCTGAGGAGACACCGCTGTCCGAATAGCTGGACTACGTTTGTTGCCTGGAGAATCCGCGTCGTCATTTGGACTGGGCTCATCTCGCAGTCAACGAGGTAGTGCGAGTACAGATCGTACGTCCCGTGCCAGGCGGGTAGTATCTTCCGTGATGGGTGAGCCAGGAGGTACGAGACGAGAGCGGCCCTCTGTTTTTCCCGCAAGGTATCTCGAAGACCTGGGGCCACGACGTGCCATGTTTCTTGGTCGCAGTGAGACTTGGCCGTCTGCACCGATGACAGTGCTTGCTTCATCGTCTGCTGCGATATGGCGTAACCCCACGCTTCTTCGGCGTGGCAGCCGAGACGACTGACTTGTCTCATCGCGGCCAGAAGGGCGAGGAACGTGTCGACCTTTCTGAGAGCCACAGGAAGCGGGGTGTTCCAACCGAGGGGCCCAAGGAAATACTCGGCATCACGGGTCGTCCATTTCTTGGCTGCGCAAAGATCGCCGAGAAGGACGACGGCATCGGATTCGGGCAGGGAAGTTTGCCCGTAGATCCTGTCGAGGTAGGTCTGCCCTGAGGGGAGCATATCTTGGAGGGATACCAGATCCAGCAGCGCTAACAGACCTGAGAATGTAACGGCTGTAGTAGCCGCGGTAGATGGCGTGGACACGACGGGCAAACTGTTTAGGTCAAGCCATCCTTGTGCCCGCCCCTCAGCAGTGGACCCGAACTCGTACAGCCATGCGCATTGGACGCGAGATAATAGATTGAGCTTATTCAACACCAGCAACGTTTTCTGGAGCAGTATCACCGCTTCGAACATCTGCGGGTATTCACTGCGCGCTATGGAGACCTTGGTGTTGCTCTCGACAAAAGCGGCGTTGAGCATAATGGGGCCAAAATGCTTGCCCCCATAGTGACACCATTTTTGAACTAGATCCGCCATGATACTGGGCTCGCAGCTGAGATATTCCGACAGCTTCTGGACTAGAAGCTTAAAGCTTAGCATCTGCGACAGCTTTGGCAGCAGCCTGGTGATCACTTGGCCAATCCTCCTGTCGACCAGCTGTTGGTCTGTCTCGTCCTGAAGCCGGGTGAACAGCAGCCCAATTTCGGCGCTATCCATGAACAATTCCGCATCAGAAGGGACCTGTGCCGCCTCAGCGGCGTTGTACAGAGCTCGGATGCCGGCCTCGAAAGCCGTGTCCCCTGCCGGGCTGGCGGCGAGGAGCTGTTGAAGTTCTGCGTCGGTCATGACGCCGGCGAAGTTCAACGTGTTGGATGCAGGATCAAAGAATAGCCGAGAGGCGAGCGACTTAGGCAAGCTAGTGGCGATCGCTGCCACGGCTACTTGGCACTCTCCTTGAACTTTGAAGGTGGGTCTGGACAGGAAACGCAGCTGCCTGGTCAGAAAGCGCCTTGGGTCCTCAAAGATCTGGACCAGCGCGGCCTGTAAAGCGCTGCTTGCCTTGACGGCGTCGAGGCCGAGCAGGCCTTGAAGTTGGTCGTCTTCCATGGCACCGGTATACGAGATGGTCGAGGTGAGTGCGTCGAGGGCCATATTCCGAAACAGTCCAGCCGGGGAGGCTGTAGCCGCTGTGGTGAAATCATCGGGTATGCCACCGGCGACCGAGACGGTGGTGGAACATGTATTTTGTAGGATGGACAGAACCTGTGAAACAATGGCCGAGTCTGGGACGGCTAGAGCGAGTTTGGATCGCAGGAGGTCGGGGTACTTGTCAGGGGTTGACGAGTTGGTGGTGTTTGAAGTCACGATCTTCTGCAGCTCAGTCCTCAGGTCGGAGAAAAATACGACTAGATCATCGTCAGAAGAACAGAAGCCGCTCTCGGGTCGAAATTTGTGCCGGCAGATGAAGTCGAGCTCCTCAACGGAGAAACCCGCTGACAGAGATCTCTGGACCTGTCGCACATAGTCTAGCGTGGCTTCTGGCGACTGAAAGATACTTTCTGGGGAACCTGCCCAGGTGATGGACACGAGCTCAGTATAGTCAACAATTTCGAGGCCTAGTCCCTTGGCGAGCACGGAGTGGCGGTACAGAGACGACAGAGACTGCAGGGAGAGAATGTCGAGGCCTAGGAATTCGGCCAGCAGCAAGACCTCCGTCGGGGCAATCTCGAGACCCATCGCAAGAGCAACCGCGCTGTCGCTTATATGCCCGTTTAAAGTATCCGGATCATCGTTGAAGATTGGCGGGTTAAGGTGATCGTCGACGACAGTGCGGTCGCAGAATCGCTTTGCATAGAAGGAGCGTGCTCGCTGTCTCGCGTCGACACTCATGTCCTGGAGGTAATCGACGTAGGCTACCGCGCCGATGTTACCATAGAAGGGAAACACATCTCCGCGGTCTAGCCCCAGCAGATCTGCAATATCATCTATTCCGGATAGGTCGACAAGCGCTGTCCTCACGTTGTTAGGGGTCCAGACGAAGTTCTCGTCGAAGGCGGTTAGGGCGCACCCAAGTTCAAGGATGGACCAGTCAGTCATCTTCCTAGCGAGGCGCATGAAGCGGCACATGATGACCAATGAACTCGCCGTGGCCCCGTCGAGCTGTAGTTCGTTGAGTTTGCATGTATCAGGGGCAGCGTCGGGGTGGGCCGAGATGGCGAGTTGGCCGACCCCAAGCAGCTTTGGGAACTGCATGACGTTGAGGAGCTCGGCGTACTGCATCCCCGACTGGTGAAGCAGCACGTCAATGCGCCCCATCAAGACAGAGTACCACAACCCTGATTCGATGAACGCGAACTTGTTCTGCGGATCGACAATGGGCGGGTCATGAATGGGCTCCAGCCATTCCGTTTGAAATCCCCACATTTTGAAGTCGGCATTGGATGACTCGCCATCCGGCCAGACAGCGGGCCCTATGATGAGCTTGCCCTCGGCTGGACTGATATTGTATCGCTCCAGGGCCATATCCACCTTCATCTGCAGGGTCCATCGGCCCGACGGACCTGCCATGGCCTTCATCAGGACGTGGCGAGGCACGCTCATATGATTGAGGTAGACGCGTGTTGTTTCGGTCCAGAGATCAAAGGGATGGTTCCACGGGTATCCAGACTTGGCGAGCTTCTTATCCTAGGCATCGACGTTGAGGTACTGCGGTTTGGCCGCTCGTTCCCCGGCACTGCCCGTCGTCTGTCTACTGCGGTTCCCGATGCGGATCTGAAGCTTCTTGGTGTCAAAGGTCAGTGAGTAAGTGTAGTTGAGGTCCTCGATATTCCAGGCCGCGCCCTTTTTGACGATGACGACGGTTGCGTAGTCGCTTAAGGAGAGTTTACTTCGGATCTGGCCAAAGTCGAGGCTGCCACGGTCGAGAAAATGTATTGCCGGGATCATCGGGATACTGTAGGGTTGGAACACGGGGGGCGGGGAAACGGCGTCCTCGAGTGTCTCGATGACCAAATCGACGTACGGAAGCGGCGTTTTAGCGTTCGCAGTCGTCAGTTGTACGTCCCCTAGGTCTGGCCGGCGACCGAACAGAATGTCGCGAGCCGTCTTGCCTTCGACCTTGCTGCTTTGCCGTCCCAGGAACTGGAGGAGATCGACGTAGTAGGCAAGCGGTCCGTCTACAGCCTGAGTGTCATCGTACACACAGGTACTTTCATCACCAAAGAGGGTAGACCAGTTTGGAATCCCGATGCTATCGGTGTCACCACCGCTTTCCGAAGGGAGCTGCGGGTCTCTGTATGCCGCAAGACTCGGCTGTGACCGAGACCACCCGTAGTTTGCCACGAGCGTCATGGCCATGGAGCTGGCTCGGATGGCATTGTCAAAGGTCAGAAGAGCATGAGTCTTGTTCTCCAATATGCCCTTATTCGCGACGAAGTCGACAAACTCGGACTGGCCAAATCGCACTATCTCGTAGGCTGACCGGAACCCGGCTGCCACGAGTCCGGCACCGCACGAGAGCGACCCGGATATGGCTTGCATGCGTTGCACGGAACGCAGCGTATCTGTCACCAGCGGGGCATCCTCCAAGTCGTCCACCGCGGACGGATTTTCCTTGAGGTACTTGATGAGGGGTGTTGTGCTCAGGTCGACGTGGGCTTTGGCTTTGTCTAGGAAGCTGATGACTTGCGGTTTAGCCGGCAACGGGCTCAAGGCCTCGTGGTCTTGCAGCCGGTTGACTAGGAAGTCCATGGGGTAGGATCTTTCCAGTTGTCCCTGAATCGACCTGACATAGCTCAACTTGCGCTCAGACGAGGTCCTGCCGCGGGTTTCGGGCGGAACACCAACGGTTGGCTTATCGATTCTTTCCAGCCACTGGCTCCGCGGTATGGTTGTGAGATAAGACAGGTTGGTCGTCTCCTCAGGTGGTAGGATCTCGCGGATCGCGTCTACCATAGGCACATGGTTGCAAGCCAAAATACCGAGACGGACCGTTTGCTTCAGCTGGGCTGTCTTGCCGGCGTACTCGGGCTTCTCGTCGATGGTCTTCCAGAATTCAGAGATGGTATTTCCCGAGAAGTTTGCAAAGTCCCGAACAAACTGCTGTGGATTTGAGATGACCGACCGCAGCAGTGACCCGATTTCGAAACGAGAGGTGTCTCCTTCCATGTCCCCAGACGCTAGGCGGATACTGGCCTCCTTGGCCGCCGCCACGAAGTCGTCAACCTCTGCCTCCGACTTCGATGGCACAAGATTCGCTTTGATTGCACGATTCAGCACCCCTTTAAGCACGGCGCCGTCCTGGGACACAAGAGTGGTAATGTCTTCGGAGGTACCCTTTTGAGAGAGACCGTAAAGGATGTCAGCCGATATGCCAGTGAGTTTCTCGCCCTGGTGCGCCGTAACCAGCCGTTGGATGCGCTCCTGGGGCTCGCCCGTCTTTTCGGCCAAGAAGGCAATGTCGTCCCTCAACTCGTCTTTTCCCAGCTGGTCAAAGTCAATACTGCCCATTAGAGGCACTAGACGCTTCTTCAGGGCCTGAAATTGCGGCGTCTCCAGCACGACAGGGCCTCGAGTGGTAATCTCCCCGGCATCCCATGCTACGACCGAGACCGCCGCGGGCTCTTTATCGTCCTCGGAGCTGTACGCATAGACTTTGAGATCTGCGGCCAGTTTGTCGGGCCGAGACAGCTCGTCGAGTGTGTACTCGATCGAGTACGTGCCCGCCGGCTCCGCGGTGGTGGTTGCTGTGCCGAGTTCTGTCTCCGTGCGCAGCTCGACGTCCACTAGCTTGACGACAAAGCCAATGCAGGGCGTCCCTTCGACCGTTGTCACGACGCCCTGGGCACGATACCGTCCCGAAGGATGCGGCGGCTCGGGTTCCTCGTCGCCGTTGTCGTCATCCACCCGGACCCACAAGGCCGGCATTTGTGGAGGGGTCCACGATGCGTCGAAAACAGTGTGTGCTTGGATGCACCGATACAGCACGCCGCCGTATTCCACTTTGTCGCCGACATTGTAGGGCGTCTGTACCTGCCACACCTCTCGTTTTTGCGGCGCCATTTCAGTCGTAAACAGTACTTGCTTGTTTCTTCTATCGTAGGAAAATTCTCAACGTCCAAGTGTTGCTGGGTGGCAGTGATTGTAAACTAGAAGTGCACGGATTAAGAACAAGAGAACAGGCAAAAGCAGGAAGTGATGGGCTTGGGATCTGTGCACCCATCGTATTTGTTGTTTGGGACGTATAAGTTGGTCTCTCTTCTCCAGGCATGAGTTCTTTGCCCGGCTGGGGACTCGAGGGTGGCATGTTTGAGATCACATGCATCGTCATGAAAATCATCGTGAGAATCGTCATGAGCGGTTTTGGCCTCGAGTGGGAGCATCCTGCTGCTTTGACCGTATGTTGAAGGGCGTTGAGATCGCGATCATCCAATGGATGCATTCTGGAGGTCAAAGCAGGTGTGGTCTGACCATGACCATCATGGCCCATGGCTGGAGACTTCATGACATGCCGGAGCTCCATGATTGGATATGCTTGGAGAGGACAAAATATCAACCATATCAACGGCAAAAGTAGGCGATCGCGGAAATGCTATTGTTACCTAGGTATTCTTCTCGGGCTCCCAACTCGGTTTCATCTTCCGCTCCATTATTCATAATTAGCATCCCCCGTCGGAAACACTGGAAACACGTCAAGAAAGTTTCAAGCACAACCGGGGTAATCATTAGGTATATCTTGCGCTCCTGTGGGAAACTACCAAAATGCCTGAGAAAACGCCCACGAATACAAAACCAAAGCAGAACCAGCCAGACGTGGCGGCAACTACCCATCAAAGCTGGTCCGTTATCGCTCAATCCGAGCTGCACGCCGCTGGTAGCACCGGCGAGTCTACGGGAGGATTCCCCTCCGCGAGAGCCCAGTTAGAGGAGACCTCACCGGCCCTCCCGGCCATCACGCTCCCGAAAGGCGGTGGAGCCCTGCGGTCTATGGGAGAAAAGTTCGCCGTGAATCCTTCTTTGGGCTCGGCGTCGCTAACAGTCCCAATCTCCACGACACCATCGCGTAGCCCGTCGGCCACCCCTAGCATTAGCCTCACTTACTCGACTGGCGCCGGCAACAGCGCCTTCGGTCTTGGCTGGGACATTTCCATCAACGCTGCCCACGTCACGAGAAAGACAGACAAAGGTGTCCCGCGGTATGGAGATGATGACGTCTTTGTCCTCTCGGGAACCGAAGATCTCGTTCGCCGCGCAAGGACTGATGCCCTCGGGAAGGTACTTGTCGACAGCGGTGGGAACCTGGTCTTCGAGGATAAGACCAGACCTGGTTGGCGTGTAAGGCAATACGTCCCGCGAGTTGAAGGCGCCTTCTCGCGGGTCGAGCGGTGGATGAATGTCGACAATGCCGATGACTGCTGGTGGAGAACTCTGTCTAGGGATGGTACGATCAGTGTCTACGGTCTGACGGACGAGGCCAAAATTTTTGATGACGGAAGCGACGGCGACGTTGGTGGAACACGAAAGAGGATTTTCTCATGGCTCTTGCAGGAGACGTACGACACTAAAGGAAACGTGACTTGGTACTCGTACAAGAAGGAGGACTCTGCTAATGTGCCGCTTGATCATCCATGTGAATCCAATCGCACGACCAGCTCCCGAGCGCGGAATCGGTATCTCGAGAGTATCAAGTACGGGAATCAGATGCCCAATCAGGTTCCAGGAGCTGAAACAGGTCGGCTGCGTGCTGCCAGTATACCGGCCGACGGATGGATGTTTGAAGTGGTCTTTGACTACGGAGAGCATGATATTACGAGCCCGCTGCCAGATGACGCCACTTTGGCATGGGAAAGCCGGGAAGATTCCTTTTCGTCGTACCGCGCCGGGTTTGAGATTAGAACCTATCGCCTTTGTCGACGGATCCTCATGTTCCACCATTTTCCAACCGAAGGATTTGCTTCTGGATCGCTGTCGACTCTTGTGTCTGCAACTGAACTGAGCTACCAAGAGGATGATGTGGCAACAAAACTTGTCAAGGTTGCCCACATCGGATTTGCTCCCCTGCGTGGCCAGTCCGGGACGGGGTCGTTAGCTTCTTCTCGCCCGGTGTACGCGAGCAAGAGTCTCCCGCCACTAGAGTTCAGCTACACCCAAGTCCCACTTTGGAAGAGATGAGCCGGGTCCCCATGCGTGATGTTGATTCTGAAAGCCTCGAGGGCATTCCCTCCGATAGCTCGTTTTACCGCTGGCTCGGCCTCGATGGCGAGGGGCTTCCGGGGATCCTTACCGAGCTCGCGCCTGGTGGTGCATGGGTCTACAAGAGGAATGAGAGCGCCGCCAACAAGGACGAGAACGACCAACTCGTTCCCCACTTCACACCAGGCGAAACGGTGTCATGCAAGCCAAGCACATCCATGGCTGAGGTCACCTTCACAGATGTGGCGGGGGAAGGGTCACTGGACGTCGTTCGGTGTTCACCCAACGACGAAGCATGGGGCTTTTGGGCCAGGACAACGCCGTCTTCCGGCGACACGGCGTCAGGCTGGGACAATTTCACACCCTTTCCCGCCTTCCCGCACATAGACTCGCAAAGTCCTAGATGCCATTTCATGGATCTCACTGGCGATGGCCTTGCCGACATTTTATTGGCTGACGAGCCCTCAATCTTCACATGGTGTCCATCCTTAGGCATTAGTGGATATGGAGAGTGGCAGACTGTTTTGGCCTGCCCAGACGCGGACAAGGGACCACGGCTAGTTCTTGCAACCCCTGAAGAGAGCATCTACCTGGCCGACATGTCGGGGGATGGCCTTATAGACATCGCTCGTATCCGCAGTGGCTCCGTTAGCTATTGGCCCAACATGGGCTATGGCGTCTTTGGGGCAGAAGTCACTATGGGTAACAGCCCATTCCTGGAATCGAGCTCCGGTTTTGGAGCAATGCCCAAGGAGACGCGCGTCGTTCTTGCTGACATAGACGGATCCGGGACCACTGACCTCATTTACATCACGGGCGACGGCATAGCAAACTGCTATTTTAATGAAGCTGGTAATGCATTCACCAATGCGGTTTTCTTAGGTAGCTTCCCTACCGGCTACGATAAGACTTCTATGAGGGCGACAGCCGTCGATCTTCTGGGGAACGGGACGTCCTGTCTAGTATGGACGTCGTGTCTCCCTGGGGATAGCTCGCCTCGAATGCGGTACTTAGATCTCATGGGAGGTGTTAAGCCCCATCTCCTAATCGGAGTTAGAAACGGGATGGGTGCCGAGACGGTCATCCAGTACGCCGCGTCCACAAGCTTCTACTTAAAAGACAAACAGGCTGGGAGATCCTGGACAACAAGACTCCCGACACCAGTCCAGTGTGTCGAAAGTGTGACACAATACGACCACGTTGCTAAAACTCGCCTTATCACAACCTACTGCTACCATGATGGTTACTTTGACGGTGTGGAGAGAGAATTTAGGGGCTTTGCCATGGTGGAGACGCGCGACACCGAGTCCTTTGTCGTCCTTAGTGGTGGATCATGGGTCAATGAGGACTTGGCGACCGCTGTCTCCCCGAAGGTGACCAAGACATGGTATCACACTGGTGCACGCAGTAGCCTGCAAAACCTCTCTGGAACTCTCCATTTGGATGAATCGCGGCTTTCGCGACTATCCCCAACTTCCAAGTCGGTTTCAATGTCCCCTCAGCTTACCCGAGAAGCCTACCGATCTTTCAAGGGCCATGTATTGCGATCCGAGATATATGGGGCTGATGACACGCCACATGCCGAGGTGCCGTACGTGGTCGAGGAACACAGTTTCACCGTCCATATTCTCCAGCCCATTTCTCCCTCTGCTACGCAGCACGCTATCTTTTTGGTTACGGACCGCGAGAGCATCTCCACTCGCATTGAGCGTGTGGATGTTGAGGACCCACGCGTTCTTCAAAAGCTGGTTCTTGAGGTTGACGCCTTTGGTAACCCGACAAAGGTGGCCACTGTTGCTTATGGACGAGCGAAGGGGCGTACCGAGCCGACCGATGAGGCGGCTGCGGCGCAGGAGACAAGTATCACTATGTACGAAGAGACATCCTGGACGAATTGGGTGGATGAGGACGACGCATGGCTTGTCCCAAAACCTGCGGCCCACACCACTTGGCAGGTTGCAGGGGTGGTGAAACCCTTGGCAGAAGGATTCCATAACCTGAAGCTAGATGCGAGCGAGGATATTATCGAAGAACTTCGGCATATCGGCGATATCCCGACTGTGCCGTTCGGGACAGGGATGTCCGGAGAAACGAACGCGAAGGCGCGGATGCTCGTTGAAAAACGCAGGAAGGTTTACCGGAGCAATGACTTGTTAAATCTGTTGCCCCTGGGCACCCTCGAATCACTGGCCTTGGACGGCCAGTCATATCAGTTGTGCTTCCCGGCTGATCTGGTCACCGAGATCTACTCTGGGGCGTCGCCTCCGGCCAAGGCTTTCATTGACCCGCCTGCATCCATCTTGGGAGGCATCTCTGAACGACAGGGAGGTTACGTCGATCTCGACGGAGATGGGAACTGGTGGGTTCCTTCTAGCCGCCATTTCTTCCATCCCACCGTAAGCGCCCCTGCGGACATCGAGCTTGATGAAGCCCGCTCGCACTTCTTCCTGCCCTGTCGATTCCACACTGCCTTCTCGGAGGGTTACTCCATCGTAGATTACGATGTGTACAGTCTCCGTCCCGTTTCCACGACCGATGAGGTGGGCAATACGACCCAGGCAACCATTGACTACCGCACCCTCCAGCCATACGTGATGCAGGATCCCAACGGCAACCGCTCCGAGTTAGCTTTCGATGAACTTGGGCATGTCGCCTGCATCGCGATAGGGGGTAAGCCAGATCTGGTTGAGGGCGACGCTCTTGACCACACCACCTTCCGGCCCTTCCTCGACAAACAAGCCATTGAAACGTTTTCGGCTGGCCCAGTTTCGGCCGCCTCTTCCCTCCTCGATACAGCGACACAGAGATTCCTGTACGACTACGAAGCAGCGCCGGCATTTTCGGCATCCATTCAGCGCGAATTTCACGGGCAACTGGGTCCGGGACGTCTGCGTCTGGAAATCTCTTACATGGACGGCCATGGCCGGGTTGTTCAAACTAAAGAGCGCGTCGAAGACGGGACTTTAACTCCAGATAGTGCCGCGGCCGTCTCGCCGCGGTGGCGATCACTAGGTTGGACTGTCTTCAATAACAAAGGCAAGCCGGTGCGCGAGTTCGAACCCTTCTTCGACGACACGCACGCGTTTCGGTTTGAGCACAGGGTCGGGGTAAGCCCCATTATATTCTACGACCCTCTTGATCGCATCGCTACCGTGTGGTTCCCCGATCGGACATGGACCAAGACGGTGTACGGCGCTTGGCACGTCAAGTCGTGGGACAGAAGTGACACGGTCAATGTGGAAGACCCGACAACCGACACGGACGTGGGTCCTTATCTAGCACGGCTGCCTCGAGCGGACATTGTTCCGACCTGGGGGTCCCGTCTTCTCGAGGGATTAAGAGGTGCCAATGGCAAGACGGCGGCTCTCAAGGCAGGCTACCATGCTGGCACACCATCGACGGCTCACTTGGATGTGTTAGGCAGGAGCTTTTGCACCGTCGCGCTGAATAGGACTATATACGGAGATGGAACGAGTCCACCGGGAGGTGTTACGCTCCAGCAGGTGCGAACGACGTCCATGTTGGATGTCTTGGGAAACGTATCCAGGCTTCTGGATGCCAAGGGCTCTGTCGTCTCACAATCGCGATTCAGCATGGTCGGGGATCTTGTTCACCATGCCACCGCCGAGCAAGGAGAGCGGTGGTTCCTGGTCGACGTCATGCGGAAGCCTTTATACCAATGGGATAGCCGCAGTGGTCAGCTTAGATGGGTCTACGACGCGTTGAGGCGTTTCGTTGGTCAATGTCTTACCGATGCTCCTGGGGCAAGAGAGCTGCTAGTTGAGAAGCAGGAATATGGCGAGAAGTTAACTGACGGCACAGATGGGCGTCGGAGAAACACGCGCGGCCGACCACTTCGTTTGTTCGATCAGTCTGGAGTTGTGGTTACCGATGAATATGACTTCAAAGGGAATGGTATAGCTAGCTCTCGCCAGATTGCCGCCGTGTATGACAAGGCTCTCGATCATGGGGGCGATGGAACGCTAGCGCAGATGGACCCCGACCTCCCTCTCTTCGAGTCGCATTCCGAATATGATGCCGTTAATCGTCTCCGTCATGTAACAGGACCCGACTCCACCACCGTCGTGTATGGCTATAACGATGGGGGTCTCGTCAACAGTATTACAGCCCATGTGCGCGGAGAGGCAGTCGCGACGACAGTCGTCTCCAGCATCCTATACAACGCTAGGCGGAAGCGCGAGCGGGTCGACTACGGCAACAAAGTCAGCACAACCTACTCTTACGATCCTGAAACTTTCCAGCTCGTCTCAGTAACCACAGAACGTGACTGGTCGTCATTCCCGACGCGGTACTTGCTCCAATCCCTCGAGTATTTCTACGATCCAATGGGTAACGTGACGTGCGTCACTGACAAATCTCAACAAACCATCTTCTTCCGAAACACAGTCGTGGAGCCAAAGTGGGAATACACGTATGACGCCACATACCAACTCATCGAGGCCTCGGGGCGTGAACATGTTGGACAGGCGACAACCAACGGTAATGGAGGCAGCTCGCGGCCGCTGTGCCGCTGGGGAGTTCCATACTCGCATTGACCATCCTGGTGACGGCAATGCGGTTGCAAAGTACTTGGAGCGGTATACGTATGATACTGTCGGCAACTTAATGGCTCTCGCGCACTCGGGCAGTGATGCAAACCACCCCGGCTGGACGAGACGATACGAGTATGCTCAGCCCAACCTGCTCGACCCGTCTTTCATGTCGAATATGTTGACCGCAACGTACATTGGATCAACTAGGGAGGAGTATGGGTACGACGAGAGGGGCAACATGACGTCCATGCCGGCAGTTCGGGAACTTCAGTGGGACTGGAAGGATCAATTACGCTCGTCATGTCGGTCACAGACGACAGCGGCCGAGAGGACGTGGTACTCGTACGATTCGGGCGGCCAGCGTGTGCGTAAAGTATCAGTCAACCAAGTCTCTCCTAGCTCGCCCACATCCACGGGAACCATGAAGTCGCAGACTATCTATCTGAGTCAGGGCTATGAAATTAATCTACGCTATGCCGGGGATGGCCGCACTGTTAGTGAAGCAGTTGAGACGTTACGCATCAGCGACCTTCCTTCTTCTACAGCAGCGCCATCGGCAGTTATAATCGACACACGCCTCACTCCATCTCCACCACCCCTTTCGTCCTCCCCTTCGCCAACACCAAGTTCCTCAGTCGCCATGCTACTTCCCACAGACCAAGTGCTTCGCTACCAAATCCTTAACACCCAGCAATCGTCATCAGCGATGGAACTCCTCCCGTCGGCCGAGATTCTCACGTACGAGGAGTATTTCCCCTTTGGCGCAACATCGTACCTTGCCACCTCCACAGTCAACACCCCCTGGTGCCCGCCCAAGCGGTACCACTTCCTGCAGCGCGAGCGCGATGCCGAGACGGGCTTGAGTTACCACGGCGCTCGCTACTTGGTGCCGTGGCTCGCGCGTTGGACCAGCGCTGATCCACTTGGTCTCGCAGATGGAACGAACTTGTATGCATACGCGCGAAATAACCCAGTGGTTCTGGGCGACGCAATGGGTACACAGGCGGTGCCGATGCAGAAGGAGGAAGATGGGACACCAATGTTGCCTGAGAAACCATCGATAGAGCACGAAAAGCCGCCTACGGAGTCGCGGTTCAAATTAGGTGATGTTTCGGCCTTCGGTGCATCGGGGGGGGGGGGGGGGGGGGGTTATGAATTGAAGGGTGAAGGAATGGCTTTGAGGCCGACTTGAGAGACAATTTCCAGGTGAGCACTACCCACTCTTGAACATTCAGGATAGACAGTAAAGAGGAAGCAAAAATTAACAATGCCATCAAACCTTAGCTGAAACTTGACCCCGACCTCGGGAAGCTGATATATAAAGGATCTTTCTCGATTAGTCGATCAGTACAGATAGGGGTTAAACCTGTGCCTGATGTCTATATGGTTTTTAAGTCGGAGGTCAGTTGAATAATGAATCATGCACCCAACGACGTTCCGATCTTTTACATGAAGGGACTGACGGGCGGTTTTGACATTCGTGAGGACAAGATGTCCAAAACGGCTGGCGCAAGCGCGTCAGCCACATTCCCAATCGGAGAGGATAAATTGAACTGGATGACTGTACGTGCCATGTCTCGGTTTGAGATTCGGAAATGCGTTGAAGACATTCTAACGCTATCCCCCAGGTTGGTTTCCGGTACAAACAGGAGACCACGTTTGCCCCTGGCCAGAACTGGAAATTTGTAAGATAGCTGAGTTCCCCCAATTCACGGAGCCTGAAGTGCCCTGCTGCTGACGATTTTCAAAGAATGAAGGGATTGAGGCCTCGATGCGATTTACACTCACCAAGCACAGCAGTCGGAATCCCCTAAACTTCGAACTCGTGGGAGGTATAAGTACAGAGAAAGGCGCCTCTATTAGTGCCGTATTTACAATCGGGCAACCCGCCGACGTTAGTGACTCCACAGTGAGAGACACATCGCTCTGGAAATCCAATCCTGGTGGGCTGAGTACCGCCCTTGACTGGCCCGTGTCACATGACATTCCTTTCGATCTCGTGCCGAAAGCTGTGGACACGTCTATTATTAGCATTATTGAGGGGGGCACCGGGAAATCGATCTCTGACAGGCCCGTTGTGCAGAGTCCTGAGCGCACTCCGGTGATGGCCGTGCCGCCGCCATATAACCCCGATACGTACTACAAGCGCGTCTGGCAGCAGAGGCTCTATTAAGTGGTTGGCTGGAGTGATAGAGGGGGCATAGTTGGGGGCGCAGCCAGGGTCGGCAGGGAGGCCTGATAAGCCAGTGCTCCTGTCTGTCTCTTCAAGTGACGGTGTCATGAAAAAGGAAGGCCCAGTATCGGCTCTATTATTCTTCTTTTGTTTTTTTCCTCCTTCGAGAATTTTCTCCACCCCGACCTTCCCAGAATTAGGCTCTCGTTTTGGCCCTGCAGGCGGTCACTATTTCTAGCTTAGGATGGCAGGCTTCCAGACTCTGCTCACTTCAATGAACATTTTCCCCTATCTAGCCAAGCAAAGATGACTGCGGCCCCGGCAAGCCGTGCAAAAACCATCGCCGAGAAGGAGGGCTGATCAGGCAATTGGTGGAAAGACAATGAAGGGGAATGAAAAGGTCTGTAGGGGTAGAATTTCCCGTCATCCATATTCGTCTGGATACGTTTAGTCTTCTCCTTCATTGCCCGTGCCGTCTTCTACACCACCCTCATCATCATCATTATCATCATCATCCACTATTGCTTCTTCTTCTCCTTCTTCTCCTTCTTCTCCTTCTTCTTCTTCTTCGTCTCCTACTTCCTCCTCATCTTCATCCCCGCCACTCCCTTGGCCTGTCCCGTCTTCATCTTCTCCTTCTTCCTCGCCTCCCCCGTCTCCCTCGGCATTCTCATCCTCACTCCCATCTGTAATTGGTTCCACCTCTAGTTCAGGACACACCCCGTCTTCCTCATTCTCCCAAGTTGCCTTGATTAGATCAGCCGCCTAGCAACAGGTTAGCACATACACCGGAACTTTGAAATCTCCGTCAGAACCTACCTTTTCACCGATTGCATAGGCAGTCAACTGAGTTGTTCCGCTAATAAGCGTAGGCATAATGCTCGCATCAGCAACACGCAGGCCCTTAACACCATACACCCGCAGCTCATCATCAACGACACCTCCAAGCTCTCTCCTCATCTTGGCGGCAGTTCCCACCGGATGCCATCCTTGAGGGTTATATGCTCCTCGAATATATTCCTCGAAATCCTCTCGACTCTCAATGTCTGCTCCGGGTCTGATTTCAGTGGCGTTGTACTGCTCAAGATATCCCGTGGTAAAGAATCGACGGAGGAACTTGAGATATGCAGCCATAAGATCAACGTCCGTCGGGTTTGACAATGCGCGGTAATCAACTACGGGGTCACCTTCCGGATCGCTTGTGTTAAGCCGAATTGTACCTCTAGAGGTAATATGCAAGTTGATCGGTGAACCACTTGCACCACCCCCAATAATGTAATTCATAAATGACAGACCCCTCTGGCGCATCTCCCGCGCGTAAATCTCCTGCTGCGCTCGGTATCCAGCGAGGACTGTCTCGGCCGTATCTGGCGATACGTACTCAGCGAGGTTGAGGGACTCGTATTGGGACGCAATCTCCTCAAATTCGTCCGGGGCAGCTATGGGGAGATCCAAAAAAGCAACAAGACCTTGACCACCACCGACACCGCCGGTGAGGTTAGACTTAATTTCGGGAGTTAGCGGCGTTTCTCCCCCTAGATAAACATGTTAGTTAAGTAGTACGCGATATAGAAATAGGCAGCCCTGCAGTGATTCGGGGGTGAGTTCCATTCTTACATGTAAACGAGATACCGGGGCCGATGGGATGGTCCTGGAAGTTAGCACCAACACCAGGAAGGTCCATCTGAACCGCGATGCCCGCCGCCTCTAAGTGCTCCGCAGGGCCGATCCCACTCAGTTGCAAAACCTGCGGTGTGTGGATACTTCCTGCAGAAAGAATAACTTCCCGATTGGCGGTTATCACCGTGGGTTCCTCACCACCTTCCCTAGGGATGAACTGAACGCCAGTTGCTACGCCCTCTTCGAACAGAATCTTGTTGACACGAGACGCGGTGAGCAGGTCGTAGTTTGGTCTGTTAAGCCCGTCCCAGTGCCCCGTTCGTGAGTATGATCTTTGGTGTGTCTCCGGATCCACTGACACAGGGTACCAGAATACGCCTTGGCTACCTGCATGGCCATCCCTTGGGAAGTCTACTCCTGGAACGCTCTTCAGTGCTTCGTAGTGGATTTCTGAACATTGAAAAGAACAATTAGAACCCACCATTCAAAGTTAGGGATGTGCCGACTCACTGATCCTTGGGTCATTGCCTCCGGGAAAGGAAGCGTAAACATGAGTGTTCTCATCCTGGCCCCAAGCCGCCTCAATATCGTAGGTAATGTTGAAATCCTCCGCAAACACCTCATCGGGAGGTACGAAGTGAATGGCCTACCCGAAATTAGTCGTACTTCGGTCTTGATGGGTGCCCAACACTATCCTTCCCGAGTATAGACTTACCTTTTTGAAGTATGGGAGCATCCCATCCCAGCCCCAGGTGGATCCTTCATTGCCAAGCTCAGCCCAGATGTTGTAGTCCGTCTTTGTGCCTCGCATGACTGCCATTCCGTTGACTGCAGAACTTCCACCTACGCAAAAGCCCATGCTCACGATGGTTGTCCGGTTGTTGAGTCCCGATTGAGGCACCGATCGTATGCTGTATTGGCGAGTCCCTCGGTTGGCCCCAGGATTGGCGGCGTCGTCTTGGTATCATGTTAGAGCTCCAACCAGGCGCGGCCCAAGCATGTGCATACCACATCACGGACTTACAGAAATCTCCATTCTCAATGACCAGGACATCGTCTGCACAGTCCAAAGTTAGCTTCTACACATAATTCGGCTTCTTGTGCTAACCGACGTTTGCATGACTCCGAAAGTCGGTCCGCGATAGTTAGGCCGGCTGTGCCACCCCCAATCACAATGTAATCGTATGAGTCTTTGAGCTCAGCCTGGCTAGTGACGACCCTTGCTCGCAGCCAAGGCGCGGGAATAGCGACCGCCTGTGATGGAGCAAGAAAGGCTAGCAAGAATTTTCCAGAATACTTGACCATGGTGACTGAGCGATGCTTGAAAGGCTAGAGAAGAGAGATGTCCCATGCCAGAAAATACGGGTTTGTCGGAAAAATCCTTCTACTTTATAAACCGAGGGACTCATCATTTCAGAACAAGGAATCACCGAGGCGGGGTTATTGGGCTCTTTTAGAGCTCATGTCATGTCATAGCAAATCTGCCGATGCAGGTGAATGACTTGTATAGTAGCGGATCAGCTCTCCGCCTAATAGACTAATTACTATCTAATATAATAAAACTGGGTACCGGGATGAAAGCGCATAGAACAGAACACATCAAGTATTAAACAAATAAAGCATTATAATCGCTTAAAATACAGTAATCATGAACCCCTTTTACCACTGACCTCTTTTCATCAATATTGATACTCCGTAGCCCCGTAATAATAGTAGGCGTTGTATTTGGGCCCTGCAAGGAACAGGTCCGGATCCTCCTGTGTGCGGGCCCGGGATCACCGAGGGGGTCTTTGGGGTCTTCCCGTGTCATTGAAATGATACATGGCTCTCGGCCTCACCGCCTGACGGAGTTCCTATAAAACATCGACGGTCAAAATAGAAAAGTCGTATCTCGAGAAAGTCCCTTGCTCCTTGTTGGAAGGATGGTGAGCTGGGATAGTTTACACCGTAAATGGCATCGCAGGACAATACAGAGGTTGCCTATCACCACAATGAGGCAATACCGCTGTGGGGGAAGAGCTGCCTAGACTCATGTGGCTTGCCGCCTTTGTCAACTCGCCAACCTGGGACGGACCTGGGGGAGCGAAACACTAGCGAATGGCCCGTATATCATTTCCCTCGTTCCAGATGGTACAACGGCGTCTAATATACCTAGGCACCGATTTTGCCATGAATAGCAACCCTCCCCCACTTACTGGCAAACTACAGACTTAATCCTCATTGGGAGATACGAACGAGAGATGCAAAAACGAAATATATTTCCACCTACGTGGATGGAAATGATATTGTAGTCCTAAGAGCTACGTTGAGCCTACATTCCACGGGCAAACTCAATCCGTTTGCGGGACGAGAAATTGACCCGATCGATTGGCACGCGCTGGATGTTGGTAGACATACTGATGAGGGCATACTATACGGGTCAAAGTTGATGGTGAAGTGGCCGTTGTCAAACTGAACGAAGAATAGAATAACATTGCTAGATGATAAACGGCCACGGAAACCGTCGTGAGGGCCCTTTCCGTTATGATGCTCACAGTATTAATGAGCTGACTTTATCGACACCGATTCTGTAGCTAGATTTGACTAATGCTGAATTCACCAGTGAACAACACCTCTGTTCATGGCCAAGTAACGACATTCAAGTACAATTGTAGTATTAATATCGCCACCACCGAGCTCCTATAATTTATCGCCCAGTTATCACGCTCTACTTTCGAGAGGGGATTGATCATTGGGTTTGCTGTGTTCCGCAGCCTGTTTTAGCGCTTTTTTAGCCTCGAAGGCTTCTCGAGCAGCTTGGTCAGCAGCTCGGTTTTCCCTCCTCGTTTGGCGAGCTGAGCGACACGTATAACAACACGAGATGATACACGAGAGAAACTGGACCGACCTGCGGAGGTTGAGGTTAGCGATGGTTACCTGTATATATATATATATATATACAACGACCAGGGCGGCGTCAAAGCGTACATGCAAACCACAAGAGACGCAAGGGTCATCTCCGTCCATGGGCCATGGAACTGCTTTCGCTCCTGGGGCGTTCTATATCCTTCGTAAAAGCCCCAGTCTGCGAGCATAAACGCAGCTAGACCAGCACCAGCCAAGGCGACGGAACAAAAGTGGAGGCATATCAGACAACCTGGGTAGGTGCGGCGGAGGCGTTTCGACTTCTCCCTCATGTCTACGAGCGGGACGATCTCGGAAATGCTAAGGATAATTATCCAGGCACACTTACGTCAAAAGACGAAGTGTCAGCGCGTTTCAGTTGTATGCCGGATGGAAGTAAGCCTAGAGAACATACTGCTATGTAGACAATGAAGAAGAGGTTGGTGCGTCTCTTATCAACAATCTCTCTCGCACTCCATCCTGTACCCCCTATGGCGGTGAAAGCGACGACTATGGATATTAGGTGTAAGATTAACTGAAAGATGCCGATTCTGGAAGGAAGTCGGGAGCGCATTTTTGCTGTTCCTTTTCCCAAGAGCCAAGCTATCGCTGATTGGTGGCTTGAGTGAGAAAGGTAGAGGTCTGCTTGCGGTGGTGCGGCCGTCTCGCTTATAATGAGTCGGTCCCCTAGTTGTCCGCTTCTATTTTCCTTGGCCCAGTCACGAACACCAGAACCGCGCCCCTTTTTACCTCTGCATATGCGGAGCGTTGGATACGGTGTTGGTGGCCAAGAAGTAATGGGCTAGTGACGGGCTGATCCTTCCTCGCATGGATGGAAATGCAACCCTGAACATCCATCGTGTGTTTCGTGTGGCGCAGCGTTTGTCGTCCAATTTCAACCCACATTTGCGTGGCGCATTTTGTCGTGTGAGAGATTCTAATAATAGAATGGCTCTAGGGCTCAGACGCATATCATTGATATCTCAATATACGAGGTGAATAAGATAAAGGGTTTCAGGTCTCTGCTGATCATCTACCGCGATAAGGGTCCATTCTCAAAGAGAGCATCTCACAGTCCATTAAGGTTGAATGTGTCTTCCTCTGCACCTTGCAAGCTAATAATAGGGTCCTGTTACAGCATGACCACAGATAATAAGACATGACCACTAGCAGCCACTAATACCAAAAGAGGAATAGTACTATACCCCCTCTACATTCCCACATACAGATTTTTATACCTCTACTCTAATAATATTATTTTCAAAGTTACCCACAGTCCCAGCCTTAAGAAAAATTTTTCCAACTAAAACCTTCTTTTCCAAGAGGCCTAAAATAAGCTAATATCACCTACTTATTAGAGCCAAGTTTAGTCATTCCAAAGACTTTATTAATAACCTTAATATAGTAGAAGAGGCTCTAACTAAACAGGCTCAAAAAGATAGCTATAAGCTTATTATAACCTAGAAATTCTCTAATACTAAAGACTTAAATAGGATTATCTTTAGCTATAAGAAATATAGTATATATAAGTTAAGGAAACCTAAAAAGCTACTGCTTAAGAAGAAATAGAGGAATATTTCTATTTAGAAGACTAGCTACTTCTTCTAAGTTAAGATTACTAAGTCTAGTAATTCTTAGGTTGTTAATAGTATACCTAATTATGAAATATATAATTATCTAATAGTCTAGGCCTTTATAATAGTAGGATATAGAATAGTTATTATTAGAACTAGAAGCTAATAGATTTTTAGTATATAGAATAAGATATATATTTTAAAGGTTATTTTCTTATTTTTATAAGAAGAAGATAAAGCTTTTAAAAAAGTAATTACTTAGGATATCTTAAACTTCCTAGCTTTCTATAAGTACTAAGAACTAAATAAAAAGTCTTTAATATAATAGCTTATCTATTAATTAAAGGGAGGAGATTAGAAGTTATCTTATTTCTAAGATTATAAAAAGGATATCTAAGGTTATATTACTTACTTCTTTATTACTTTTCTTAGCTATTTTTAACTTTTTAAAGATTATCTAGAAGTTTTTCTTCTTAACTATACTTATAAGATAAACTACTTTAATATACCTCTTTTTAATATCTTAAACTTAATTAATATTTAATATACTTTCTAAGTTACTATAATCTTTATATTTACTAAAAAGAAAGTAGACTTTACTTAAACTTTAAACTACTTTAGCTACTATTTCTAAGATTATTATATTTAGTTACTAATAACTATTATTATTAATTAAGATCTTAGTTTAATTAGAGTACTAGGTAAAAACTAAATATTTTAATATATCTTATATCTTCTTTACTAATAGTATATTAATATAAATATCTTTACTAATATAAAAAAATATTTTCTAAAGCTAATTAAGCTTTTAAATAAAGAGATCTAATATTATAAAACTTTTATTAAGTTTTTCTAAGACTAGTAGAAACTTATTAGAAGCTTAATAGTTAATATCTTTAAAATATAGCTTAGTTTTTTTAAGTTTACTAGTTATCTAGTTAAGGTAGTAGATTATATTTTAAAGACTTAGATAAGGCTTTAGAAAAAGTAGTTTATCTTCTATTAGATTAACTAAGTCTATTACTTTAAATATAAAATTACTTTTATTATTAAATTTTCTTATATTATTATTAAGAGCTACTTTTATAATTTTAAAGGAGATTTAAAGATAGTTTTTTAGAGGCTTTATAAGTTTTAAAATAATTAAGTTATTAATATCTTAACTATATATAATATCTAGAGAAATAAAGTTTTTATATAAGCTTAAGTAAAGATCTTCTATTTTATTAGAGAGTATATTATTTTTTAAGGTCTTTTCTATCTTCTAAAAAAGTATAAGAGAATTAAAGATCTTTAAGGAAGCTTTTAAGATTACTATCTCTATTTTATTATAGTTACTTATAGTATTCCTTATTATTATAGAATCTAGCTAAATATTAGAGACTAGAGGCCTCTTAAAATTATTAATATCTATTACTACTAGTAATAGGATAAGAACTTTAATTTTAATAGCTAGGAATAGCTAAAGGAAGTTATTTTAAAACTAAAATAGATTAGAGGAAAAGGGAGACTAAAGGGAGCTATTATAATTTAAAAAGCTAATACTAATACTAAAACTCTACTAATTTAAATTGAAATTGCTTTAGTAGAGGAGAGAGCTGAGGTTATTCCTATCTTAAGAGAAGGCCTCTAATAGGTTAAATAAGAAGATATATTTCTTCCTAGTATATAAATTATAAAAATATATTATAGAGGTATTTTTAAGGAAAGTTTAAGCTTTCTAGATAATATAGTAGATAGTAGAATTATAGTAAGCTTTAATAGTTTCTATAATCTATAATTTAAAGATTAGATAGATAATTTTATTAAGAGAGGGCTAATAGAAGAACTAAGAGAAAATAAAGACTA